GGGTGGCAACGGCAGGGGAGCACCGAAGACGAATTGTACCGATGGTCTTGGTATCATTCAGTCTCCAGGCGTCTCGTGCAGAGGTATCTTCACTGGTGCTGCCGTCCTTGTAGGTGGTTACGACAGGGTCAGGCATAATAATTGTACCGTCACAGTGTCCCCAAAGGCCTTGGGACATGAGGTACGCCTTCATCTGCTGGGACCAGAGCGACCAGTTCGAGCCGTTGTTTGAGGAGCGATCGAGAGATCTGAAATCTGTATTGGGATCTCATCAGTATCAGCAAAGCTATGCAGCCCGATAAGGGCGCACTGCTCCATGCTGTTGGCTCCATCAGGGAGTTACCCCAGGATCAATCATCAAGCCTGATGGCTGCTGATAACAGCGCCTACGGCGATGGTCACGCATCAAGCCACACTGCAGCCTGTGAGGGCGCATAGGGCGATGCACAGGTGAGCGAGGCGCAACGCGCTGCAGCGAGTTACTGCGCAGACGCAAGCTGCCTATTTGGGCTCATAACCTGATGAAGAGTTATGGAGGCAGCAGCACGCACAGTGCGCCCTACACAACTCACCTGTATTGGTTGGATGCTGTAGCTACTGGTAAAGCTCGTATGAACGACCCTTGTCATTAGGCAGCAGAGCTGCAGGGTTTATATACACTGTGGCCCATAGGCTGACTAAGCTACGTGGAATATCTATAATCCTACTGAGCTCCACCTATGATGTCACTGACCCACATGAGCTCCGTGCCCTGTACAATAATGGAATATACCAGAATGTTACAGAGGGTTCCGGTACGTTCTGGTACGTTGTAGAACCTGGCAGCTAAGTCAGCGCCTAGTTCAACAACCGGCTACGAAGAGTAGGATTGACTGGGCCATTGTGAGGCTCAGGTCGATAGCTTCAGGAAAAATGAGTGTGAGGGAGCTGCCAATTTGATTGGCAGTGGATGAGCACTCTGGTTCTGGTAGGATGTTACCTGGAGTCTGCAGGTATTATTGACTGTCTCTTCCACTGGGGACAAATGACCTGTGTGACAGAGCTGCCAATCATTGATTGGCAGCAGAGGAGCACTTTGATCTATGTTACTTGTGTCTAGTAGTGCAGCTGCTACTATCCCCTGGGCTGGGCACAAATACAATTTTGTAGCCACCAATACAGACCAACTTTGAATCTGTCAGAGTGGCCAGGACTTTTATGGTATAATGATGGCAGGGCCACAGGAGGACAAAGTATGAATGAAGGGGACATTGACCCAATGCTATCACTTATCAGACACAACTCAGGACTCGTGTCCTGCCATGCATAGCAATGGCCCTCTACTGACAGGGGTTGTAGTGATATGGTTTGTTTTCTATTGAGTAGGGTGGGGGTTGATTCCCGGATAGTATTGCATTGAGCATGTAGCCATAGTGAACCCTGTATTGTAGCTAGCCTGAACAATCATATGTTGTTTACTGTGTTCATCAGCCAATGTGTTGAGCCTGTATTTCATTCTGGGATGTAGGTTACCAAGCAAAACACAGCTGATAGTGTGATTATGGGTCAAAGCAAGCTGGCCTGAGCTTGTAATAGGTGTAAGTCTGCTGCATATTGTACTTCTTGCCGGAGTCTTACAACATGTGCCATCCGAATATAATGGCTGGCCCAGCTGTCCACAAGTCTGGTACATATTGTAATACTGGTATTTATTTTAATTGATTATATGCGAATTATATTCAGATACCAGTTAAGGGAAAATTTGCTGATGAGTGCTCCAGCAACGTGTGCTCAAAGGTTGAAAGGTCCCTCCCACCACTACATTGTGGGCTTCCTGTTCACAGGGGTAGCTACGACCGCAACAGAACCGCCTACGGACATGGCACAGCGCAAGCGTGTCGATGCAAAAAATGATCATCCTTGAGTACTGGACACTACCGGAATTGAACCGGTCCCCTCTCGCAAACTGAAACATGCTAAGCGAGCGTGATAACCATCTACACCAAGTGCCCATGTTGGTATGTTCAGCATTTAATTATATGACTTCCCGAGTCTGCAAGAAATACAAGAGACATATAATATTACAGTCAAATCTCTTGCAAAGGTCAGACAAAAGAAGCCCTGCAGAAAGGGGCCCTAGCGTATGTCAGTTTCCAGGGAGCGAGTCGTATTGAGCACCCCTCGCCCAAAAGCAGAGGCTATTGCATCGAAGCCGCTCTCCTTCACGTCCGACAGGAACAGGTCATGCTGATCAGCCAGTCGCTCGTTATTCCTGCGGATTTCTCTGATAACGCCGTTGGCCCTGGCGCAGCTGGGACACTCGGTATCGTGATCAGCCAGGCACCTACAAGCAGGACGTGAGTCAACCCATGAATAGACACAGGTGTAGGGTGGACTTACCGCTGGTGGTAGCTGTGGTTGCACATGAAATGGACACTGGGGAGGTCCAGTTGCCCACCGCAGCTCGAGCACCGAGTAACATGGAAGACGCGTGGATTCTCAGGATCGGACAGGTCTTCAACCTGCTTGAGTTTCGTTCTAGTCTCCATTCGATACGAGTCCGTCAGTTGTTTATCCTGAAAATATCCGTGAGCTGTAGAGCGTCTGCAGTGGCGGTGCGGTCTTACAGTTTGGATCTCCTCCCGAGACTCCTTTATTCGAGTCAGCAGCCACTGCTTCACCAACCCAACACTCGCAACTCCGTTTCTGCTAAGTACCTGGATCACCCCCAACGGAGGCATAATCTTCTCACTATTGATATACTCGAGGATTTGTCCCAGATCCGCGGTATGCTTCGACAACAAAGCTGGTGTCGAAGTCAGGAATCTCAGCACCAGCGGATACAGATGGCGATTCGTGGGCCCATAGGAGTTCAAGCACTTGATCACCTCGTTAGACGCTTCAGGCGAGCTTCCCTCTTTATCTTTATCCATCCAGAACCGAAGCACCTCTTCGTACATGCCCATTCTTTCCCAGAGCAACACAAGGCCGGGGGTGTATTGCCGAGTAGAACAGAGAATGAGAGCGTGCGTCACGTCGTAAGGAATTTTATCACTCTTCAGTACAAGAAGGGCCTTGTCCCGCATAGTTTTCGTTTGCCCTTCACCACCGGGCAACGTGAGGTATAATTCCAGCAGAGTATTCCAAACGGCGACCTGGTCTTGCTTGTCAGCCTCCCCGTCTGCTGCAGGTTCTATAACAGCTGGTACGCTGGACTCCTGGGCCTCGTCCACAGCCTGCCCCCACCGCTTCAGAGCAACCGTCTCCAAGAATGTCACGAAATTATCTAGGTGATCCACGAAATGCGCGAAGTAGATCCTCGGAGAGGGCCTCTTCACCGGCGTGGGCAGCGTCAACTTAGGTAGGGTACTGCTACGCTGCGGTATTGGCGTCGCAGTCTGTGAATCGGAACCGTCGAACCCACTCGACTCACGCCGCGAAGGCTGATCCCGGGGCCTGATCGTAGACGCAGTGGGCGTGGACGCACCGGCGGCGTCGGCGCTGGGGGTGGGAGCGGCCGGGGAGGTCCTGTTCAAGGCTAAGTAGGACAGGTACGAGGAGCCCGGGCCCGAACTGGGGCTCGCCTGTCTGGCAGAAGGAGGCTGTTCGTCCGGCTCCGCAGTTAGAGGACCCGTGGATGTGCAGAGGTCGATCAAGAGCTGCGTCGTTTCGTCCGGCAGCGATTCCAGCATTGCCCGGCCGTACCGAGCGAGGTTTGCTTCCGCCTAAAGAACGAAAGCGTATGAGCGGGTCGCTCGGACATAAATCTCGCTTCTCCATCTTACCGCCTCATTTCCCAAGCGCCTAAGGTAGGACAACGCATCCTTGTAATTCCCCGCATCCTCGATCTGTATCCGCAAATAATCCTCATGGCGTTCATACTTCTTCGCCAAATAGCTCGCATGCTCAAAATACCCCGCTTGGCGGCACACCCTGATCGCCGTGTCCAGATCGAAGGGCAGCTCGTCTTTCTCGCCGTCGACAGACGAGGAGCGGCGGGACTCGGCCTTGATGAACGAGTCCAGCCGCGCGACGTCCTTCAGCTTCGTGTACGTGTTCAGCAGGAGGGTTGTGTGGTCCGAGTTTGCGAGGCCGAGCGAGTGCAGCTCTTGGAGGTACGTCACGAGGTTGTGGATCCGTTGCGCGTCCAGAAACTACGAGCACAGGTTAGGGCATATGCGCGCACGTTGAACCTGAGTGAGGTACGTACCTTCCGGATCACGTAGCTGGCCTGGAGGTGCCCGATGGTTTGCAGGTACTGCTGCATCGCACCGTCATAATCACCTTTCGAGTACAGATGGTCGCCATACTGCCGATGGATATCCGCGACGCTGGACGCGTCCAGCCGCTGGGTCTTAGCCACGTTCAGCGCCAGCGTGTATTGCGACTTCTTATACATCATTTCTAGCTTCGCCGAAGTTGGCTTCTCTTTGAGACACGTAAGCTAGCAAAGCGATATCAGTCAGTCAAGAAAAGAGCAGTAGAGAGCTTCAGGGAGCGCACGTTTCCATCGTTTGACATGATGTAGATATTACCCCACTGCGAGATGACCTCCCGGACGCCGTCGGTGAACGTACCCGTATACGCGACGAACTTGTTCGGCGGGTCAAACACCGTAACCTTCGTTATTTCCGTATTGCTCGCATTACCGGATCGCGCGACGTAGTTCCGCACAGTCGCTGAAGCAGCGGACGCGGAGGGCGCGAAAGGGGGCGACACTATCACGAGGTAGTTCAGGTGTGTATGCACCGACGACTTGTGGCCTGAATAGAGCGCATACAGCCTTCATTCAGCAGTCCAGAGAGCGGAATAGAGATCAGCACACCTTCATAAGCGTAACACGGCCCGCGCCCGTCGACCCCGCACGTATAAATCGCCTCCTCCCTCGCAATCACCATATCCCGCCTCTTCCAGTCCATCGTCGCGCACCCGAGCCCGCACCCGACCTCGTCGACTACACTCGCGCTTCCGCCGCTGCCGCGCCCGCTCGCCTGGTAGCACAGCACGCGGTTCGTCGTCACGATGAAGAGGTGCAGGGTCGGGGCGCCGCCGTCATCGACGTTCGGTTCCCTGAAACCGAGCCCGGTGACGGGCTCGGTGGGCGACTCGTGGATCACCCGCGGCTTGGGGACGGATGTGAGCGAGGTGGAGCCGGAGAAGAGGGACTGATCGAGGTGCCGGTAGAGCAGGACGGTGCCGTCGCCCAGGCCGACTGCGAGGTGCGAGAGGGACGCCGAGAGGGCGATGGTTGATACCTAAGGCGGTGAATAAGGGTTCAAAAACGTAGTTAAGATAGAAGGAGAGATCGTACTGGGTGTGGACGCTGTGTGTGCTGTACTTTGACTGAGCGGAGGAGGTTGGGGGCGCCGGTCTTCGGGTCAATCCTGCCCAGCTCCCAGATCTTCAGGAGCGGGTGTCGGACGGAGTCCTCTTCCTATATGCTCCCAGTAACATGAGTATCCTTGTGAAGACTGGCTTGGTCTCTACGCACACCAAGGGTAACGAGTATGCCCCTTCGCTCCGCCATATGCGTCACGCGTCCCCCAACATGGGCGAGCCAACTCGCGACCGTCTCGAAGTCCTTGTCCAGTAAATGCACGCTCCCGTGAATATCCGCAACGAGCACTCCGGACGTCGACGTGGATACGGTCGATATCTCCGGAGTACTCTACGCAACACCGTAAGCACTCGTACATCTTCTATTGCCTCGTACGGTAGCGTACCTTGAATAACTCTGGCGGACTCGCGAGGTCATGCACGTCCTTGACTGGCAGGGCGTCGAAGAACGGGAATTGGCGCCACTGCCTGGAGTGCGTTAGACGAGAGACGCATATATGCAAAGTCCAGGCTCACAGAGGGGGCGACAGGTCCCGTCGCAGACACCGGGGAAGTCATGCTTGCAGACCTTCAACTGCAGTCTGAGAGTCTTAGTATAGTCTAAACAGTACTGTAACTAACATACCAAATGTTGGTCTGGTTTATGCAGATAAAGGACAAGTGCTGCCCTACGACACGCTCGACACGGACGTCGCAGACGGTGCCCTCGGTGTAGGCACGGTACGCGCTGTGCGAGGTCGAAAGCCGGGGACGTCGGACGCCACGTGCTTGACCCGAAACGGTCCTGCTTGCGTCGAGCGTGCTCAAGACCGTCATCGTCGTAGCAGTCCCGTCTCTCACTCGTCGTACGTGCCAGGTTGTACTCTAGTCTCTGTCGACGCTGACATTGTGCATTCTGTGTCTCAGCTTTTATCAGTATCGAAACCATGGCTTTCCTGGGTCTGCGCAAATGGCCGACACCCGTGCGCTCTTTTCGATTACATGCAATTCACGAACGGGAGAGCTGACAGAACCTATCTATTTTCTGTATTGTCTACACAGGTCGCTAAGCCCATGTGGCCCTTCATCGCCGCGAGCGGCCTCACCTTCTACCTTGTGTCCAAGATGCAGGACGCTGCCGTGAAATGTACGTTCCTCCACCCTCCCAGTGCCATCGCAAGCATACTGACCGTGCTCTGTCCGCAGCCCCCGAGTTCGCTAACGATCCCAAGAACCCGTACGCGGAGCAGATCGCTAGGCAGTCGCACCACTAGAAAATGGCGGGGGATGGCTTCCGGTTTCCTCCGGTACGAGGGGGACGTGGAGGATCGTCAGTGAGGACTGGATATGTATAGATTCAAGGCCAGTAATGAATGAATTTGCTGATCTGATGAGCATGTGCGTGTTGCAAGCAGCCTTCCCGGACAACTTGCGTTGGAGATTCGACTTTGGCATTGACAGTCCCCGGTGAATCCTTGTCTACTTACATCGCAGACTGCTCTAGAATACTTCGTCCTCTGGCGGACCGTGCTCGACTCAGATTCTTCAACAATCGTACGCCAACATAGGTCAGCCACCCACGGCAACAACACGGCAAGAAAACACTCGCGACCAGTTGACAGTCCAGGTCAACAATAAGTTAGCCATAAGTACGTTTGATACATCATAGATTCCATTAGAAGTACAGTAAAGCAGGGGTAAAGCAACGAAGATACCAAATCAACCTTCGCAGGCTACGCCTCAGCGAGCAGGCTCCTCGGGTGGTACGCCCCACTCAGGGACGCCCTTTGGCCGCTGTATCCTCTTCATATCCCAGTTATCGTCAACCTCTTGGCTTAATTTCTGCACCAATACCACTCAGTACGACCCAATTGCCATACGTGCAGAACACCACGCACGTAATACTCCTCCCTAATATCAAACTTCTTCCTATTCTTCTTCAAGCCCAGTGCTTCCTCCTTCGACATCTACGTTCATCAGCCTCAACACGCAACACCGTACGCGAGGAGATATGAACTGTACCTGCGACACCTTCTGGTCCTGGAGGTCGTACCGCGTCTGCGTGAACTGCTGCAGCGCGAACGACGCGCCGACCATGAGCGCGATGAAAGGCACGCCGAAGAGCGAGGGGTGCTTCCGCAGCGTGCGGTGCACCGGCGAGGTGTTCAGCGGGCGGGAGGGGAATACGGCCATCGTAGCATGGGCGTGTGGCAGCAGCGGTGGACTGGAGCCTGCAAGTCCAAGTGCAAGCCGACGGCATGGATCGCCCTCGCCCAAACGGGAAGGAGAGGAAAGGAGTCAGTCGCTCGTCCGAAATCCGAAATCCTAATTTACTCTCCAGTCTAATCTCGCGCAGTCACGAATATTTATCCCACCAGCCGTGGAGGGCGGGTTTAGTCGCTGCGAGCAACGATGAGCGGTAAGTCACTTCCATTGCACGCAAATTCTCTATCGGTGGTGTAGGCTGATTCGGATCCCCGGTTAGTGACTGTAGTCCTCGGCGCCCAGTGGGGGGACGAGGGCAAGGGCAAGCTCGTCGATATCTTATCGGCAGAGGTCGACGTCTGCGCGCGGTGTGCGGGCGGAAACAACGCGGGGCATACCATTGTCGTGCCCATGGGCCCCGAGAAGCTGCGCACGACCTTTGCGTTCCATCTCCTGCCTAGTGGTGAGTTGCCTTTCATCAAGGGGTCAGTCATGACTCAACCAGCTGACACGCGAGCATTGGATCAAAGGACTGGTCAATCCCAAGTGTACTGGGCTGATCGGGAACGGTGTCGTTGTCCATCTGCCGTCGTTCTTCGAGGAGTTGGATGCATTGGAGAAGCAAGGTAGGTACACATCGCGCTTAAGGGGTCTCTGATAGCAATATCTAATTGAGTGGTTCAGGGCTGGACTGCACCGGCCGGCTCTTTGTCTCCGACCGCGCCCATCTAGTGTTCGACTTCCACCAGATCGTAGACGGTCTGAAGGAAGTCGAGCTTGGCGGCTCGAGGTGAGTATCCAAGCCTCCCCCCGCTCCGAGTGTACGCTAAAGCTACAACGATACCGGTAGCATCGGGACGACGAAGAAGGGCATCGGACCAGCGTACTCCGCCAAGGCGTCCAGGTCCGGCCTGCGCGTGCACCACCTGTTCGACCACGACACCTTTGCGCAGAAGTTCCGCAAGGTAGTCGAGGGGCGGTTCAAGCGCTACGGCCACTTTGAGTACGACACCGAGGGCGAGATCCAGCGATACAAGGTACTTCCGTTTACATTAACCGTCGAGAGATCGGGTCACTTGACGAGAGCATATAGCAACTCGCTGAGCGGCTGAAGCCGTATATCATCGACAGCGTTACCTTCATCCACAAGGCCCTCGCGGACGGGAAGAAGGTGCTGGTCGAGGGCGCGAACGCGCTGATGCTCGACCTCGACTTTGGCACGTACCCCTTCGTCACGTCCTCCTCGACGACCATCGGCGGCGTCTGCACGGGCCTCGGGATCCCGCCCAAGAAAATCGGGCGGACCATCGGCGTGATCAAGGCGTACACGACGCGCGTGGGCGGGGGCCCGTTCCCCACGGAACAGCTGAACGTTAGGCATGCCTCATACCCGCCGTCGAACTGCTTACTCACCAGCGACCCAAGGACATCGGCGTGCACCTCCAGGAAATCGGGCGCGAGTTCGGGGTGACGACCGGCCGGCGCAGGCGCTGCGGGTGGCTCGACCTCGTGGTCATGAAGCACTCGTGCCTCATCAACGGCTACGATTGTCTCAATCTCACGAAGCTCGATATCCTCGACGACCTCAGTGAGATCAAGGTTGCCGTCAAGTACTTGGTCGACGGCAGGGAGCTGCCAGGCTTCCCCGGTGCGTCTTGTTTGCCTCCTTTGTTGTTAGTATATATTTATATCCTGCCCAGCGGATCTCGATGTCCTCTCGAGGGTGGAAGTCGTCTATGTTACCCTGCCAGGATGGAGACAGTCGATTGCTTCGACTACTTCATTCGACGAGCTGCCGGACAACTGTAAGAAGTACGTCGGCTTCATCGAGTCCTTCTTGGACGTTCCGATAGAATGGATTGGCGTTGGACCTGGTAGAGAAAGTATGATACAGAAGAAAGGGAAAGTAGTCAATTAAAGTTGTACTCGTGTATCGCCTGGGACTTGGAATAAAGAGCGTGGATGAACTGCAGTTGTAATGCTCCCGGCCTGACAGACAAAGGGCAGTGTCGCACGCCACAGTATAAGAGGCGCGCGTGTGTGACGCTGTTTGGCTTCAACCTCGGTCACTCTCTCGTCACGAATTGTCACTGGACGACCCCGCGACGGGAACAGGGCGCATAACGCATAACGGGACGCTTGTAACGGTCTTCGAAGGCGCGAAATATAGCGCCAGGACTCTGCAGAGAGCCGTCGGGATAACAGAGAAAACAGCTTGCGTTGTGATTCATGGACGCGAACGGCCACCACGACATGCACGGAGTGGCGAGCACGAGTGCGGGGGCGACCCCCGGCAGGAAGAGGACGATTCCGCGCGAGAACGAGACGCCGAGCCAGAGGCAGAAGAGGGAGAAGGCGGCGGAGCGCCAGCGGCGCAAGCGCGAGCGGGATCGGCTCGCATCACAGGGCTCGCTGAACGCCATGGGCGGGGGTGGCGCACTGCAGGCGGGCGGCGGCCACAACGCCCAGCAGACCCCGGACTACCTGCTCACCCCCGAGGAGCAGCAAAGGAGGGAACGGGTCCGCGCGGCGGCGAGGGAGCGGCAGAGGAAGCACCGCGCGCTGGTGAAGCAGAAGAAACTCGCGCAGCTGGGGTTGGATATGGGGAACGAGATTATGCCGGGCATGGAGAATGGGCAGTATGTCAATGGGATGCCGCCCGAGTTCGACCAGATGATGCCCCCCGAGATGCGAGAGCAGCCGGGCCCGCCGCCACCCCCGCATCCACCGATGGGCCATGAGCCGCCCTTCCCGCACGGGCAGCCGCTTGGAGGGCAGACGTTCGCCTCAACATTGCTGTTGTCTTTCTCGTGCGCTCCGTTACTGAAGCAACACCTGTTACGGTCGCTGTCCATGACGAACGAGGAGTTGGCCTCCTTGGAGCCAGTAATTGCGCATGCATGGGATCAGTGGGATCAGCAGGTGAGACACTCGTCCATTTATCCCCTGCGAGCCTTGCTAAGTATTATCCGTAGCGCCGTATGCATTACGCTGAACAAGCCAAGGCAGCTGGCGGTACTTACGAACATCCGGTGAACCACGGCTACACCGATCCATCACAGCCTCCACCCACAGACTTCCGCGCACGATTCCACCGACCACTTGTAGCCCCCTCGCCTTTCCAGCAAGCCAGTGCAGCGGCGTCGAGCTCCCCTCCCAGCTCCGCACCCGGACAGCCATCTTCGGATCCTATTGATCCTAACTTGACTAATGGGCAAGGTCAGCAGCAGCAGCAACAACAAAGTGAGCATCGGCCGAGATCTGCTACGAGTATTGACCCAGACTCATAGAAAAAGGCTGAAGTGAAGGGTGTTGGATGAGCTCGTGCCGTAGGAGACAGCTGTATCGGTTATGTCTGATTCTTGGACGTCTGGTCTGGTCTTGGACGACCGGAACACGTAGGACGGATGATTGGCCCCCCCTTTATATTATTATTGCATTGCTCTGTATCGAATTATTTGTTAATACATAACTTTTCTGGGGCGCATGGCTCATCTCCGTTCAAGAATTGGCGGAATTAAACGCGGAAATTTGCAACGGAAAACCTGGGAAAAACATACCAAAAGGAATGCGAGATCTGACCCGACCAGCACACGCAACAGACGCGTCGTGAACCAAAAACCTATCCTCCTGTTTTCCTGTTTTCCGCTATGGCTCTCAGTTTCATTGGGTTAGCTGGCAGGACTACACTTTTTTGAACACTGTCTGACGCTGACGGGCACAGAAAGCCAATTTCCCTCATATCTCATTCAGATGTACGATACAGAGGTATTCTGGCGGGTATAGACCCCGCTGCCTCGACCATCCAGTTGTCGAATGGTGCGTCTGCTGTTGAGTGGATGGCGACTCAAACATGTTAACCAAGTGATAGTCTACTCTATGGGGACGGAATCCCGACGGTTAGTACGAGCTTCCGCTCCGTATTGAGTCCCCTTTTGCCTTGAATGCACGGTTATGATGAAGCATTACGGATGTAAAACAAGCTTGAAGCTGTTGACCGAGAGCGCATACAACCGTGTGGATCTTTCCGTTGCCTTCCTTCTGAGCCGTGCATTGAAGGCGCCCATCTGTCCTTCCCCTGTTCTCCGCTGTGACTTGGTACTGACGTGTCTTGATTGCCCTGCCTAGACCCCCGTCAGAGTTCATTCCTCCGGTGCAAGACCCATATCAATATATCATCTTCCGAGCGTCTGAAGTAAAGGACTTGTCGGTGGATGAGACGCCGCCGCCGCAAGCACGACGGAGCGTGCATGACGACCCAGCCGTCCTCGGGGTACGTAAATTACCATTCTGCATCACATGCTTTTCCTCGTGAGGCTTGCATGCTTCGCGTATCTCCTGATGAAACCAATACGGATGTAAATCACAACTTGTCCGAGAGCGCTTAAACTCGTGTGGATATTTCCGTTGCCTTCCTTCTGATCTTCGTGCTTTCATACTTGTTACTGGTATGAACCTAAGTGCTGATACTCGCTGCATAGGTTTCTGCACCCGCACCAATACCACCGGCTGCGTATCCACAGTATCCATCTGGCCCTGGTGCACCGCAATATCCTCCGGGTGGTGTCACTCAACCTCCCGTTCCCCAACAACAGCCCCAACCGCAACCCGCCGCTCCACAGCCCAGTTACAACCGTACCACAAGCGGTACCGGCAGCGAAGCGAGCCCATCCCGCACGCAGTCCGCGAACAGACGCGGTCATCATGCGGCGGGCTCAGTCTTGAACGCCACGGCGTCCCTCGAGAGCGTCGAGCGTGCTCTGGGAGACCTGCGCGTGAGTGGTGCGAACGGGAGCGGGCGCGGACGGGGCAGGGGGCGGCAGGACGTGAAGCCCGTGACCGTGCCGCCGACGGATTTCGACTTTGAGAGCTCGAACGCGCGGTTTGACAAGGCTGCGCTGTCGCCGAAGGCGCCCACACCTGGGGAGAGCGAGCAAAACTCGGAAAATGCGAAAGAGGGCGAGGGGGCAGAGGGGGAGAAGAAGGAGAGCGCGCCGGCGTATAACCCGAAGGCGTCGTTCTTCGATACGTTGTCGTCGTCGGCCAGTGACAGGACTGGCGGACGTGGAGGGCGGGGCGGGGGACGACGGGGAGGCCCCGGAGGGAGGAGCCGCAGGGAAGAGGAGAGGGAGAAGAACGTCGCGACCTTTGGCGAGCCTGGCGGTGTGGGCTTGATGGGCCCCGGAGCGTATGTTGGTGGGTGGGGCGGGTATGGGAGGAGAGGGGGAGGGCGGGGGAGGCGAGCACCGCCTGTGGCTGGTGCCGGGGTTGGACGATAAGTTTGTCGGCACGCAAGTGAATACCATGTCTGATGTACCACGATCACCGCCCCCCTTCATTCATACTGGTAGCCGTTGAGCTGAGATGCTATGATGTTATTGCCCGTTTGGTCGCAAATTACTATACAGTGATTATTCTCTTGTCGAGATATTATAGTACAATGATGCCTGGCTCAGGTATGAGAGTTCATTTGGTTCGTACCTCCTTCACGGGAATGTGGATCACCGTTCCATCGTCGGCGATAATTTTGAATCGTACTATTTCAAGCGAGTAAGTAACCTCGCACCTTTGGTCAACGAATAAACGCACAGATGGTAAAGGGTTCCCCCTTGGCTTTCCGAACGCTCGTAAAATAGAGCGTGCCGGCACCTGATTCAGGGGAACAGCATTGGCAGTTGGATGGTCAGCGCAAGGCAAGCAGGGTCGTAAATCCATCAAACCTTTGTGACCCTTTAACCGGAAGCTAACATCACAGTGCCCCTGAAGAACGTTTATCTAAAAGCGCGGTCATCTCAACGATGGAAGCAATCCGGCAGCCCAGCAGCTGAGGACATACCACGCCTTCGATCCACGGATCACCGTTCAAGTACCACTTGGGTTCGGGTCGTATCGCCTCGCCCAGCACCTCGCGCAGCTCAGGATCATCCTTCACCATATTCATTATCTGCTTCATGACGGAGCTAGAGAGCTTTTCTTGGTTGGTTGCGTAAAGGTAGAACGCGGCCCAAGCTGTCACGCCCAGCGCGCTTGCTACGAGGACCAAAGGCCATCTGCTCTGACGGACGATCATGAATACGCTACTCAGCTTGGTTACGAATGTATACACATACCTTTATCGATGGAAGGTCCCTCTGTGGTGCGTTAGGCCTAGCGTAGTATTGAGCCGGTCGCGACGGCTCAGAAAACCTCTCAGCTTGTGGCTGCTTCGGGACGTCCGTCGCATAGCCTCTTCTCGGGAGTCCTCTTCTTATCAGACGCTCATATTGACACTGCGGTTGCAGGCGGTGTATATGAGACAATTGATGTCGAGCACCCACTATGGAAGACATAAGCAGGGTTATATAACGGCGAAACGTCCAAAGCTGGGTTACAGCGCTTTGAGCCGAATATAGAAGCCAAGCTGTGGCGGGCGTCTGTCGTCCTCGTCTACCGACTATAAGGCAGAACTTGAACGTCCTGCAGTACAATAGAATATCCTTTCCGCCCTCTCAGGCTCTAACACGACTCAACAAATCTACACCGTTGTTACAGCTGAACATCCGACCTTCAGGTTCCGAAGATGACCGACGTGAAACCCGGTCAAGTTGTGCCCATATTCTTACAGAAGCTGTATGAGTACGTGCGGTACCCTAAGCTGTCAGTCCGAGACCGATCCGGGTTGTAGGATCGTCAATAACCCGGACAATATGTCTCTAATCAGATGGTCGGACAGAGGCGACTCGTTCTATGGCACGTCCTTCTTTCAGCATCCGCGACAGGGGAGACGACTTACACCTGGATACAGTCCTAGATCAGGACCGCTTTTCGCGAGAAATACTTGGGCAGTGGTTCAAGCACCAGAAATTCACGTCATTCACCCGTCAGTTGAACATGTATGGCTTCCGCAAGGTGCAGGGCCTCCAGCAGCATTCCTTGAAGAGCTCCATCGACGGGGACATCTGTCACTTTGAGCATGAACACTTCATCCGCGGCCAGCCGGAACTGTTGGGCTTCATCCAACGTAGGAAACCTTCGAGCCAACCTGGAAGCCCAAATCGAACCCCGGGCAAGCAACTTCAGTCAACTGCACCGCCTCAGGGAAAGCATGCATACCTGAATTCCAGCACCATTGCAGAGTGCAAGAGTGGTATGCATAACTTGGCTGGTGATATAGATGGGTTGAAACAGTCTATGGTCAGTCTGAGGCAGGAGTTCAGTGATATCCAAAGAGTGGAAGAAAAGGTGGATACCATCCTCTTCTTTATGAAGAAACTCTTTGGATCAGATCACTTCAGGCTGCTTGCACCTTCTGCAGCTTGGGGTGTAAACACAAGCAGCCACATAGCCATCCCCTGGCAGGATGAGACTGGAGATGAAAAACAAGTCAGAGAACTCGAGGCAGGGAGTTGCCAGGATACAGTGGAACAAACACAAGGATACCTGAAGGGAACACCTCCAACACTCCAGACCTTTGGTCAGAATTGCTACTCTGAACACAAAGGAGTCATTGCTCCTCCATTTCAAGAGGAGAATATGATCTCTCTCTCCCATAGAGGATCTGGTACCTTAGACAAAAGCCCAAGGTACCATCCATATTACATCAGATGTGGTTCCAGTGGAAGCCCTTCACCACTTGATACTCCCATGTCTTCAGGATTGTCTATCCCAGAGACACCTGAATATACCACACTGGATGACTGGATCAATCCCGTTCCTGCATCCATACCACCTATGGTCACATCATCCAAACAAGGCCAGATACAGAGAATTCCATCCAACGATAGTGATTATTTCATGCCCATGCAGGCAGAAATAGACCTATCCATGCAATATCTCTCAAGAATGAATATGGGTATCAGCCAAGTCTAATGGGCCCAGAGTTTTCTCTCCTGATGTGGCATTGGCCCTCACACACTCATAAAAATCATGTTTCAAGACTTATTGGAGTTCCCATGGATATATGCCCTAGGCTGCAAGAAGATTTGAACAGGGTTCAATGTTTATTACAAAGATAGATAGAAACACAACAGAAAAACACAGAAAAATGCTCAAATTACACCTATGTGAAACTGCAATTCAAGCAATATATGATGTAAACAGAAACCTTCAGAAAGCTCTGTTCAAGCCAGCAGCTTCCAAACACTGTCAGCTCCCATCTGTATATTCTAGTTCAACCCAATGCAACATTTAATTCACTGCCACTCACAATTTCTTTAAATTGCTTCCCTCTTGTCCAGTCCTGGTTATCTCTCTGCGGTATATGTTTGTATGACTGGAATCCTGATTTAATATCTATCATTGTCACAGCTGTGCAGGTTGCAACTGTACTTATATGGCTATACCATTTCCCAATTGAGACATATTGATGGCTACACCAGTATGAGCTAAATCTTCTTCATTACACACTAGCCACTGCTGGCTTGACTATAACAGCTTATTCCCCTGAAAAGGTCCAGGAGCACCAGTAGGTTTCCCTTGCCCTTGTCCCCTCTTGTGGTTCATTGCAGTGTTATGGATACGACTAATCAGTGAAGATTGAAGCTAAATTCAGTCTATACCTGAGTATTTGACAATTTGGGATAATGAGCATGCTCTTCAGAATATGTTGACCTTATTCTCCAACCATCCGCACTTCGAAGCCCGAAGGAACAAGGATTGCTGCGTGTAATGACTCGTTGACTGCAAGGGTAAGTGGCGCGGTCACGAGACTCACGCCATCGGTTATATTCGGCCATAGTCGAGTCACCCTTAGGCCGCTTTGCATACATTTTAGCCTTTGCGTTCTGTTGGAGGCTTCCCATTCCTTCCTCTTTCCCTCTTCCTCTGTTTCGTCGGGCAAGACTGGGCCAGGCCATGCCGTTCACTGCCAGCACGATGCGCGCGTCAGGCGCACCCAAAACGACCCAGAAGATAATTCTGTCGAGGTCGAAGTCGACTGCTGCAAGTTCCTCCATGATCGATGCGAAATCGAGGGTCCGGGAGCATGCAAGGAATATCAGTCGCTCAAGCGCAAAACAAGCCGTCGCTGCGCCTTCTGTGTGAGTAATCTTTTAATGGCTGCAAGACGTACCTTTGCCTCGAGAACGAGCCGGGATGGTGGTGCTTCGGGTTCATGTCTTGGAAGTATCCTACGGTTTTATGCACATTACTAACGATCGATGGTATAGGCGACCGTCGCCGGCCCCAGGGTTCCAACAGCTGCCCACCAAAAACAACGTCCCTCACACTACGCCTAGTATTTACCCCACGTCCCCAGCGTCTCTCGACCACTCGTTTATTGGGATGTCCGGCGGTCAGATATTCCACGAGATGATGCTGCGACACAACGTGAAGCACGTATTTGGCTACCCCGGAGGTGCTATCCTGCCCGTGTTCGACGCGATCTACAATTCTCCACACTTCACGTTCATCTTACCCCGGCACGAGCAAGGCGCCGGGCATATGGCCGAAGGCTATGCCCATGTGACTGGCAAACCTGGGGTCGTTCTTGTTACTTCGGGTCCAGGAGCGACCAATGTCGTGACGGCTATGCAGGACGCTCTGAGCGATGGCGTGCCGTTGGTCGTATTCTGCGGACAGGTCGCGACATCTGCCATTGGCTCCGACGCCTTCCAGGAAGCTGATATTGTCGGTATCTCGAGGAGTTGTACAAAATGGAACGTCATGGTAAAGGAGATTAGCGAGCTCCCTCGGAGGATAAACGAGGCCTTCAAGATTGCGACGTCTGGTCGCCCCGGGCCAGTGCTGGTCGACTTGCCAAAGGATGTTACCGCTGGAATCTTACGCACGCCGCTGCCATACCGTGTCACTACTCCTGGAGCCGCCCTGAGCTTACCGACGAACCCCTTGCAGCCGGATGAGGCTCCGATCGACCACCAGTTGGTCCGTCAGGCCGCTGAATTGATCAACAACGCTAAGCGGCCGATTGTCTACGCCGGCCACGGTGTCCTCTCGTCTCCTCTGGGCCCGAAGCTGCTCGCAGAGTTGTCGGAGAAGGGAAATATCCCCGTTACGACGACCTTGCAGGGCCTCGGCGCTTTCGATGAGACGAACGAGCGGAGTCTGCATATGTTGGGTATGCATGGAAGCGCGTATGCGAATCTCGCAATGCAGCAGGCAGACGTGATCATCGCGCTTGGTGCCCGCTTTGACGATCGTGTAACGGGCAAGATCGACACCTTCGCGCCTGCTGCCAAAGCCGCGGCCGCGCAGGGCCGTGGCGGTATCATCCACTTCGAGATCCAGCCCAAGAATATCAACAAGGTCGTCGAGGCGCAGCTCCCCATCCTCGGCGACGTTGTAGCGAACTTGGTGAACTTGGTGCCCCAGATACGCTACGACCCTCGGGAAGAGTGGTTCAGGGATATCCGGGAGTGGAAGAGCCGGTACCCGTTCACGTACGTGAAGAGTAATCCGGAGAAGGGGGAGGCGATGAAGCCGCAGGAGGTGATTGAGGAGATGAACCGCCAGTTGGCGGGGAAGAAGGACCAGGTTGTCGTCAGCACGGGCGTTGGGCAGCATCAGATGTGGGCTGCGCAATTCTATCGGTGGACGCACCCGAGGTCGATGGTCACTTCGGGCGGCCTAGGGGTGAGTAATGGTGCGGAAATCATGATATTGTTGTACTGAGGCGGATGTTGCAGACTATGGGCTTTGGCTTACCCGCGGCTATTGGAGCCAAGGTCGCCGCACCGGAGAAGATTGTTGTCGACATCGATGGTGACGCTTCGTTCAGCATGACTGCAATGGAGCTCGCGACGGCATCCGCCTCTGGCGTCGGTGTCAAGGTTATCGTGCTCAACAATGAGTTCCAGGGTATGGTGCTCCAATGGCAAGGTTAGCGTCGTCTTTCGAAGTGTATTATGTGCGGGTCGGACTAAGCGATGATGTCAGATCTGTTCTACGACGCTCGGTACTCGCACACGCGGATGGTCAACCCTGATTTCATTGCCTTGGCTAAAAGCATGCGGGTGCATGCTATCAAGTGCACTAGCGCCGCGGAACTGCCGGAGAAGATGAAGGAATTCCTGGAATACGACAACTCGAAGCCCGTGCTCATGGAATGTGTGGTGGAGACGAATGAGCATGTGTTCCCTATGGTACGTTCGTTCGTTCCGAAATGGAGGAAGCCTCGCTCAATCATCGTGTTAGGTTCCCGCCGGCAAGGCTCTCCACCAACAGCTGTTGCACCCCACCCTCGGTGGTTCGTCTGAATCCTCATAACGGTTTGAACGTGTAAAACAAAAGGCTTCGACGCCACACAGCATGCTAACGTTATTTATCCTCCTGCATTTCCCTCTCGTCGGCCATCACTCACCATTGCATTATTTCCTGATCCCGCGCACATAGCGCGATGTATTCTCCTTCCCCACCATTTCCTTGCCCCAATGCTGCATAGTTTCCTGCTTTGTTTTACAATGCTCTTCGGATGTGTATTATAACATTCATCTAGGGTATACAGGAGGTAAAAAGGGCCCATTAGGGAGCCCTGCTACAGAATAATATAAGTCGACGCGCATGTCTCATTGACGCTACTTACCGTGGGAACGTACTGTCCGCTATTCGATTACACGGGTAATCAAACACCCAAGTCAGACCAATACTTGATCGAGGTTGGTATCCTCGTCCGTTATGACCGTCTAGTTCATTGCTGGCATTCCGTCGCTGACATTGTCTTAGACGTCGATGCCGCCGCCCACAGCCTCGGATACGTGGCTTGCTGGCAGACGCTTTGGAGTAGTTATTGACGCTGGCTCGTCGGGTTCGAGACTGCAGATATACAGCTGGCGGGATCCGAGGCTTGTGAAGGCGGAGGATCATAAGGCGTACAATGCTCTGCCAAAGATAGAGAAGGGCACCAGAAATGGAGATGAGTGGGTTACGAAGGTGGAACCTGGTACGTTTACTGTAACTTAGTTCTACGTGGACGCCTGTCTCAAAGCGGGGGTGGCCAGGTATATCCACATTTGCAGAAAACCCAGAAGGCTTACCGGCATATCTTGCGCCTTTGCTTGATCATGCTCGTTCACATATACCGCCCTCGCTACAGCCGGAGACGCCCTTGTTCTTGCTAGCGACAGCGGGTATGCGACTCTTATCTCCCGACCAGCAAAGGGAAGTCCTCCAGGGGACGTGTCAATTCCTGAAGTTCCATTCCAATTTTCGGATTGATGACGCTTCTCCAATGGGACCGTGCGGCTCTAGCGTACGGATAATAACTGGAGAGGAGGAAGGTCTCTTTGGCTGGATCGCAGTAAACTACCTCATGGATGGCTTTACTCCTCGGGACGACCACCACACCACGTATGGATTCCTGGACATGGGTGGAGCTTCCACTCAGATAGCATTTGAGCCTAAAGCCGAGGATCGGCACGGCGCGGATAACTTGATTGATGTTCGCTTGCGTCTCGTAAACGGCAAGGAGATCTATCATCAGGTATTTGTGACCACCTGGCTTGGGTACGGGACCAACCAAGCTAGGGAACGGTATGTGGCGCAAGCTATAACACAATACGAGGATACGCTGTCCGCGCCTCCCTCCGAAGGCGCGTCCGCCGCTGGAGAGCTTATTCCCGACCCTTGCCTTCCGAAAGACCTCCATCTTCTTGAATCACCCGTCCATACGGGTGTCTCTACGGCGCACAGCCGGAAGCCGCATACGTTACTAGGGACTGGCTCTTTTGAGCAGTGCCTGAAACAAGTATCCCCTCTACTCAACAAGCATGTGGACTGTGCGCGTCCTCCTTGCCTATTCAACGGTGTTCACGTCCCGCCCATCGACTTCTCTGCCTCCCATTTCATTGGGGTTTCGGAGTACTGGTATTCTTCTGAACACGTCTTCGGCTTGGGCGGGCCGTACGACTTCGTGCAGTACGAGCGGGCCGCATCAGAGTTTTGTGCTCGGGATTGGACACAGATCTTACGAGACCACGAAGCTGCGAGCTCTGATCACGTCGAAGTCTCCCGTTTGCAAATGCAATGCTTCAAGGCAGCGTGGGTAGTTAATATGCTTCACGAAGGGATCGGCATGCCGCGAATCATCGACTCTGGCGGCAACAATACCACCGACGGCGATAAGGTAGCTGAACAAGCTGCCGCGAAGGGACTGGGGAAACCGATGTTCCAGTCTGTAGACACTGTCGGTGACGTTGCGATTAGCTGGACTCTGGGGAAGATGGTGCTGGAGGCTAGTAAACAGGTTCCTGTGCTAGAGGCCAATCGGAACAAGCCTCCGCTTTCGGACCCGTTGGAAGACATACCCGAGTCCAGCAATATCACCATCAAGCCGATTCGCCCATTCTGGCACTTGGACACGATTGAAGATGTACTGGCTCCCCATCTCCCCCCGGCCTTGACGAAAGCCTCTCTCGGCTTTTCGCCGGTTGGGTGGGCGATATACCTTTTCGTGATATCGACATTTTTATTGGTTATTTATCGGCTTCGGCACCAGCTTAAAGTTTCTGCGCGCCGGATGGTTAGAGGTCCCTTCAAGAAGGACAGGGATTACGTAGCCGACAGCTATGTTATGGAGGAAGGTCAGCCGTTGTACGGAAATGGGTTGGGGTCGCCCTCGTCGTCTCGCCCGCAATCACCCATCTCCGGACCTCGCGCTTGGCTTTACCCGCTGCGCAGGTTGCTCTCTTCATCTTCAAGGACTCGGTCTGCAGCCAGCGTCATGAACGGACATCGTCCCATCTTACGGCAAACGAATGCAACGCCCCGAGTATCGCCAATCCATCGGTCCTTCTCCTCCCCTGCCATGAACGCAGGCTATGCGAACGGGAATGGAAACGGATACGGCAAGCCGAGCCTGGCCAGCATGCCACATCCGCCCGTCTCACCCTCATCTCAAAGTTTCTACCAGGACGAAGCCCTCTATTCCCTAGCCAATAGCAACAACGTATCCTCGCTATCGTCTCGCTCTCGCAATTCATCGCAGATGAATTTGTCGACCTTGGTGCCTAGGCCGGCCAGCTCACGGAACGCGAGTTCCCTGCATCTTCCCAGCGGAGCAGCGTTGCATGAAGAATGAGCTATGATTGGAGCGCATGTCTCTGGAGGCGTCACGTATCGAATCACGACGTTTCGCGGGACTATGTTGCCACGATCACCACGAGCTGAATGACCGACGAAGTGGCGCCTTATCTGTCGTAAGACAGAAATAGCCAGGCTGGGTGTGTCCGCCAGATCGCACGACACGCTCATCCGAGTCCACGCGGTTTATCCTCCACGAGGGAGCTATAGCTTTATGGCGAGCCGAAGCCCCGTACTTCCAGAGCCTGCGCCAGGGCACCAGTAGGATGCTAAGGCGTCCGACGGGCCATGGTTGGTTCTAATCGGATAGAGCGTGCCCAAATGCTAATGTTGAAGCAAGCATGTGGTTGCTACGAAAGAACTCTCCGACCATAGTGCCGTGGGAGGGAACGAGTCAATGAGCATCCGTCGTAGAGAAGAACAAGCGTTGTAGTATGCGAGGAGGGGGATTGAAAGGCGGAATCAGAAGAGCGCAGTAGATTTCTTATGAATGGGATTGCTAGTGGACTAGGGACGATGAACTGATGGATGATGTTCGTACAATATACACTGCATAATGCTATTGTTACCGTACTACGACAGATTGCCAAGATTGCGTGAACGAAGCATGGGGTATGCTGATCATGATGATGACTGATATGTTTCGCTATCCAACGAGTGTCCTCGAGAGAAGATAACGAGAGAATGCTCGACCCAAATACAGCCTCGAGATGTTTCACTGTCAATGCCCCTGGGAGGTTGATCATGCCCTCCTAGGGCGCGACCGTGTCCCTCCAGTATTATTACCATTAGACTGTGGGGCCTTCTTGAGCCTCTTGGATTTCGCCTCTCGTAACCGGAGAACATCATGTACCCAATCGGTCTCTTCAGCTTTTTCCAAACCAACCTTATACAAACGAGTCTCTTCCTCAGAGTCTTCCAGCGGTTCCAGGGTCGTTCGTTTCTCCCACCGCCACAGCAACAACTGGATGATAGCCTCCGGCAGGAGGACGTTGGAGCAGTACTAGCGCATATGCGTAAGACATGAGAAGCTGCTCATTGGCTGGAGAGGATATGAAGTACCTCGACTTTCTCGACACCTGATAAGGACTCGAATGTAGCGGGTTGCCTCGCGGGAGCCTGGGGGAGAAATGAGACATGTCATTCTCCGAATCACAAAGTTCGGTGGACGGGCCGACTCACCTCTGCTTCTGGAGAGTTAGCTCTTGGGGACGGCTCGTCTTGTCGCTCGAGGCACTGTGCCTGAAAGAGACAGGTCAGGACGGATGCAGTAATAGCGAGTAAATCCTGGGACTGGCCTCTCTGGATTCTTCTGACAATGGGGAGAATTCATTCTCCTCCTGTTCCTCATTTTAAATGGCACTCTACATGCAAGGCGAAAGGACGAACCTGTATATCATCCGTTACCGCCAGTGAAGACGGCGGAGGTTCCGCGGGGGAGGATGGTAGGGTCTATGCATACATCCGTGAGATGCATCGTGCAGAGCATAGGAGATGACTCCTACCTCGACTTCACTGCTGCGTGTTCCTGAAGCAGGATCATCATATCCACGCCCTTGTGGACCATCGGATGCCGCTCCCGTAGCTACTTCCAGCCCGTCCGAGTTCTGCATCTCACCTTCCGGTTCGTCGCGCAGAATCCACCTACTCAACCGCCTCTGCAGCTGCGCCACCTCCAACGCCGTCAAATCGCCCTTGGCGGCAGCGCTCTTGCACACGTTGACCCGGGCCGCGCCACCTTTCATAAAGGCCGCGTGCCGAGCGCGTGCGGGCTCGTACTTCTCCTGCATGATCAGCGACAGGACAGGTTTCACGTACGCGAGCTGCGCGGCGATGGGCAGCGCGCAGAAGTCGATGCGGGGTGGCGGCGGGAGGGAAGGCGGCTCCTCAGACTCGGGTTCGGAAGCACCGTCTTCGAGCACCCCGTCGTCGTCCTCGTCGTGATCATCGTTATGTGCCTCCTCGAGACTGACAGAGCTCTCAAACTGACCGAGCTACCAACACCGTCATTTATGTACCTAAAACTCATTCATATCTCAAAGTAAAGCGCGCACACACCTTGCAGTCCACGAACCCGCGCTCCTCGCACGTGTAGAACAGGTCCCGCGTCACCCGGTGCGTCGTCTGGTCGAGGTACTGCAGCTCGTATCTTGGCGGCGCGCGACGGTGCGCGGGCGGGACGTACGCCATTACCTTCGCGGGCCAGTACTCCGTGCGGTTCCTGCTCTCGCGTGCGAGCACGAGCTCGCCCGGGATCTCGAGCAGCGCGTCGGGCGGCGGCGGGGACCAGCGCTCGTCCTCGTCTGGGTCCGGGCGAGCTGGGGTTGCCTTGGATTTGGGTGTCTTGGGTTTCTTGTGGTTGCGTCCTGGACCGGAGCCCAGCAGGGAGCTGAACGAGCTGACTCCGGCGAAGGCGAAGAGCGACGAGGCGCTGGGAAGGCCGTCATTGTCCTCCGCGTCCTTCGCGACCATCTGCGCCACGGCATCGTTCCACCGCGTTTCCAGATCTGTCTTCTGTTTCTTCCTGGGCGACGCCTGATACGAACTCGACGGCATGCTCAGGGTGAAGTTGTTAGAGTTGAATCGTATTATGTGTCGCGGTGAATGCATAGATAGGATGTTCGCACTCGAGGGAGTTCGTATCTCGGTAGTTTGCGGACTGTATGCGCTCGGTTTACCAAACAACGAAACTTTCAAAGGCAGCGCATCGATATTGTCATTGTCATTCAGGATCTTAAATGAACAATACAAACCTCCTTAAGACGCTGACTAACTCCGTGAAACGACAGGATACGACTTACCCTGCCTGGCCACCAGAATGCTGTGTCCGAGGCATATTCATCTTCTTCACTCTCATTCGATACTGTGTTTCCGTGCTTGTCAATGCGCACCCAGACGAGCGACCCCAGCTTCCCCAGGTCCCATTCATCCTCCTCCTCCTCAGCCGCCGCTTGGCTTGGGACGGGCGAGTTGTCTGCTGCGAACATGCTGCTCACGGGCCGGGGCGGCGGTCGAAACTGCTTCTGCTTAGGCGTTGACGGTCTAGAGACAGAGGATAGGTCCGACAGCTCGCTCAGGCTGGTGGACGAGCCCGGAGCGCGCTTCAAGGGCGACGCACGCGGAAGCGTAGCGGTTGTAGTTGTACTTGTAGTTACAGTCGTTGAAGGCGGTACGTCAGACGCCGACCGCGACCGGGATAGCTCCGAGAGCGGCGAGGACGACAGCCGCCGTTTCTTCAGATTCGCTTGGGACTGTTTCTTCGGAACCTTGGCCTCTCTTTTGGTCGGAGTGGCGGCCGTCACGCCAGACTTCCTTCTTGCTGGCTGTCGCGCGGTATTATCAGGAGCGATCGTCCGACCCTTGCCACCGTAAGTAACGGTCGTGTTCCCTTTCTTCTTTGATGGGCTGGGATACGCAGAGGACGCGTCCGAGGGCAGGGCATCGTCGGAGTCAGAGTCCGTCAGCTGGGCTGCAAAGCTCCCCGCCGCTTTCTGCGCTGCCCTTCGACGCGAGCCTGATACCTGCACGTCGTCATTCATCGTCAAGAACCTGGGGGTCGAGGAACGCGTCGTGCCACCGCCAGGTCTTCACGATACGTACTAAGGGTCCAGCGTCGGCTCACTAGTATGAAAGAAAGCGCCGGAAGGGCTGAGATTGAAGCAAAGCCAAGAAATGAAAATACGGAAAAGGTTTCGCGAGGACGACGTCGCTGGGATCGCCTGCTAAGTCGTCCACAACAGACGCGGACAAGGCGCGTCCGTCACGAACACCATTCGATCACGCATTGTGCCGCCGAACTTAGAGTTGCCGGCTCAGTTAGCTTGACTCGGTTCAGTTCACGGTTCAATTCATCGAATAAATTATAACATGCAAGGAAAACAAGGGAACACGCTGTTAATATACTAGTCATATTGACAGGCGTCAACATCATTTTTGACCCGCAAGCTACCCTGAGGAAACACCGGATACGGCACTGGTACCACCCATTACAAGAGGGACAGCAAAGAACCAGCCGCCACGACACCCATCAACCCAGCCGAAACACGCTGCCCGCTCACAGCAGCGTTGCTGTTTGTCGCAGACGGTGCGCTGCTTGTCTGCGACGGGCTGCCCGAGCCTGAGGAGGATCGCGAGCTCGGCGACGTCGAGGTCGCCGAGGGCGAGCTGGCGGTGTTGCTCGCGCTTCCGCTGCCAGTGGCGATAGCGACGACCGTAGGATCCGCGGGGAGCGTGTCGACCTCGGTGGACGTCTGCCCGTCCTCCGTGATGGTGCCCTCGCACACTGCGGAGGCGCCGGATATCGAGCACGAGACGACCGCGCCGCCGTCGCCCAGCGCGTATGTAACCACTGCGTCGTTCGGTCCTTCGATCAACGTAGCTGGTAGAAGGGGGGATGCGTTTAGAGCGCCGAGAAACGGCTGCTGAGAATACTTTGCTTACCTGTGCCGGGGAACTGTGGCGTGTCGGTGCCCGAGGCAGCGCCAGATGCCACGGCCCACGTCGTCCGCCCATCACTCCCCACACCGATCTCGCTCACGCTGAGCGGTCCATCACCAGCTAAACCCGGGATGAACAGCGACGTCGTCTGCGCGCCCGCACTCAACACTGCAAGGACTCTTCATCAGCAACCGCTGGATCGCAGCAGACAAGCGCACGTACCCAACGCACTCGTCAGAAATAGACCAGCAATCGCGCGAGACATATCAAACAATTACAACGACAACAACAACAACAGTGATTTCGTGGAGGTAGACGAGAACGAGGGCGACGAGTTCAAGCGCCGTGCACTGCAAGCCCGCTATATAAGACGCAGCCCGGCGCTACGGGACAGCATCCTTGTGTTCCTATCCCACAAACACGCCTCTTCTGGCCGCCCGGAGAAGTCTGGCCTGATGGGTTTCAGGCTTTCAGCCTCCTGGAACAGCACTGCCGCTCTTGTGTGCGATGGCTGATGCGGGATCAGTCTCGGGCTTGCGGGCAGGTCAGTGGTACTCGCTGCCCATTGACTTACCAGTATTCTGTTCGGCTCGTTGAAGGCCCTTAATTACCCATGTTATAAACACACAGCAGTGGTGGAAAGCCTGACATTTGGAACGATACAGAGAGAGAGATCCAGCTGGGCCAGCCACCGACGCCGGGGACCTACAGTAAAGGCGCCGGACCGGGCATCTCGGAACATTTATTTCGTCTTGCAATTGATGCACCCCCTGGCGTTGTCCTCAGGTCCCTCGTATTCGGACAATTGGTAGGAAATAACAATCGCGACCACATCTGAATCCGTTCCATAAACTACAATATTGATACATATACCACAAGAACGACGAGAAATGCTACAATAAATCAAGACTGCGAGGGCCATACCATGCCACATATTATACCACGGATAAAAAAATGAAAATGCACGCAGAGCAGTCCGGACGCACGTCTACGAATCCCCATTAGCCTCCCCACTATTACTCTCACCATGCGTGCCGTTGAAAGCTGCGTTGATATTTTGTTGCGTCAGCTCCGTCGACGCATGCCGACTCCGCGCCGGCGTATTTCTCCCAGACGGCGACGGCGACATACCCAGCCGGGGCGTAATAAGACCGCTGCCCCCCGCGCCATACACGAAACCACCACTAAGACCCTCGAACGAGCTCGAGTAGCCTGCAACGCCCCGCGTCAGGAGACAGAGTATCCTCGCGGACTAAATTAAACTGACCTGGAATCAGCACGTTGTCCCAAAAGCCCGTGCTCAGAATACTATCAATCGACAGCATCCCGTTCGCGTCCTCGGACGCGTGGCTCGGCGCCATCGTCGGCGGGAACGTCGTGATATCCACAGCGGGGCCCATCTCCCCGCCGAACTGGAAGTCCGACAGCGAGCCATGGTGCTGATGCTGGTGGTCCCCGCCTAGAGCGCTGAATGGATCGTTCGCGGATTTATGGTTCGGGGTAGTATCTCCGTTTAGGTGTGTACCATTATGTCCTCCGGAACTTGCGTCCCCCGAGGAATTGTCTGTGCGCGCGGAGAGCAGGGCCCGCAAGAACACGCTGTATAGGTGGGGTGTGTGCATGGGGCTCGCGGCGATATTTTCCAAAAGGTCCGCGACGTCTTTGACCAGCGATAAAGTACTTTGCTCATGATCAAGGAACGCCTGAAATTCCGGGCGGACAAGCTACAACGACACTTCAGCTCCCCCATCTTTCCACTGCAAGAACAGCGAGTCGATCGCACCTTTAGCAAACTCAGCACCGCATACGACACAAACACAAAATGCGAATCCGGTGAATACTTGAGGTACCCCTTCGGCCCCAGCTCATCCCTAAAAATCAGCGCGCACGCCGTCGCGCACGAGTGGCACGTCGCGAAGAAGTACCCGATATCCACGGCCGACCGCTCCAGCGCGTTCTGCAGCCCGAACGAGTTCACCACGAGCATGTAGTAGTTGTAGTAGAACCGCCCAATGAGCATGCGGTACTCGCTCTCGGCCTCGCTGGCGGGCGAGTTCTGGCGCAGCGTCCACTCGTGCTGCCACGCGACGATCTGCGTCTCGATCGTCTTGGTGATGAGCATGTAGTCGCAGGAGGCCTGGAGACCTGATGGTGTTTCCGTGCCTGCGTACAAGATGTCGAGGCTGCGAGAGACGATTTGCAGCAGAGCCTGCTGACTGTATTACGACGCGCCCCGGGAACGTTCAGAATTGTGACTTACGGTATACGCAGCAAGGCCTATGTCGCCGGGAATGGCTGACGGGGCCTTGGACCACTGCATAGAGTTCCGGATGATGAAACTATCGAGGAACATGGTCAATCAATCAGGCAATGGAAGCAAAGAAGCATGCGCACGTACTCTTCCTTGATAGAGTGCGGCTTCCCCATCTGCGCGCTCAGGCTCCGATCTAGGCAGAAACAGAGAAGCCACGTCCGCTCCCGGTTGTGTACTTCCCGGTCGCGCGCCTTCCCCTCAGCAGTCTCATGGCTTACGTTAGGCTGCTTGCGGTGCAGATTGAGGTCCGTGGCCATCCTGTGTAATACTTTCAGTCCCAATCCCACAGAATAGATGCTGGCGACGGCACTGACCTGATGGCCATACCCATAAGAAACCATGTCTTGTCTTGCTCAAACCGTTCTACGGGACCGCAGCCCCATAGTACTAGCAAGAGATACGCCTGTACGATTTCGACCGACTTGTATCCCATCGCGGGCACGTTGAACGCCAGCTTTCTGGCAAGATCGGTCAGCCTTGAATGCAACTCTGGGCGCGCTTCATAGAATTTAGAAGCCACCGCGCAGACTATACAGGTCAGCACATAGGAAATCTCAGGGGTAATAATAAATGCTCACTGGTGGTGAGGAGAAAAGGAGAGCGCGAGCAGACTAGCGAGGGGGTATGAAATTCGGGATCTAGGAGATTACAATGCATCTACGGATTTGTTTACGGGACGTCAGGACGGACTTGCGGTATGCACTTACGTTCATATGTGTAAAATATCTGATGGGAGGTCAGATATCCACGAAGTGTCACGGAGGATGGTGTACAAACATTTTGAACAGGGCTACTACTTCTTCCGTATTCACGAAACTGAGCATTTCCGGCTGCACCTGCCGCTCGATGAAGAGACGACGCAGGGGAAGTATGGTCATCGGGCCTATACATCATGCCTGCGTGAACATGTTTTATAGCACGGAGGAAAATAGATACAAACCTGGCTTGAAGTACGCCTCACTCGCAACGCCCACCTTCCGGGGAGCGTCCCCGTCGGGATGTTGCGCTTGGGACGCACCATTGGGCTTCGATGCTGCCTGGGCTTTACGGTTTGCCAAACTGGCCTCCGCAAGGAGGCCCAGGGGATTAAGGCTGTTGTCCGGCAAGGAGTGCAGCTGTGGGGAGGGTGGCTGGGGTAAGTGCGAAGCCGATCGGTGGCCCGACGGACCGGCCGCGTCCTGTGGGGTCGGCGGTTCCGAGTCTAAGAAGGTATGCGTCGTCTGGCCGGACGGGGATGGGGACCGCGAGATGATGCTCGCTGCGAGGTTCGGGTTACCTACCGCACGAAGCACTGTGTCCAAGGTGCGTTCCATCTTCCGGAGGGAACGTGTGAGCAATTCATGTTTCCTACGCAGACCATTACTATACTCGTCTCTTGGAGACAAGGAACAAGTTAGTTTCTTACTTGGCTGACCGCTTTCCTCTGTTCGATTCTTCGAATATACATTCGTGGTTCCCGTTTTGACAGCGCTTACATGGCGGGCCATGTTCGGCACCGACGCATTTCATCTTTAGACGACGACAAACAGTACAGGCCCTAGAATGGAGCAACTTAGCCGCCAAAACTCGGGCGCTCTCGGGGAGTGGAGCCCACCTGGACCCTCTTGTAGTCTTCGGTTTCGGCTCCTCCTTCTCTGCCGCAGGGCTCGGAGAATCCGCCTCTTCTTCTTTTCGAGCTTTCTTGCGGATGCTGCTACCCTCACCTACTGAAAGGGACGGCGGGCGCTTTCCGTTAGCATTACCGTTGGGAGGGAACATCTGGTGGTCAATTGGGGGCGTTCCGAGGGCCTCGGAGCCCTGGGATGAGGGGGAAGAAAGGCTGGGAGCGGGATTTAGGGTCAAATGTTGGGGATGCATAGGCGGCGCCTGCTGCTCCTGGTGGTATGGGTAGTAAGTCGGAGGGTAGAGGGCGAGGGAGGGGTCGATTGGGATGGACGGTGACGGGGATGGCATGGAGTGGTGGGACATGTCGGGAGTCTGGTGATGCATGGACATGGCTTGCTGCTGATAGCTGTAGCCCGACACCTGCTGTGTCTGTGGCATATAGTAATGAGCGTACGGCATGACAGGGCGAAGGAAGTGGGAGCGGCGAGCTGAACTGAGGCTCAGATCCCACCAGGGAGGATGTGCGATGTGCGAGTTTAAAGCAGATCAAGAACGGAACTCACCAAGTCCGCGACGCGAAATATAAGCAGACGCGAACGAGCGTATAGGGTAACGGACCAAAGCCGTTCTATATCGAGACGGGAGCGTACGCGCGCGAGGAGCGCGTGATGGGAGCGATGAAATGTTTCGTAACAGACAACCCTCGAACCTGGATTCTGCAGAGAAGACGCCTATTCTGAGCGGGCATGGAGGCTTTACCGCCACGGTTGTAGATTGGCTACGAACCTTCTGAGTCAGATCCAGCTATTTTGACGCCAGATTGGCCGTTCGACAGTGAGAATGCAGCGAAGCAGACAAATTATAGGCGGTCCTGGAAACAGACAGAGAGAGTTTCAGCCAACCGTTGCGGCCATGGGAAGCAGGAGGAAAGGCTGCGGACTTCAAAATCTCAGCCGACCCCGCACTGGCTGCCAATTCCCGCGGCTCGGTTGCAACTCGTGTATGTTTCTTTCGTTCCTCCTCTATGTCCTTCGCTGCTCGGTTCTGCTCTGTCTCAACGACTGCCCTCCATATGCTGTCCCATGGGGCTATAAATGGTTTCCAACTTATGTTTCTCATGATTCAGAATGACGTTTAGGCACCGCAGTTCCTGCATTATTGTCCCCTGGCTCTTTCAAGGATACTTAAACTTATGCTGCAGAGCCAGCATTTGCAATATAGCAGCCAGCTTTACGGTGCCGACGATGACGGAACCAAGGCCGCTCCAGGTACAGGACAGTATCTCCGCCCACGCGTCTTCGCTCGAGTACGACCGTGCTCGTGACTGCTGTCAGACGGGCTGGAGAAGGCGAAACGGGCCAGTCATAACGTTGCCCTGCTCCTGGCCATGGGAAGCGTCACGCTAAAGACACAAATATCCCATCGCAGGCGTCGATCATGATCCATACCCGTTCTCCGAGCTTTGTCCATCTCAACGCTGCCGGATTATGAACGCTTCCGAGGGCTGTGGTTACCTGCAGTCTCGACTGGCTATGCCTCTACTCTCCTCCTGTCAAGCCGTCGCTCTGATGTCTTTAAATTGTTGAGACATCATGCCGTCGGCGAGTATTATTACCAGACACCGTCTTATCATATCCAAAGTGATATGATGGCTGCCGTAACGCCTGATTGATTGGCTTTCTTCTCCCAGTAAGTCTTTGTTTATTGGAGTGCTTACCTCGTGTGATACAGGCCGGAAACATCCTTGCCAATGTTCCTACTCTGTCCGGCATGTCAAGGGTGGGTGTTCGTTACGCTCCGTTTGATAATGGTGTGCTCAAAGGAAACAGAAAAAACCACATACGAAGTCCGTATGGCAAGGCATTCTCAGTATTTCTCACCCAAGTTGGGGCTAGTGACAACCTCCACCTATTCTATCCGTGCACCTCTCCCGCCTCTGACTCATGAGGCTTAGCTCTACTCTTACGTTCTCTAACCAACGTGGCGTCCGCAGGTGGGATCTACCAACGACTGCGGACATTGAACGACCCGCTCAATACCATCGGCTCGTGCATGACCGTCAATCTTACTGCTTCCGGGCCTCATGATATCATTTCGTAGAGCCCACCTCTCGGACCGTCCTTATGGTCAACAACCTCTAAAGGTAATGCCCCCGCCACGACATACTTACTCCTGGCGTATGGCAGCCTCGGTGCCGCGGTAGATTATCTCGAAGATGATGCTCGACAGATATGCAGTAAAGCCCGTGCCGTCTCGGGCCGCTGTCCCCCCATTGGCAGACATCGTGCTTCGCGGTTGGTGCCCTCCTGTCTCTTCCGTAAACCGTAGATCTCCGTGCCTCGAGGCTCACTTTGTCTTGGCAGCAAGGATGACGAGCGTATTATCTTCGGTCGGATGTGGCTTGGATTCGCCGCCTCGCTGTTGCGGCTCCAGGCGCTGATATGACATGAATCTGCCAAAGAGCTTGCTTTAAACTCAGGAGTCCCCCTCGAACATGCAGTGCTCCTTTTCTACCATCTCAGTGGCCCTACGTCCAAGATCGTTCATTAATCTATATGCGGTCAGCCTTTATCTACCAAGCCGTCCGCTTCCGTTTTTCAGTTGTTCGGCGCAGACTGCGACGATAGCAGCGTATGTCCAAGGCTCTCCATCAGGTATAAATACGTGCTTTGGTGCATTACGGCACGGCTGATTGGTGAACCTTGGTGCTAGTGCAGGTTCTTGAAGCACGCTCCATGTGCATGTTTTATCTTCCTTCCCACACGTCCGTAGATTGATTCAGACGCAATTTGGTTCTGAACCAGCCCGCAACTAGCAGAGCTATTACTTTGGGGGCTTAAATGCAGACGATAGCGATCGCCCGTCACATGAGAGCGGCCCCGAATCCGTTCTATATATGAATATTATGGCACTTCTCCCCGGGGCAGGATATGGACATGGGCTCAGAAGAAGTACCTCCCCCGGTCTCCACTCTTCTCTGTTCCGGAGTTTGGCAAAGTGGCTGTGAGGATGAACCTTGTTTCGGCCGAGCTACGTCTCAGCCTTTTGCCCACCGCTCTTGGACCGTGCTACCCGCGTATACAAGAGGGGATGATATTATTGTTCGTCCGAGTTGTCTGGGAGGTGTGTCCCAGGTGGAGCTATAATGCACCCATATAAGTTGTTGGGAAGCCTGGAGTCCTGGACACGGCGGTCCTTCTAGCGCAGAATGCTTCGTATATAGTGAGCCATCCTACGGTTTCTCTTTCTAGCTACCAGTGATCTTAATCTACTTTTCAGGGCGCGGATATCCATCGGATGCAGACGTACTCTTCTACGGCGCACAAACTGCTTGCTTTCTGACCCCGCGGACTCGGAAATCATTCGGAAATGCCACAGTGTGGGTCGGCAAGTTGCTTACTGGTTGCACATACCACTGTAACAGAAGGCATCAGGCGGCGGCCTGCCGTAGATGGTCAGCTCCCGGTACTAGCAACGCTAGATCATTGTTGGTGGCATTTCCAGAGACGTGGACAACATATTCATAGCCTTCTTCAATTAGCGCGTGGCTATCCAGAACGTCTTCGACGCCGCCGCCGATGCGCTACCTACCAGAGCCAACTAGCGGGAGCTCACGATACCAAGACCGACGTTTCTGTCAAGGAGACCTCCCATATCATCGCTTATCAGTGTGGTGAAACTGTCAATAGTCGTGGACCCACTTACGAGACGACTCGGACGTTCCTCCTCTAAGTCTTGAGTCCAACTACCGGGGATGCTACCGCTTTCTTCGTCCTACTATGCCAAGGAAGACGGATGCCGGCGGCGTTCCACTTGTTCTATCGTTTGTACGTGTCGTTAACGGCATGCATACTAGAGCATAGAGTCGACCCTCGAACGTGCAAGAAAGCGGCTGCCAACGCGAACCGACTGCTATGTAGTTACGTTGCTTCTACTGCCGAATATTCCAGACGTTGGTTCTGCAGCGTGTTCAGATCGGCACTCCATGCACTTTGCTGTACTATACCTTGACCTGCAGCTTAATGGATTCATTGTCGATTATCCGTTCAACTTTCACCATCGTAAGTAATATGACCTGACTGCAAATACTCCGTCCTTCTGAATCATTACCGCCACAAATCACTGTCGGGTAGATCATTTGCACTGGTTGAGCATGTGTGTGGTTCAACGTAGCGTGACTAATTTACCGGATGTCACAAGGTGCTTCTTGTGCAGTTGCGTGACACTGACAGCACTGAGTTTCGAGTTCTCCGACGCGGAGAATGTTCGCTCGTCGTGCTGGGTGTCCGCCCTCTCCGCCCCTCCACATAGAGAAACATAGGAAAGATCCTCTTACACCTCTTCAAAAACCACACATTTTATATGCCTCCCAAGTAATGTGGCAGTCGATGCCGCTGACTGGTGAAGCGGTGGCGGAGCTGCGACAATTGATCGGGAAAGGAGGAGTCAGGGGTCAATGCCACTCCGCGAATCGGCGTTCCTATCTACTATCCAGCACTACTCAGAGTCGACGTCCACTTTTTCGTCCTGTCTTAGTCTTCAGCCTCGAACTCTCCATCCTCTGCCTTATCTTTTACGACGGTATAACCACCATGCCACCAGCTCGCAGAAGTACGCGCAGCCGCAAGGGCTCCGGTTGGCACAAGAAAGGTTACCGAGACCATGGTAATATGTGGATCAACATCCGAAGGGCAATGTACGGCGGACCTTTCGTCCGCGGGCACGAAGTGAACGAGTGCGCCACTATGCAAGAGTTCTTGGACGGAGTGATCAGTACGTCCCGGTGAACATGTAGCGGCTTGGCCACTCGGGCATGAACGGCTTTTCTAGGGGACATTAGCATGGAAGAGGACTTCCCGATCCCTGAAGACTGGCTTTTGGACGTGCAGCGTAGAGGGAAGTCGCTTTTCCTGGAGCCGATGGATGCCCCTGTTACGGATTACTTCGATGGCGGTGAACAGATTACTTGCAAAGTATGTAGTCTTGATTTCATCGCTCTGATGTTTTGTCTGTCTCAAATCCCCAAGGTCTTCGACGACGAAGGTATCAGGTGATCTACGAATTCGGCCAGGGATGGGTATGCAAGTGAGGCGCACCATGGCGCACCCTGAACCACCGATTATAGGAGAGTCGGGTAGGATCGAATGCAGGACGCTACAAATTCGGTGAGTTGTAGCGTACGTGCGTAGTTGCCGACACATACCTTCCATCAGCAATAACCAAACGAGTCGTCATATATCCTATCGTACAACGCCTCTGGAGGAACAATTCCTTATAGCAGACTAGTCATCTAATCATCTGTACATCCGTAGCATTCGGACCGCTCTGATACGGGCGGCTAGATAATCAGCAACTTTTGTACTGTTGCCCACGGGCCGTAATTCAATTGACTATCCCATGGCTCATGAGCACGTTCAGGAATATCTCTTCTCGAATTTGTATCGGGATGACAACGAAGCCATGGAACGCCAGAGCTGACCCTGACGGTGAGACAATGAGACGTTAAGTACATGCTTCGATTGTTTGACTTTCAGCGGTCTGCTTGGAGCGGTAGGAAAGTACCCAGGGACACGGATGTGAGCACTTTTTGATGGAAGCGCGGCAGTTTGACACAGAGTGAGACGAGGTTATCAATCTTCACAGAGCGCTTCGCGTTTGAAGATCAACATGAGGTCGGCCAGCACGGGCCAAAGGCCGTCTCATATGCGAGTACACCATGTGCCGGAACAGCTCGGGCGACTAGCGTGCACTACATGGACAATCGGTCGTCCTCGGGAGAAGTCGAGGCAGATAATACCATTCACGAGGGCTCCAAGTTGTGGGACGGATCGGAGATTACTCGAGGATTTCATGTTACTCCACCCGAGGCCGCCATACCATAGTGCCCGAAGACCAGTGCGCGACATATTTACCGGCCTGTCAAGGCGAGCCTAAGTTTGACCGAGTAATCACTGGACTTGTCGTGCGAGTACTTCAGCATCGCAACCGGTGGGGATGACTGCTTGGCCTGGGGACGCTAACGTGCCTTGATGTCCTGAAGAGCAGTCCGAGAATACAGCGAAAGTAGCTTTTCTTTGTCACTTCGGTAGCATATCGCGGAGAAGACCTGAAGATGCGAATCGCCGCCGCACCCTCCAGGACGACGGTAACTAGCGATAGACGGCGATTTGCACAAACCCAGGGATCCGGATAAGTCATAAACGAATCCATAGAAATCCCTGATCCCATTAATCCTTGAGTATTCTAGAGCGCCGGACGCAGTGATAACATAATGACAGTCAGTGAAAGAGGTGATGTTGAATGGTATGGATATTTCTTCACTCCGGCAGGTCAGATATGGGTATCATCTACGCCATAATGCATCCATCGTCCGTCTTAGACTATTATGAGCGAGGTGGATGTATACTCTGAATGACACATGAGCAGAAAGGAGGCACACACCTAAATAAATAGCTAGCCATCTTCATGAACCTACACCGCTGGGCTAATAGTCCTCCTGGGGCTGCGCGTCCTTGACAACCTACCTTCGGGCGCGGAGGCATGCTGGTGCGGCGGGAAGAGTTGTCCGCAAAGACGGCCACGAATGCGGTAGCAATTCCGTCCCGGACGACTATTAGCGAGTGCAACTTTGAAACACTTGGGCACAGTTCTGAGGGCTCTTGGAAGAGAGAGTATTCCCTGCTCCGAAAGCCTCGTCGACCGCTTTCATGCCGTCCTCCGTCAGTTTGATGGCAGACCATGCGCGAGCGATGGCCGCTGTCTGCGTCGTCGACTTTAGCCGTTCCACTGACGTGCTCTCTTTCACGACCGAGAGACAGTCGTCATGGTTGGGACAAAAGCAGACCGCGCTGCCTGTGGCCACCAGAATTGCGTATTGTGGCGGAGTTCGAACCAGGCTGTTGCCGAATTTGGCTGTTCGCGTCGTCGCTGTACCATCCGCTCCTCGACACGTCCGTTCTCTGCCGTCGCCGCCATGGCATCCAACGGGCAGAGACCTTACCTCGTTCTCGCGCCGTCGGTGAACACGACAACGTGCGCAACTCTGTCCTTTGTGTTGCGCGAATACTGACCAGACTGACGCGTAGTGTGGTCACAACAACAACAACGACCACAACGTACGCGCCGATCCAGCTGCCCCCCTTACCGCCTCCGACGTCGCCCAAGGATCCCAAGAACTATCCCCTGTTGAAGGCTAACCTGCCTCGTTCATTACGACAGTTTCCCTTGGTCTTTCCTAACGGAACACGTGCCACTTTTCGCGATGCAGAAGACGGCGAAGAGGAGATGCAGGAAGATCAGACGTATGTTGGCGGAAACGGCTGGCGTATGCTGCGACGCGACGAAGATGTCGACGCGTCAAAGACAGTCGGCCTGACGGAGGCCATCGAGCGGTTTGGCAGAAAGCGGTCCTACGTCAGTGAGAGCATGATGGAGGGTGTCGAGATGACGAATGACTTTGGCGCAAGTACGCCTCCTCGTAAGAAACCTAGAGGTGCTCCTGTCCCTCCTATATCTACGGTCAATGCTGCCGCGCCCCCTTCACCCCTTCCGTCTCCTCATGGCTCTCCTCCTCCCGAAAGTACTTTGCCATCTGCTCCTCCCAGCGTCGCTGGTTCGCCACAGGCGCAGCCACCCATACAGCCGGACCTGTCTCTAACAACCCTCTTGACTCTGCCATCCCTTCTCTCCCATTTTGCCGCATTACCACCAAATCTACAGTCCCACGTTCTTTTGACTTTCCTAAGGCACTCTCCACTTTCAGTACTGCGGACATTGCATTCAGTCCTTACGCCTACGTTAGCGCGTGACTTCCTGACCCAGCTACCCCCCGAATTGGTCTCCCACATCCTCAGTTTTCTCCCATTCCCGACATTGGCGCGTGCTTCTCGAGTTTCCAAGGCCTGGCGTGCTACCATTGACTCTGACCCTGTTCTTTGGCGCGACCTCCTCAAGAGTACCAAGATCTGGTTTGGCGGCGACTCGGAGCGGGCCTTTGCACAGGCGATCATGGCGCGCCGGCGGCGAAACCAGCTCCCTGTTCCGGATTCTCTACCACTTCCGCATCCCTACAAGATCCTATTCAAGTCACGGCATCTAACTCGCACTCGGTGGATTCAGAACGATAACCCGAAACGGCTGACGTTCCCTGCTCATGGACACGCTGTGGTGACTTGTCTCATTTTCTCTCACGACCGCATCATCTCGGCTTCCGACGACCACTCCATACATGTGTATTCACCCAAGACAGGTCAGCTAATCCGCGCTCTCGAAGGACATGGAGGGGGCGTGTGGGCCCTCGCTGCGACACAGAACACTCTTGTCAGCGGATCTACGGATCGTACTGTACGGATATGGGATCTGAGTAACGGAAGGTGTACTCACGTTTTCGGAGGCCACACGAGTACTGTGCGATGCTTAGCTATTGTTAAGCCAGAATGGTTGGATATCGAGGATGAGGATGGAGTTATTACTAGGGAGAAGTGGCCGAAACAGCCGCTCATCGTTACTGGCAGTCGAGACCATTCCTTGCGGGTCTGGCAGTTACCAAGACCAGGCGACGACGAGTACAGATACTACGGCGCTGATGAAGCGGAAGTGGATCCTGCCGATGTGAGTTCTACCTCTATGCCGTAGTTGTTGCATTGCTGACTTCGTATGCGTTGCCAGGAGGACGTGGAGGACAATCCCTACCACAAACTTCATTTGGAAGGCCATGAGCATGCTGTCCGTGCCCTCGCGGCTAGAGGTCGTACGCTGGTATCCGGTAGTTACGACTGCACGGTCCGCGTCTGGGATATAATCACCGGGAAATGTAGATGGGTTTTGCAGGGCCACACACAAAGAGGTGGATACTTGCCAGACTCATTCAGTGTCTTCCGTGACTAATTTCATCTCCTCCAGTGTATAGCGTTGTGCTCGACATGGCCCGCAACCAGGCGTGCTCGGGCTCCATGGACGGGACGGTCCGTATATGGAACTTGCAGAATGGCCAATGTCGCCATTTGCTCATGGGACACACATCCTTGGTTGGTCTCCTAGGTCTTTCACCTTCCCACCTCGTCTCGGCCGCAGCCGATTCCAGTTTGCGTGTCTGGGACCCGGAGACCGGCGAGTTGCAGCATACACTCGCTGCCCACACCGGGGCTATCACGTGCTTCCAGCACGATGAGTTCAAGGTCCTCAGTGGATCGGACGGTACGCTGAAGATGTGGAATATCCGAGATGGCAGCGTGGTTCGCGATCTGCTCACTGGGATCACTGGTGTCTGGCAAGTCGTCTTCGAAGGCCGATGGTGCGTCGCCGCTAGCAATAGCGGTGGCGATGGGACAGTCCTCGACGTCTGGGATTTCGCTGAGGAGGGAGATGAAGACTGGATTGGCGAGCCCCCTGGCGGTATCTACGACGATAACACCGAGGATGAAGATGAAGATCGGGCGGATACCGACATGATGGACCAGGACGGCGAGATCGAGATTGTCCCGTCGGAGCCTGACGCAGACGAAGACGATGTGGAACAGGATGTGGAGCCTTACGAAGATGCTGACGAGGAAGACCATAGATCAGAGGTCAACAGCCAGCTGATGGATACTGAGGATGCCCCGCCGCTTCCTCGACCGTCTGGTTCGACATCTCGTGCTTCGTCGCACCATAGCAGGGGATCCGCTAGACCTGGTTCATCCGCTTTGGTCCCATCAGCCTCGCGGATACGCAGCAGAGCAGTCCCGTCGGGTCAGACGCGACACTTGCCAAATAACGACGAGACTCCCACTAGACCAAGGACGCGGCATATAGGTGGTCGTAGACGGTAGTCGATGTGATGCATCCTTTTCCTTTCTTTTGCACTGCACTGTGGCATGTCATGGCTTTCGGTATGATAATACATTGTATATACAATTCATAGCGCCTTGGTCGCCACGAACTCGCTCATCGTTGTCTGGTCATCTTGGATGTGATATCTTTGTGGTGGCATACTATAATCCTTGTCCTTGCAAGGGACATTCAGTATGTTTATGTTAATAGCTTATGCACTGTATATACCGGATGTACGCTGTATCTTCCAAATTACAATCTCGTCCATGGCAATCTCTCCGCAGGTACTTACCCAGTGCGCACAGAGTTGAAAGTTGAACTTTAGAGTTAACTTTGATGATCGACGGTACCGGACTCGGACCCTATGAATGGGACTGAATGAGATCACAGTGGATCCTTCGCAATGGTAAAACGTCGGGATTTCGTCGTGCATTGCGGAGGCAAGATGAAGCGGTTCGGCATGCTATAACATGAGAAATTCGACCCTTGGAGGGTGAGTATTTAATACACCGGCGGGGAGAGAGGACGTCGTCGAAGCGTCATTATGCAAGGCGGCAGCAATAAAGGGATACAAACTTGATTATTTGGCGCCACAAGGGACGCTCCGTGATGGTGAACGACCCGCTGACGGCTCGTACGGGCACGGCGGGTCTCGGGGCAGTTAGAGTGGGCAACATTTAGGAGCACGTGTGATTGGAAGACAAGACCCTCTCCAGAAGCTTGCTTCCTTCTCTCAGCTGGCAGGGCTGCTTGCGATGGTGTCGCAATTTCCCGGTCTTTGCATCAAGACACAACCCGAGCCCTGTGAATCTTGACGTCTTCCGTCGGTCTAGAGTGCAACGAGTCAGGTAGGAATGACTGTGAGAAAATAGGGAGGTACACTAACCTGTCTTGCGCGTCGGTTGCGACGGCGCCTAGCCGCTGGAGAACCCGCATTCCAGAACTTACTCGCCCGAAGATGGTATGCTTGTTGTCCAGATAAGGTGTTGGCGCCAGGGTTAAGAAGAACTGGGAACCTGTGGTTTCTTTCAGATGCTAAAGATAGAGTTGAAACGACAGATAGACGTACCATTTGTATTGGGGCCTGAGTTGGCCATCGCAAGGATGCCTGCTCCCGTGAATCGTAGCTCAGGATGAATTTCATCTTCGCTATTTGTCCATGAGTATGCGATGAAACATATACGCGGGCAAGTCAAGCATTTACTTACAATTTTTGTCCGTAGATACTCGTACCACCCCTGCCCGTACCAGTGGGGTCGCCTCCTTGCACCATGAAGTCCTAGGAAGGCAAATAAATTATGTTACCGAACTGCCAGCTAGGAACAGACTCACTGCGATAACTCGATGAAAGATAACCCCATTGTAGTACCCACGTCGCGCTAGTTCCGCGAAGTTCTTGCATGTCTATGGGACATGAATGGCAAGAATCGCGCTCTGGACGTGAGATCTCACCCGTGGGGCATGGTTCCAATACAGTTCCAGTTGGATGTCGCCCATGCTCGTTTCCAGAACTACTGACTCCATTTCGAAGCCAACCAGAGTACCTTTAGACACGCTTATCGATAGCCTTTGAAACCTCCTGCGATGTCCGCCACTCTTGCTGCAATGGTTTGTGGCGAGCGCTGACTGCCGCGCCGGCGTGTTCTTAGCCAGAAGAACTGTGACACGTGGCGTCGGTGGCTATTATCTGCGAATTCGAATCTTTCCCATCACGGGCGCCTTCGTAAGTTCAGTTCAACGTTCAACAGGTTCACTTCCCTTGCCAACAGGAACATAAACGTGGCTGGATTCAAGACTGACAATATTATGAGAGCGGTTGTACAAAGAGTATCGTCGGCTGCCGTGACTGGTAGGTCACAACAATCAGCGACTTCCCTTCGTCGGGCATGTGGAGAGGCTGACCGAGTTCCTGTAGTGGATAACGTTGTTATTTCCCAGATATCCAAGGGCCTGATGGTTCTTGTAGGAATTGGGACAGGTTCGAAGCTACTTGATATCCGGTAAAATGATCTCGGCTGAATGTTTGAATCACGAAGGACAGATGACAATAATACCGACATTGAGACCCTGACGAAGAAAATGTACGCACATTCTTGTACCTTATCGCGTGCCGTAGCTATTTTACGTCCCATCGTCATTTGCTGGTTCAATACAGAGTCTCTCTTCGCGTCTTCGATGATGACGCATCAGGCGCCATGTGGAAGAAGAGCGTCAAAGACATTGACGGGGAGATCCTCTGCGTGTCACAATTCACACTGCTTGCCAACACGACCAAGGGTAACAAACCCGACTTCCATCGCGCGATGGTTAGTCTTTCGGATCAATTATACCTACGGGCTAATGTCGAACCTTTACGATCAGAGCACCGAAGCATCACGCCAGATGTACGCCACTTTCTTGGAGCGCATCGGTCACATTTACAAGCCAGACAAGATCAAAGGTGAGTCCCCGTGCTTTGTTGGGATGGGCAATTCATTTCTTCCAATAGACGGAAAATTCGGGGCGATGATGAGCGTGAGCCTTACAAACGAGGTCAGTTCTGGTCAGCTTGGTCTTCACTGTTGGGGTAACAGGGCCACATTCACAACAGGGTCCCGTAACCTTTACGCTCGACTCCCGTAAGTTCGAATACGTTGACCAGCCAGCAACCGGCGGATCCAGCAAGAATGATGTTGCTACGGATAAAACTGCGGGGAATGGAGCCCCACAGGTCTCGGGATCTGAGGCGACGCCCGTGTCAAAATAGCGGCAGCGTGGTCAGCCATGGCATAATAAGTCCCGACGTCGCAGTCGTTCAAGATCTTCCAAGGCCATTGCCCGAACATTTAAGCTATGTGTATCCGATTTGTCGGTAAATTTAGAGATTCAGAAGGAATGATATCTCCGGAGATATGGAGTCTGAATTTAGAGGTGCAGTGGTTTCCTCATTGTCGGATGTAGATAGCGTGTAAATTAAGAAGTCCAAGGATTGCCTCGGCATGTAAGTTTGGGCTCACAGGGTGTGAGCGGGTGGGAATCGGACCTGTCCTATACACAAGACTGAATGCATTGCCGTATTCAGTCAGGCTGCAGGTATGCGAGGGGGATGAAACTGCAGGGAAGGAAACTGCAGGGGATGGGACAGTATACTACAACATTCTACCGTGATATTTACCACCGTCTTCATGCTAATCCCGACCTTGCTCTCCTCATCCTGCAACGGTTTGGCAGATCTTGTGAGTCTTCTGCTCCTCGCCCTGTTGACTGAGTAAATTCTAATGGTGCAAGACTTTTCGTCCCGATTGTCCAGGAGCATCATGATTGAGCACTGCTGTGCGATTTGCCCACTCACTAACGCCTGCCACATCTAGGAAGTAGCGTGAGGAATCCATCATTGCACCCGTACACTGCCGTGCCACAGGGGTCGGTAGACTCCCGACCATGATAATGCAATCGACCTCAGAAGGCTCTTCTCGGCGAGGGCCCTTCCAGCGACGACTGCTGGCCTTGACCGCTTTGCGCGTCGTCGGCCCGCGGAAGGGAGCGTGTCAGCCGAGAACCTCACGCGCTTGGAAGAGGGTCCTGGAGCAGAAGAGCCTTCTGAGGTCGATTGCATTATCATGGTCGGGAGTGAGTACTGGACAACTGCACCTCTGCCACATTTCCCACGCTATGGAAGCCTCGGCGTTCTTCTCTAGTCTCTTAGTATTGCCGTCTACGGCCTCATATGGAATATGCCACAGCCAGTCAGCCGCCGCTAGGCTTGCAGATATAACCGCTGTGATGTATGGTATTGCAATCTGTTCACTCGAGCTTGCAGGCCGGAGCGCCGAGACGCCATCATGATCAGTCTTGCGTCTTCTTACGCGTTCCATTCCGGGAACAAGGAGGCGCCCTGGTACGATGTCCAAAACCGCTGCCTTTCAGATCGCATCTCGCCGTCTGTGGTCCTTTACCATCAGTACGACTTGAATGTCCATTCGTCCTTGTGGAAGAAGCCTATGAACCCCTCCACGACTCCAAGGCCTGGGATGCTACTGTTGCAACCATTTCTCAGCAGAACGCACTTCCTCCGCATCCAGATGAAAATTCAGATTCTAACGAGCTTGACTATTCGGCAAAGGATACACTAGGTTAGTGTTCTCCCTCGACCGGTACGAGTTCGTAGCCTTTTCCAGAGACAGACGAGAGTGACGACGAGGGGATACATGTATGTACGGGTGGTGGTGATCAGGACGAGGAAACCTTCGAAAAGCGTGCGTTGACCGACCGTCGTGCACTGGTTCTTCAATTGATAAGCTCCTTCCTGCGGCAGGAGGTGAAAGTGAGGACGAGCGGGAGGATAATGACGATGAGAATGGTAAGCATGCCGCAGAGAGCGCAGACAGTACCGAAGGTGGGTATCAGCTTCCCTGCTCTGCCTGAGTGTTCACATGTTCACTCATTCCTTGCCCTCTGATCATGTAGACTATCATCGCCGATTGAGGCCCCGTGGAGCTGTACGAGCGCAGCTGGCAAAGGCCGCTTCAGTCACCCACGTTGGAGGCACACTAGGTCCGCTTAGCATATTTCACTCTGTTGATCATCTCGTAGGACGTGGGAAGCTGGCGAGCCCAAGGAAGGCGAGGATGCGGCATTGCATGCAGTGCGGTACCATGTCCACTGGTGCCGTACGACGCGCCATAGATGTCTCATCGTCATCGAAGAGGATAAACGGGCTCCGAGCCGTAGGTCTACAGGTGCTGGGCGGAAAAGGCAAATTCGGACGAGTCTCCTGTAAGCCGTGCACCAGCTCATAGGGTACCTCTCCGGGTACTTCTATGCTGTCCCTCTCTCCCCTCGGGTCATTGGGCGGGTCACCTTTGGTATCTACTGGAAGTGGCTCTATGTCAAGCCTGGGGAGGTGCCAAAGTATGATGCGGTTGCGCTGGGGCTGGCGCCGGATTCTGACAATGAGCAGAAGCGCATTTCGCTCCTGAACAGGTTTCGTGATGCAGATACTATGAGCCTCGGTCGCGGAATGTCTGATGCTGCTCTGCATACGATGAGGGAGCAGCTTTATAAGCTATGTAGCTGAAGAATGTGACCGGCTTCATGGTAGATAAGACGCCTTTCATCTGTGCGGGACACGTGCTTATGAGCCAGAGGAAATGTATTTCCATGCGGTACTTGATAGGAATGTAGAGCCCATGTTTATACTCTCGCTGTGCCCGCCAGCACTGTACATGTACAGGAGACCCGATGTGACATTTGATTTGTTTCAACAACAGATTCGTTTGTCTTGGGGTTATCAATGCATAGCTTCCCTCTCAATTCTAGCTGACGGCAGAGCTACTTGGTCCCTCGCAAGAGGCCAAGGGTAGGTGAGAGCCGTAAATTTGGAGGTTCATAAGGTATGACATCTCCAGAGTACCTAATCTGAGTTAAGTGACTACGGGAGAATAAGGGAGCATACAGTACATTACAGCATCCCACCGACAAAGTTCACCAGCATCTTCGTGCCGATCCGGACTTTCCTATGCTCACCCTGCCATGGTCTTGCGTACCTCCTGAGCCCCTCCACCTCGTCATGAAGCTGTCGTCGCAACGCGTGGGAGGACGACAACAGTATGAACGACAGCTCGGTGTCCAAGTTCGCTGAGCGGGAATTCAAATTGGTCGACCCGAGCAGGGTGAGGACCGGCGGTGAATCAGGCGTCGGAGACAGCCATAATCCTGCGAACGCATCAGCAAGTGCAATTCGGAATGCAGGACACAACCAATGACAGAACGGGACGAATATGGATATAATGATATCTGAAGCGTCGTTGATGTACCTTTAGCATGATATGTCCAGCCGTCCCGTTCCCATTCGCTGAGCTGCACGCCCTTCGCAGCGTCTTCGACGCTCCCAGGGACCGCAGTAGCAACAGGAGCATCGCGTCCTGCAGCGTGAACCGCCCGCATAAATCGTTGCTCCAAGTAGGTGTATCCCTCTGGTATCCGCCCAGATACACCCTTCGAGCCATAAAATCCGTTTGCCTAATATTAGGCCCATAATCAATATGGAGATATAAACGCAGCAGCGCGAGGTAGACCGACCTTTGGGCTCGCTGCCAGTATGCGACAACCGAAATCAGATCGTAAGATGAGATCCTTATAGGGTCCATACAGCCCGAAATAACCGCTGGTGAGGTCTATTAGAGGGCCGGGCTGTCGCGGGCCGCGGCGCTCGGCTTCTTTATGCACCTCGTCGAATAGGAATCCCACACACACTTCTTCTTCTCGAATGTTGAATTGCCCTGCTTGAAGGACGGGGAATATGAGGACACGGTCCTCGCTGCGAGCGTCGGCAAGGGCTGTTTGTGTTCGAGACTGCGTGTATGAAGACTGGAACTCCCGGAAAGCGCGCGCAGCCTTGGGTTCGATGTGGTGTGGGTGCACGTCAGGATCCGGCCATTGCAGAGAATACTTTGAGGTGCTTGAGAACTGTAGTTGGTATGAGAATGTCGACGCGGCGCGCAAGTAGGAGTGGCAATAGTGAGCGAATTCGGGGTGTGACCCGAAGTGAACGTATCGGTCTTGACGGTTCGTGAAGTAGGACTTGTTCAGGTTGGCGCTTGGAAACATTAGCTGTGGAGTCCGAGGAATAAGCATGCACATAATACAGACGAACCTACCCGCTAATCATGACTTCGTCGTCGACGCCGTATATCTTGGCGTGCCAGGTGCCCCATCCTTCGTTGAATCGGGGAGGAACAATCTTGGACATCATTCCCTTCAGTCTGGGGCTCCGGAAGAGAGATATGTGTACCCGGTCCGGGAACTCTGCGAGCAAGGGCGAGAGAGCTTCCGCGGTGGAAGGGCTTTCGGGTCGTGTGGACCTGTTCAAGTCCAGCAGTATCTCAACTTGTAGAGAAGGGTTGCTCCTAAGAGCAGTGCTAAGAGTATCAATCTGGATTTTCCTGTCATGCTAAGTCGATAGTTTGAGAGGATCCGACGTACTAATTCCCCTTCCTCCGACCCAATGTATAGTGAAGACAGGAAAACTCGTTTGCGTGCCCGCCGAATCATGCCCTAATAATTCCCTCGTTGAGAGTTTATAGATTCAATACTAGTTCTCGTACTAGCAAGTTGTCATAGAACTGCTTCGGTGCCAGCAAGACCCGAACGTCGGCTGGAGATAATGCAAAACATGGTTGTCTCTCCGCGAGTTTCCTGGCAATACCCTCAGTTGTCGTCTCGGAAAAGGAGGTCGCTATCCTGCGGCTCTGTCCTCTATTATAATGCGGTAGGTAGACTTTATTATGTCGGATTATGATTCGTCTAGCATCGCGAGTAGCAGCCAGCATGAGGGAAGCCGCCAGAAAGGAATTGTGGCACTCGATCAATTTGTAGCCGGCGGCATCGACTTGAGTCGAAGTCCATTGCACTACGACTTCTCATCGGTCTCAAGAATACAAACGGAACGCTCTGACTGCATAACCGCAGGATATGGTACAAGGAACGAGGACCGACGGTGCGTGCTTCAGTCTGATGCTCTGGGACTTCATAAGCCTATTTTGCCTGCAGGGCCCTCTCAGGCCGAACAATTACTTCGAGTAACGTCGGGCATCGCGGCGGAACTCATCAAGGCTCACGACGCCAACCAGACCGTCTCGCTGAACGAACTCCGCGCTAAGATCAGCAAGAAATTTGGGTACGGAGGCGTCCCCCGGCTCGTGGACATAATCAGTGCCATCCCGGATGAATACAAGAAAGCGCTACTCCCGAAGCTGCGAGCGAGGCCCATACGGACGGCCAGCGGGGTGAGCCAACACGTTTATTGCATAACTGGACTTATTGAGTTATTCCCGGGCCTAGATAGCTGTCGTGGCTGTTATGTGCAAGCCCCATCGGTGCCCGCACATTGCCATGACGGGCAACATCTGCGTATACTGCCCCGGCGGGCCCGACTCCGACTTTGACTACAGTACCCAGAGCTATACGGGCTACGAGCCAACCAGCATGCGCGCCATCCGCGCCCGGTACGATCCTTATGAGCAGACCCGCGGGCGCGTGGAGCAGTTAAAGGCACTGGGGCACAGCGTCGATAAGGTATGTACCTATCGAGCGTAAACGCAAAAGGGAGATGCGGCCGATGCGATGTGACGTTGAGCTGCGCTAGGTCGAGTTTATTATCATGGGCGGAACTTTTATGAGTATGCCCGAAGATTACCGGAACAAATTCATCGCTCAGCTGCACAATGCCCTGTCTGGGTTCACAGGTCTCGATGTCGATGAGGCAGTTCGGTATGTCGCTGAACCCCCCTGTCGTAACGAGTAAGTACTCACAGTTTCGTAGATTCTCCGAGCAGAGCAAGTCTAAAGCTATCGGCATCACTATCGAGACTCGGCCAGATTACTGTCTGAAGCCCCATCTCAGGTGCGTATCGTCACGGCGGACGAACCAAGCGCTGCTGAACATCACACGTCTCCCTCCAGCCAAATGCTCCGCTACGGCTGCACACGCCTTGAAATCGGCGTGCAGTCCGTCTATGAAGACGTCGCGCGCGACACCAACCGCGGGCACACCGTGCGCGCCGTCACCGAGTCCTTCCACCTCGCCAAGGATGCCGGCTTCAAGGTCGTCGCCCACATGATGCCCGACCTTCCCAACGTCGGCGTCGAGCGCGACCTCGAGCAGTTCAAGGAGTACTTCGAGAACCCCGCCTTCCGCAGCGATGGCCTCAAGATCTACCCGACGCTTGTCATCCGCGGGACAGGTCTGTACGAGCTGTGGCGGACGGGCAGGTATAAGAACTATACGCCCAACGTGCTCGTGGATGTTGTAGCCCGGATATTAGCCCTGGTACCTCCCTGGACTAGAGTATACCGCGTTCAACGGTAGGGTGGCTGAATGTCTTTCATCCAGGCCTGTTCGTTTACAAGCTTTGCAGAGACATTCCATTGCCATTAGTAACAAGCGGCTGCGAGAACTCGGGTAATCTACGAGAGCTTGCGCTGAACCGTATGAAGGACTTCGGCGCCGAGTGCAGAGATGTACGATTCCGAGAAGTCGGGGTATGTATCTACACCTGCTTACAGCCTCATCTAGGTCTGACCATTCTTTGACTCAGATCCATGAAATTCACCACAAGGTCCGTCCAGAGGCGGCAGAGCTCATCCGCCGCGACTACACCGCAAATGGCGGCTGGGAGACCTTTTTGTCCTACGAGGACCCCGAGAGGGATATCCTGATCAGTTTGCTGCGTCTCCGGAAGTGTTCTGATGAGGGTACGTTCCGCCCGGAACTGGTCAGGAAGCCTGGAGACGAGGGAGGATGCAGTATCGTGCGTGAGTTGCATGTGTACGGGACGGCTGTCCCGGTGCATGGTAGGGACCCGACAAAGTTCCAGCATCAGGTAGGCATTGCGTAATCCGAGAAATATCTGAAAGTCATGGTGCTGACATTTTTCAGGGCTTCGGGACCTTGTTGATGGAGGAGGCAGAGCGGATAGCGAGAGAAGAGCACGGAAGCATCAAAATTGCTGTCATTTCCGGTAAGCTCGGCCTTCTCGGCATGGCTGGTCGTACAGCTGAAGGTGTTTTACCTTTGATGTTATAGGCGTCGGAACACGGGATTATTACCGGCGTTTGGGGTATGAGCTAGATGGACCGTACATGAGCAAGTCCCTGTTGTAAGCATTTATTATCATTGTATCACTTACAATACTCTGTATTTCTGGTATCTTGGATGTTCTAATTGGGTCGTTACTCGCCCATGATCAGCGTATGAAAGTTCGGGAACACGAGTTCCTCCTCGACCGTCTTACGGATGATGTCTTGGATGAAGCGTTCCACCCTGGAGACGTTCTTCAGTACATGCTTATCAGCTTCGCCGATTTCGCTCTCAATTAAAATCGAGGGCAGCAAGCGCTGGCCGATGGGCAGGGGTTTCGTCAGCCGCGGGCCGGACATGCTCCCGGGCGAATCGTCGTCCGGCGTGGGAGGCGTGCTGTTCACAGAATCGCGCTTCGAGCGGTCACAGGCGGGGCCGTACGGGTCTTGGTCGTCGAGGATGCACAGATGCACCCGGCGGCGCTCGCCTTCGTACGCCACCGCGACTTCGCCGTCGAAGAGCAGACCCGTGACGGACAGCTTGATCGGGAGCGACATGAACATGGGAGAAGGGTAGTTGATCAGGAGAGACGTGGTAAGGGTCAGTCGCAGATTAGACTGCCAGGTTATATGCAAATGGAGCTGGAGATTTGGATGTGGATTGGCGGGCGGTGGCTGCTCAGACGGTTCTTGCGATTCCTGCTCCTCGTCACTTTCTTCCGGCAGGGGAGCAGCTGTATTCGGAGGCGTACGCGGATCTCTTTGGGGTGGACTGAAGGCAGCAGTGGATCCAGCAGCAGACAGAGGTGTCCTGCCGCCAAACGCTGGCCTGAGGTCCGCCAGACCGGAGAAGCTCATGGCCATAGGGCTCGCGCCCCCGCCAACCGCCCAAATATCCCTCGTCGGCGAGTAGAGGCCTGGCGTAGATGCAAATAGGTCCATCGACGGCCCGCGCCCATAGCGCACATGCGGCGGGAGATGGTGGTACGCCGGCACCTCGTCCGCCAGACCCTTCCTCACCGCCTTGCGCGACACCCACTCGAACTCGTCGTCAGAGTCGACCGCAGGGCCCTGCGTGACCTTGTCGACGACATCGCGGTCGGCCTCTTCGTCGTCATCCTCCAGGAAGTCGCGGTAGATATCGCGCAGGTCGACAAGCGTGACGTCCGGGCTCGCGCTCCCGAAGTCGAACGACGTGACCTCAACGGGTCCGATAAAGGACGGCCTACTGGTGTTTGCTAGCTGCCTATTGAGCAGGTCGACGAGCGACGACGCGAGAGAGCCGTCGAGCTTGTCCCAGAGCAAGTCGATCGACATGGCGGCCGCTGCAGAGACTCGGACGCGTTCCCCTTCGTGGCCGTGGCTGCGTATATATTATTGGTATATTATCAGGTTTATATTAGTTATGCACTGTAAATAAAAATTGAACCCGTGATATCAACAACGCGAAGGCGCGTCGGTATTCTCCCACGCCTCCGCTCCAGTCCCGACGCTCACTCTCGCCGATGCCGACGTCCGCGCGCAAGAGCAGCCTCGGAATATCACGGCGCATAGCGCCCAAAGCGCACGTCCCCTTTCGTGCCGACGACTTTGAACATGGAAAGCGGACGGGACTTGCGGTCGGCTACGTCGATCGCAGGTCCGACGAGTTCGAGGCGTTCGACCAGGTTATCAGCCAGGCCGACAAGGTCACTCCGCCGAGAGTGAAAGCAAATGGGCGCAAGAGGAAGAAGGCGCTGACACCCGTGGCGGACGAGGAGTACGACGATGAGGAGTACGGGGAGGCGTCGATGGACTTGGTGGATAGTGAGTACCGTTTCTGTTAAAATGTGGCTGTATGCGTTTAATGATTTGGGCTAGGCAATCCACCTTCGCCTGCGGTGTATTTTACCAGTGCTCGCCAGACAATCGCACCTTCAAGCATCAGGAGGACTGGGTCCTCGTCCCGCCCAGTGCCACACTCTTCCGACGTTGATTTTGACACAGTCCCGTCGCCCCGCCCGCGAACGTCCTCTGCGGCTCCTCGCAGACAATCTACGGCCAACGGGCCAGGTCCATCTGCCTTGTCTCGAGTCTCCATCACGCGAGAAGAGGTGCAATACGAAGAGGACGTTGACCTGCCGCCGTCTGATTTGCCCGATTATGACTACGGCCCAAGCTTTGCACATCTGGACCAGGATGATGATGATGACGACGACGACGCGGAGGAGCAGCAGGTCGTCCAAAGCATATCTCCCGCCAAGAGGGGAAGGCAGTCCAGTCCCGCTGACACGCGGCAGGGCAATCTCAAGCGTGCCAGGCAACTCAGCAATATCCCTGATCGGTCAGGCGGTGCGGACAAAGAGAACACAGTACCCAGAAGTACCGGTAAGGGTAAAGAGAGGCAGAGAGACGAAGAGATGGAAGAACAGGAGCAGAGTGACGTGGAAGACGCGGTCGATCCGGGCTTACAGGAGGCGGATGACATGCCTATGGATTTGGACAACGACGCCCAACAAGAGGAGGAAGAAGAGCGGCCTTCGAGCAAGAAAGCTCGCCTGGCGAAGGAGAAGGAGAATCCCAAACCAAAGAAACCCCGCGCTCCTCGAAAGCGACAAGAAGTCATGCACATCCCTCGTGCGTATCCTATCTGCTGTCCTACTTCCATACTAAACCCGTAGGCAGTATCCCAAGATTCCGACAATGGCGAGCACCCCGGCGTGCGCAGGTCGCGGCGCGTGCGCTACGGCCCGCTTGAATGGTGGCGCCTGGAAAAGGTCGTCTACGGGCGGCGCGACTCGGGGGTGACCTACGTTCCACATATCAAGGAGATCATACGGCTGCCGAAAGAGCCTGTACAGCCGCTGGGTAAGGCGGGGAGGAAGGGGAGGAAGAAAACGCGGGAGGGTAGCCGCGCGAAGACGGGGACGGCAGAGCCGGAGGTCGAGGTTGTGCCCGCTCCGAACCCTGAGGAGGGCTGGGATGACCAGACTGAGCCCAAAGGAATCATATTGGATTATGTTACGAAGCAGGAGGTGGAGAGACGTGAGTTTCCTTCGTCTGTGATTTCTTTCTCATAATTGAGAATGTTACAGGTATCGCGTTCACGGCCAAGATGCTGGAGCCGAAAGCTGCTGCAAACAACGACTTCTTCTTCCAGCGCGTATTTGGCGACGCTGAGTTCATGGCTGCTGGCTATCTCATGATCCCGCCGGGCAAAGCCAAGCCTAGCAAGCAGACCAAAGATAATACTTATGTGCGTGGACTCTGCCTCCCAGCCCCTAACGCTTCAATCTCAATTCACCTATGCAGGCTTTCTACGTCATCGAAGGCGCCGTCAACTTCCACGTACACAAGACAAGCGTGATCGTCGCGACCGGCGGCATGTTTCTGGTACCCCGAGGTGCGACCCTCCATCAATTACCATCTATCACACACGCCTTATCTAACATCCTTCTGCGATTCCAGGAAATCAATACTTCATCCAGAACATCTGTGAGCGGGATGCGAAGCTCTTCTTTGCACAAGCCAGGAAGATACCGCTCGAGGAAGTGGACGCGCCTCCCGCGCTGCTGAAACCTGGAACATCGTCTGCTCGACGCTCGCTTGGACCGGGACAGAATGGTCGACATTCGTCTGGGGCAGCTTCAGCCGCTGGTAACGAGACAGAGGAAGAGGAGAGGCCACGCACTAATGGCAAGGTCGCAAAGAAGACGACTAACTCAAGGAAAAGCTAATGCAGGCAGGACTTCGTCTTTCATACTGCCTCCAATCGGTTACATGATTTATTTGCCTTCATGACCATGTACACTACAGCATTACCTACGGTTTCTTGTGTAACTCCTAATGCTTATTCGATTCACAAGCAATTCATTGTATGAGATGGTGTGTTATCCGGATGTATTGCCGAGTACTAGACACAATATAACCGACTGGTAAGCTATGCCCTGTGAGCGAGTATGAGAAAATGCTATGCGTAAGATGCGAACAGGCAGAAAATGAGTTAGATCAGCAACAAAATGCACACGAACGCGAAAGAGCATGGATGTATCTACAAAGCAGAGCAAGGGAGAAAACGAGTGGTTAGTAATGCTTTCTCCTGATGATACTCGCCCGCGGCGGACCCTGGCCCTGCGTTTGGGTCTCCATCGACCGGCGAGTCTTGTCGTTACTGCTCCGGTGCGCACGAGAGGGCAGCGTCGTCGCGCGGTTCAGGAACGACATTTTCTCTTTCTCGTGTTGGGGCGGGGACGATGGCGGGGGCTGCAGGTGCCCGTTGGACTGTAGGGGGATGCTATCGGGTACCTGTGGGAATGCGTCAAATAGCTCCGAGTCGAAAGTGTCGTTGTACGGCGAGGAGGAGGAGGAGGATGTGTTAGCCCACGAGACGGGGCGGGTGGAATCGGCTTCGGAGGGTGGGGCGTCGCCGTGGGCGTGCGGGTTATAGGAAGCAGAACGGACGTGCAAGGCCGGGATCTCTGGAGCCTCCTCGTCTGGCACCACAGAAAATTATTGTAAGCAACATTCCCAAGGGGACACCAGACTGCCTAACCATACTCACCGTTCGGATCCACCACCCCCGACTTCGTCCTCTTGCGACTCCATATCCTCTCCGCGACGAAACTAGTCGCGCGCCCCATCGTCTTCTTCGGGCTGCCCCACCCCGCGGCCTTCTCTTCGCTCGGCGGCGTCACGACCGGCGCCGACTCCTCCGACGACATGCTCACGCTGTGCCGCGATATGGAGACCGACCGCAACGAGCGGAGCGAGCGCGAGAAGTAGCGCGTGCGCGCGCTCTTGGGCGGCGGCGTCGGCGGAAACTCTTCCTGCGAGTGCGACGGGTGCGCGGGGAACGCGACCGAGTCGGGCGTCGGCGTCAGCGTCTGGTGCGAATGCGACGATGATGACGACGACGACGCGTGCGAGTGCTGCGAGAGCGAGCGCGGCGCGGTGACGAACGGGTCGAACGCCTCCTGCACGGGCGTGAGCGTCTTCGCGCCGAACTCGTCCGCCTCCGCGTCGACGGGCGTGACGCGCACATCCGGCGACGGGAGCACGCCGCCGCTGAGCTGCTCCTCGAGCAGCGCCGCGCTCATCAGCAGGCTCGCGAGCTCGCTCGAGCCGGGCGAGGCGGGTGGCTCGCCCGCGCTCTGCAGGACGCGCGCGGCCTGCGGGCTCTTCTTGCTCTTGTCGAGCGTGCGGACGTCCTCCCGAACTTTCTTGTGCACGACCGCGCGGAACGATCGGGGGACGGGGGCTTCCCGCTTCTCCGGGAGAGGAGAGGGCTCGTCGACTTGGACATCGGTGGAGGGGGGTGGTACGACAATAGGTGCGGGGACGACGACGGCGCGGGCGGTGGGGTGCGCAGTAGCTGTGATGATCTGAGCGTTGTTCGCAGAGATGATGCTCATTGTCCGTGTCGACTTGGCGTCGAGGTCCGGTTCCGGGGAGGCAGGGGCGGGCTCGGATGGAAGGGAGGCTTGTCGCGGGGAAGCTACAGGCGTGGTGTCGTCTGGGGATGAGACGGTGTGCATGTCGGTCACATCTTCTGCTTCAGCAGATGTCGAGGAATATACAGCCTGGGTGGAAGACTGGGTTGCTGCGGGTGGAGTGGAAGGACTGTCTTTATCCTGAGGAGACTCTGGAATAGCAAGTTCCTTTGCAGGTTCCGTGGAAGCTGGGACATCGTCGAGGTTTGAAGTATCAGTAACTTCCGCTTTACTCTCCGGCACGAGGTCGGCGTCTGGCGCACGAGCCTCGTCAGAAGGAGAATGTTGTGTACGCTCATCGAGGACGGGTGAAGGCTCCCTTTCCAGTAGACTGTCATTGGCAGTGTCAGAATCAGGAACCGTTTCTTGTTGCACGGGAACCTGTGCTGGTGGGGAATGCAGCAGACTTGGCGAGACATCATCAGCCGCCACCACGCCCTGGCCCTGGTAGAGAGAAGGCAAGTCGGGAACAGGCGGCACCTCCCCAGTGTGATACGAGACATCAAATCCAAAGGCCGATATAGGACGTTGCCTTTGCACGTCCGCCCTCCCGTCTGCCTCAGGCAAGCCTCCCCTCCCCGTCGCCTGTGGGGACAGCGTCCCGGTATACTGCGTGCTCACGCCGGTATACTGCGCCGTCAGGCCCGTATACTGCGCAGCCAGCCGGCTCGCGCTCGGTATGCGGTTTCCGTAGAGCTCGCCGCGCTTCTTCACGGAGCCGTCGTTCACGGGCGGCGCGCCGAAGCCAAAGCTGCCCCGGGGCACGGGCGTGCCGCCGCGCTCCTCGAACTTGGCGATCTTGTCCTTCAAGCTCCCGGGCGCTGACGGTGCATTTCCCTTGCCCCCTGTCGGCTGCGCGGTCAGCGGAGCGGGCGGGCTGGTCGTGCGCTGCTGCAGGGCAGCGATGCGCTCCTTCAGGTTGACTGGCGGGGGTGCGACTCGCGAGGTCGACCTAGCGTTTGAGTAGAAGTAATTTACAGTTATTTTAGCTACGACAGCGCAGTTCCTGGTCGACAACTCACATCGGAATAAGCGTGCAGAGGTGATGAAGCGGTGGTCACGAATCGCCAGCGAGTGCCTTGGCCGACCGCGGTTGCTGTAAAGATAGGTCAGGGTCGGTCAGAAAATGGATAGACTGTGCGCCAGGCTGGCTTCCGTGTCGTAGAAATGTTGAAAGCAGGGAAAGGAAAAGTTGATGAAGGAGCAAGACGAAGGACTGATTGCAACTCTCGAAACAGACCGTCGGCAAGGGCGCTCGCTTTCCGCTCGCCACGTGAAAGCAGTTGATCGGCCGCTCGGTTTGGAAGCGGTGGCGGGAAGCCTTCTAGGCCGTCCACAATGAAATCTTATGAGCTAAATTGTAATTGGCAAAGGAGGGAGAAGAGGGACATTAGACTTGCAGGACTGGCTATCCAGGTGAGTACGGGAGAAGGGGAAGTGCTACATTGAGGGGGGAGGGTGTTTGCAACGTTACAAGAGTCTGCGCCAATGACATGCTCCTTAACCCGCCAGCGCCAGCGTCAATGCATCAGCGATCTTCGAAGTGAACGAGCCTGACGCATTCTCATTCCCTCCAGAATCGCCATCTGAATTATCCCCGGCTGTACGAAGATCAAGCAAAGCCCCGTCATTACATGCCCTGCTGGAAGCCAACGACGGCTCAAGACCCTGTAAAATGATATCCACCTTGTCTCTCGACTGCATAGAACTTCAGACTCGACAGCTGCTTGCCAGAGACCGTGTCAAGCAGCTCGCACTCGACGGTCTCGCCCGGCGAGAGGGGACCTACGCCCGAGGGCGTGCCGGTCAGGACCAGATCCCCTTCCTAGAAACAGATGAGCAAGTGTGTAGATTAAAGTTGGGCATCAGCTCGCCTCCAGAGTCATGATCGAGGAAATATGCTCGATGATGCGGGGTATCTTAAAGATCATGTCCGCAGTAGTACCATCCTGCTTCGTAGTACCGTCTATCTGGAGTACCAACGGCGTGTCAACGATATACAACAATTTGGTTGATTGTACGTGCATCGCACCTTCAGGGAAAGGGCGAGTTTATGCGGATCCGAAACCAGGGACTTGTCAATGAAAGACCTGTTCGTAGAACATCAGCAAAATACCAAGTCACGAAAAAAGTGCAAACTTGCCCAACCGGAGTAAACGTATCAAACCCTTTCGCAGCGCTCCACGGCAAGCCCTTCTTCTTCACCGCGTCCTGCATGTTCCGCGCCGTCATATCCACCGCAAGGGCTACCATACAGCTCAGCACCCCATCCTTCCATTACCCCCGAGCTCTGAGCTCACCGTAGCCAGCAATATGCCCCTCCGCATCCTTCTGCGCAATATCCCGCCCGCGCTTCCCAATAACCAGTCCAAGCTCGACTAATCACCTCCAACTCCTCAGCACGGCCGCTATCCCACGAACTCAAAGGCAGACACACCTTCGTGGTGCGCTATGACCCCCCTCGGGATCTCGACGTACCCCTCGTTGGAGATGTAGCTCGTCGTCGGCTTGAGAAAGAAGAACGGCTCCTGCGGCAGCGCGTTGTTCAGCTCCTTGACGTGCTCCGCGTAGTTGCGGCCTATAGCCACGATCTACGTCGCTCAGTATCGCTCACGCTGCGCTGCACGACACGTACTTTCTTGCCATGTCTGAAGAACGCAGCGGCGGACATGGTTGTCAGCAGCCTGGTGCGCGTCGGGGGAACGTCGGACAGCCGAGATGCACACCAGTACTTACACCGGCTAAACCTTCGTCCGGACGTACAAGATGCCTGGGTCCTGATCTGGAAATTGACGTCTAAGTGACATGAACTCAAGCTCGTCCCGCTTTCTTCCTCTCATTATATTCCTCGGCTGAGGAGAAGATATGCGGTCAGTAGCAAAAGGCCTTTGCGGAGCCAAGCGGAATTATCAGGTATGAGGCAAGCCAAGATGAAGAATGCAATTGTCCGGTCATCGCGACGGCCACGATGGTCAGTTCCTTTCGGTCCTACTGCCTCCTGCAGGAAGGACACAAAGCATAACGCAATGCTGAGACACTTGGCGTCGCGAACATTAAAAGTCTCGGGGTTGATCCCAACCCTGACTTGTACGCAGCAGCAACTCTGGCACACCCTCCGGACAGGATGCGTATACTCGATACACGGTCTCGTATCATGTCAGAAAACGAACTGACCAGTTACCATGTACGTTGCGTATATACGCCTCGGGCTTATGTACTCTGCTCGGCGGCACCGAAGAGAAACACAAGTCCGCTTGGCGTCTTGGCGCACAGCAGACCGACCCGATCAAAGTTCTTAGCCTGCTTGGTCTTATCTTATAAACTTCGCGCTGCTTGACCGGACACAGTACTAGTGCAAACGCTTCAGCACTCCACGATGGACTCGGCTATGCAGGCTGTTGCGATGCTCATCTCCTTTGCCCTCGTAATGCCCGCGTTAGCGGCGGAATCAGACAGCTACCCGTGAGTCAGATCATCCCCGGGAAGCAGATCGTGTCATTCACCTTGTCGCTCGATAGTAATCCAGACGCACCTGTGGCACACGAGAGCCACGGGGCTCTGATAGCCATTGTTGTAGTCTTCGGTGAGTCGGTTTGAGACGTCCTATAAGCCCGCGCTCACGATGTGTCTGTCAGTCCTCGTCGTGGTCGCTGCAGCGGCCACGATCGCGTTCGTCAAGATCCGTCAGAGGAGACGGCGGATAGCGAATCCCACCGGTACCCAACCGCAAATCGTCCAACTTGAACGCCGAGATTCAGATAGCAGCTCTATCCCTCCAATGAAACAGTTAGAGCCAGCAGTACTACCACCAGTTTGACTGTTCCCTTCTGTCCTGGCTTGTCTTGTATTTGTTATCGTAACCGGCGGCGTATAATTGTTGTACAACCATCACCAATACATATCTATTGCATCAGCCTCAGTACACAAGAAAATTATACACCGTCAACAGGCGAGGCTATAAACATTCCCGTAACCCGGAATAAGATGAAAGCATCAGAAGACGTAGATATACCCCCCCTGCTAAATGAACCTTCCGGCGAGCGGTTAGTATCGTCGTGCGTGTCGTTATTCAAAACGTCTCCTTGTTGCGTACCTTCATCTGCTCGCTTGACGCAGATGACCAGCACTACCGCTGTGCTCTGCTGCTGAACAACAGTGTCTCACTGCTATCAGCCGATCTATACACGCCACGAAGGCATCGTTAGTCGCTCTACTCCAATCCCAGGTGAGTCGTCTTGAACCAGTAAGTGACGCAATGCACATACCCGCGACAAAGACTCCGTTCAGCCCAATAAATTACCAAGATCACCGTGAATCAAGATAAAGAAATACGTCGGACAACGGATGCCGCCTATCCCACTTCCAGGGAGGCTCCTGGCCGTAGTGGGCGCTGTCCATCAGCTTACGCTTGCCCGTGTACCGCTGCACCCTCTCCAAAAGCATCCGCAGCGTGTGCGCCGCAAACGCTTGCATGTTCCTGTTCATCCTGCTCCGGAACGCCTCGCGGCTCTCCCCTTCGAGGATCGTGAGCTGCATCGAGCACCACTGCACCTCCTGGTACGGGAAGACCCTGTAGGCTGTGATGCCCGTCTCGCGCTCGCCGAAGCCGCGCTGCAGCGCCTCGTGCGCCGCGCCGACCGGGTCGGGCAGGTCGACCCAGTGCCCGGGCAGCGCAGGGCGAATGCCGAGCACCGCGGGCATGCTCGCAAAGTCCGCGAGCGTGCGCGGGATGAGGATCGCGCGCCAGAACTCGTCGCCGAGCGCGTGCCGCCAGTTGAGCATGAGCACGATGTCCGGCTTCGCGCGCACGATGTGCGTGAGGACCTGCGTGCGGAACTCGGCGCGGTGGCGGCAGCCCGCGGGGAGCACGGAGACGTAGCGCGTCGCGTTCCGCTCGCACACGTCCGCGAAGGGCTCGGAGTGCTCCGTGTCGGAGACGACGAGCGCGACGGATGCGTGCGGCGAGACATCGCGCGGGGTGGAGAGCACAAGGGCCTCCGCCACCTCGACTGCGGGGGTCAGGATTTAGTTGGCTCTAGGGCAGGGGTATCGGAGACTGACCTGGGCCGGAGACGAGGATGACGATGCGATAGCCGGGGTTCGTCTTGGTCAGCTCTCCGTCGCCCATGGTCGAGTCGGGGAGCGCCCACTTGTACGGGGGTTCTCTAGTCAGAATACGCCCGGGAGCGGGTTTGTGGTAGTATTTAAATTTACCGTCGGACGGGTTGGCCCCGAGCGTCCCGACGCGGTCCACAGAGTGCTTTAGAAACAAGTAATGCCATGTCTTCTCCCGAAAGTTCAGCGTCGAACGCCGCTCATATTCCGTGGAAGCCCAAAGCGGGGCGGCATAGTCCCAGTCTATGATGCCTGTAATCTTCCAGTTGTCGTCGAGGAACACATTCCTTGGGTAGAGATCATTGTGAGACAGCCCGACTTGCGAGAGCTTGACGATCACTTCGTCAATCTGATCCTGCAGCCGGACCTCTACCCAGGGGCCGAAATACCGAACGAGGGTCGACGCCTGCCAGCCATTGACATAGTCCATGATGATGAACACGCAGTTCCCCGAACGACCGTACTTGTGTATCGCAGGCACAGGAACGACTTCGCGCGCACGCTCCATGTTCGCGACGATAGTATTCACGTCAAAGAGGGGGCTCATCATCTTCATGACGTACTTTCGGTCGAGCAGCAGGACGAGGCTGTCGTGCCAATCGAGCATGACTCGGATGTCCTGGTACGGGCGCAAGAGCGAGGCATCGACGTAGAAGCGCGGTGGCGGGCGGTCGTCCGGGCCAAAGCGTAGGTTGAAGCGACGTCCGATATCATTGACCGACCATGGCGGGCACGTCTGGCAGCGTCTGCCATTGCCCGGTACAACGTAGCGCGAAATGGGCTTGTCAGGTTCCGGGAAAACAGAATAAGTATCAGAAGGCAAGTCTTTATATTGTGCTGTATCTGCCGTGGTAAGTCAATCTGCAACAAACAGCGATCCGTTCGACTTACGAAGATTCGGCATACATACGAAAGCGAGCGTGAATGTTGAATAGAACAATATAGAGCCTAGAAAGCAAAATGTCGACTGCTCCGTGTTTTATCGCAGCGACATTAGCAAGGGCTGGAGTGTGGGGCACGGCTGTGGCCAAGAGGGATATTGCCGCGGGAACTAAGCTGTGGCGCTGTCACTGTGTCATGACTCTAAAAGTTCACCTAACTTCGACTATTTAGGTACAGTACGACCAAAACTAATTAGTTCAACTTTATTTATTTGTTTCTTACATATGATGTCCCGCGCCGCGATGTGTAAGGAAATCCAGAACGCTTGATCTTTTTCCTGAACGCTCGACGGTGGAGTGGAATCGACATCGACGTAGGTGTCAGCTTGTCATGTCGCATTATATGAATCCCTATACTGAAACGCATTCCTTCGTTTTGCTGCGCTTTCGACAGGGCGAGTGCCATCGCTCTTGAACACCGCTAGCGTTCATGGCTCGCAACTGCCACAACTGAGCAGAGAGCACGGTATTTCTCCGATATCTGTATCTATAATATCGTACCGGTAAGCATACCTGTCAGTATCGCTCCAATCGTTCCGTTGGCGAACAATAAATTCCGCAGGTTGCCCTATTCTGCCATTTTACCTTATCACTATTGGGCCCACCACTGCAGGTTGGCTGGGAACCTTGGATACTGCATCGAAAATAAGGAACATTCCAGTCCGTTCCTCCCTTATGACTGGTTCTGAGCCCGGTGGGGCCCCCGCTGGTCATGACGCGCCCGGCGTCCACGCTGGAGCCACAAGATATGACGTCGGGGAGCACGGAGGCCTTGCCCATGACTCGGGGGAACCGTCCGAGGTCGACCGGGTCCAGGAGTTCCGGGACCGCATCATGTACGCCGGGCACGTCGCACCCCTCGATTACGTTTCCGACACTCCGCGGCCGCCCGTCTTCCTCTGCGAAGCCTTTACTGCGCCGCCGAATCTCCAGAAATGGTCGCACCCCGACCCGCCGATTACCGAAATCGACAGGCCGCCGCGCACGCCGTCTATGCCCTACTCGCACATGGGCATCTACCGCGGCCCTGAGGTGCTCGGGTCGGGCGATAATACGTCTGTGCGCACCACCGACGGCAAGGCGGATGACAGCAGCGCTAGCGGCCGGCCGCGGGGGCTGATGATGCATGCACCGACAGCCCCGCCGCCGTACCCCAAGCCGACGGACGTCCAGTCGTGGATAATGGCACATCAGGCACTGGCGACGCCCGTCAGGGGCCCAGCATCGGCGCCTGTCGTGTGCAGCACCGAGGACACCTATCCCACCAGCGTCGAATCGTTGGAGCGTCCATACAACTGGATTGAAGATGTAGCAAGCGACCAGGCTGTCGAGGCTGACGGGTTCAAGCGGTGCTCGCGGTGCGCCATTTCTTACCGAATTACTGACGGGAAGAGATGCAGATGCACGCCGTCCGAGGGCGATGGCGAGCGCCCTATCTGAGTTGGAGCAGTCGGCTTGCGACTGTAGCTAAACATAACGCTGGACTGAACCAAGGGTCGGAATGGCGGGTTTGCGACCTCAATGTAGAGGCAAGAGACGGGCTGAAAGCTCCCTCTTTGCTGCCGCCCTCTATACACGAAGTGGGCGGTTGCTTGTCGCAGATGAGTGGGGGCAGAGGCAGCGGAAAGAAACAATGTACTAGCTAGGAAATGTAATTCTTAAGATGGGACTGGATGGTGTCATCTATTATAGTTTATAGCGTTACTTGGAAGTTTGTGGGTCCATACGGACAAGCCTATTTAGGAGGACTTTTACCTTATAGAGTAATGCATAGGAAATGCTTGGTAAAATCGGAATTATCCTGCAGCAACTCTTGCTCAGCACTTCCTGGAGACATCCTACAGAGCAATGCATAGCCAGCCGGCTCAGATTATTCGTGTGTACCATTATGTCCGGCAGGCCATGGTAATTTTCAAAAAATTATCTGTCCGGAATTAATATATATTTACTATGATTCACGGTAACCTTAGGCAGAACGTCATCGGGATCTTATCTAATATCTCTGTCCTGGTGTCCAAGTCCTTCATGCTCAATGCCGCCCGGGGTGTCTTCAGGCGTCATTTATCGAGCTATGCTCAAGCATTCTTCCCCAGAAAAGGCGACAAGGGTGAGTTGTTTGCGATCCGCTGAAAGGCTGAATTAAAATGTGCAAATATCCAGTGGTCGTCGCTATGTCGGGCGGCGTAGACTCCTCGGTGACTGCAAAATTGTTAGCAGACCAGGTAAATACGATATGGTGTGCTGTACGTGGCCTTTACTGAGAGCCCTTGACATTAGAACTACGACTTATCCGCGGTGTTTATGCGGAACTGGGATACGCGCGACGAGTCTGGCACGGACAAGGGATGCGAGTGGGAGAAGGACTGGGAGGACGTGCAGCGCGTCTGTAAAATGCTCGATTTGCCCTGTACAATGGTGCGTTTCTAAAACAGCCGAATTGCGACTTCTCATAATATAACTACGCAGGTCGATCTCACCCGTGAATACTGGACCCGCGTCTTCGAGCCGTCTCTCCAACTCTGGGAGTCCGGCTTAACACCCAACCCCGACGTCTGGTGCAACAGGTCTGCCCTCCACATTTATATGTTTTCATTACTAACCTGCTGTCAGAGAAGTCAAATTCGGCGCCCTCCTCGACCGCCTCACGCCCTCGACTCGATGGCTCGCCACTGGGCACTACGCGCGCAAAGAGTGGACCCAATCATTCACGCCCGCCTCCAGCTCCTCGTCAGACCTCTACGAAATGCGCATCCGGCCGCAACTGCTGAAAGCCACGGACCGCCACAAAGACCAGACGTACTACCTCTCTTCGATCAAGGAGGACAGTCTGCGGAAGGCGCTGTTTCCCCTGGGCGACCTGACGAAGCCCGAGGTGCGCGCGATGGCGAAGCGGTTTGGCCTGCCCACCGCAGAGAGGGCGGAGAGCATGGGCATCTGCTTCGTCGGCGAGAAGCGCAAGTTCAGCGAGTTCGTGTGTGAGTCTCCTCCCAATGGCTTGTGCCATACTGCGGGGGTGCTCATGTCTCTATTGGGAAGCACAATACGTGCCGCCGAAGCCGGGGGACATCGTTGACCTCGAGACGGGTAAAGTCGTGGGGCAGCACCAGGGCCTGTGGACCTATACAATTGGTCAAGGCGCGAAGATCCGCGGACTCCCTGAAAAGGCGTTCGTAGCGAAGAAGGATCCCAAGAGTAACGTCGTATACGTCGTCCCAGGCAGGTTAGCATTCATCTGAGCTTCTCCTTCCTTTCGCGCCGTTTACTCATGCTGCTGCTGAATTTACAGTGACCACCCGGCACTGTACAGCGACGTGATGACCGTCAAAGACTTCGAATGGATATGGCCCGACTCGCCACCACTGGCGGTATTCGAGCCAGACGGTTTCCGCGCACGCGTGAAATATCGGTACGTCATGGAGGACGTCCCCGCCACCATCTGCAGGTAAGCAAAAGCCAAAACCATTTTCACCTTGATCCTCCTGCTGATGGCTTGCAGGACCGACGAGAGTAAGATGAGGGTCACGTTCGACCAGCCGCAGAAAGCCGTCACCCCTGGGCAGATCGCTGCTGTGTATCATGGGGACTGGTGCCTTGGATGCGGGTTGATCGAGGAGGCTTCTCAGCGGTGAATGTGGAAGCCACTTCTGGAGTAGGTAACAGTACGTGTATTTCCTTATAACAACGTGTACATTATAATGCTAGACTCCATTCACACATGCCCCACTTGCTTTGATTCTGACTGTTACAGATGCAGCCTACGCAAACACAACGGGCGTTCTCCCATATCAGTGACACGATCGCTGAACGAATACCGCGTCTCTTCGTGTGCTTCTGCGTTTTGTCCTGTAAGTCTCCATGATCCCCCTTCCCCAGCGATCGCCTCTACACCGCCTTTGTCTTCCACGCTCCCGCCTTCATCCCCACCCGCCGAACCTTCATCGGTGCTCTTGCTGCACATCATGTCCTCCACTTCTTTGGGGAACCCCCGGAAATCGATACCGAGGTGAACCAGCTCCACGACATCCAATATCCCCTCAGCGAGCCTCAGCAGTTCCTGGTTCTCACTACCACCAATCCACGCGTGATGGGCAGGGACATCCGCCCACCCTGATAGCAGATACACCTCTGATGGGTTGCGGGCGTTGTAGAAGAAGAGGAGGGGGTGTCCCGACCAGGCGCTCTGCCGGTCGGAAAGCCGGCGGAAGAATTGGGTGACTTCACTGGATGAGGATGTATAGGGCGGTTTCAATCGGAGCGTGGCGAATTCGGTGATGCTCATGAGTTGTGATGGCTTGGTATGAAGGCTAGTAAGGGTTGTTTCCAGCCGGCCGCGTTTGGAAGGAAGATATATATGCGCCTCCTTTGGGACGCGTCAGCATAGATGACGCGTACTCATAGTATCACGACTGAGACCACGTCTATCCAAATGGGACTACGCGTACATGATTGAGGATCTCCTGTCACCTAGAAAACCCATTTCTCTGATGTCCCACCTCAGTAAGCAATTCCCGTGTACATCGACGTGCTGAGGGCGGTGGATATCGCCTTGGCAAGGATACTGCAGGAGGTTGAGAACGAAGGGAGGATGATCTGTGTCTCACAACTCACTCATGAACAGTGAACACGGGATGGAGGGTGTTCAGCCAGCTATGCATGCACACCATGAGCCATCAGTTTATGGAATATCGGAGGGGATCGTCACCCACAAATAACTGGACACAGGCGCGCAGCCCTCGACCTGCGTCGTCCTCTCCGGCGTTCCATTCTCATACGCCGCGCAATACCCCGTAGAGTTGTAGAACCCAAACGTCTCCGCCGCGTCCAGCAGCGTATTAAACACCGGCTGCGTGTCGAAGATCGTCACCTGGTCGAGGTCGGTGTGGTTCGCCTGGAACTGGCGGATATACGAGACGAGGTGCGCGTTGTAGTCCGCGATGGCGGATTGCACGGCGATGGTGGTGTTGATGCCCTGCGCGAGGAAGAGCGGCGCGCGGTTGGTTGGGGGAACGGTGAGGAAGAGGAAGGAGCGGGCGCCGGCGGAATAGAGGTCTTCCATCTATTGCGACCCTGAAGATGAGTGCATGTACCAGACAGAAGCCATGAAGTATAGACCTGTCCAAATAGCCTGTTCATGAGGACATCGTAAAATGCCGGTTGCGTGACGTTCGTCTTGCGCACTTATGTGAGTTGATTGTGTCAAAGAACCGCAATATCAGAACACACCCAGTCCCAAGAATTTCCCTGAAGTGCACAGGCAAGAAAAAGTGTTTAGGCATCAACATCTAATAGAAGCAGATCCTTCCACGCACGACATCGTTTATACCGATCCAAATGGCGAAGAGCGAGTCTGAACTGCTCCATTCGGCTCCAGGGGGCTTATTGGCGAGATATTGGTTGAACTCCTCGACCTGCTGGACGACAGACCTAGACATGTCCTCCATAAACGGTCTCATATGCAGATGTTTCTGTACGTGCGTACAGAACAGTTGGCAGGTAGGGGGCCACGAGGGCTCCGTCGATTGTGGCGCCCCCGTATGCCAAGTCGAATACCTGAATACGGAGCAGATATTGGTACAAGCGCTGGAGCCTCAAAGTTGAATCCATGTACTGACCTTGGTATTGGTCACATTGTACGTGTTACCTGCAACGAACAATGTCAATATAGGACGCCCAGGGATCAAAGGTCCCAATTTTTACCCAGGAACTCTACCCAGTTGGGTCCGTTTGACGAGGTCTAAATTCAAGTCAAACGAAGAGGGATATAGGTTTGGGTTTTCGCGAAATGGATGAAAACTCACGTAACCTGGGTCAGGAGAGTTGACACCCGCAGAGACATTGTATCCGTCCGTTGTGTACGAGTCTCCGAAGACGAACATATACTTTGTGGTTCCCCACGTAAGTTGCCCGACCGCTGCAGAAGCCGCACAAAGCAGGGATAGGGATGCCGACAAGAGCTTCATAGTCCTAAACGCGTGCACGGGGACACGGCAGGAGACCTAGTAACGACGGGTGAATATCCCAGGCGATACCAGGATTCCTGCAGCACCCCATGTCGCTATTTTGTACTCGTTCCGGGCCAGCTCATCTCGCTGTTCAACCTGCTGGTCATCACACCATATGATAATCATGGTGCTTCGTAAGGCAGTGTCTGCAACCCGAAAAATCCCCATTTTGCAGGAAAACGCACGATCGGCCGGGTGAGAAGCAACGACGCGCAGAATGCGAGAGAGAAAAGCAGCAAAGTCCTAATAATACGCGCACCGACGTCCGTGAGGTGGTGGTCAGCTGAAAGGGACGTATCAGCAGCGGTAATAGGGGCAAATGATGATCGCGCACGCGCTGCCGCCGGCGAACGCGTTACACAGCGACCTCCATGATCTCGGTCAGTACAGCTGTAACGAACGGCACGTAGAAGGGTGCTTATGTTCGGGTTTGCAGGCTTTCTTTATTTTCAACCAGAAGGGAGAGGTACGCAGTCTTTTTTGCTACAGCATGGAAGAGACTTTGACGCCTACTGTAGGTCCTCATTTCTCGTCTGTACCGGACGGACCTGAAGTAGGTAAAGGACCGATCCTGCTGGCGCGGACATGGCTTACAACAGATGCTTTATACAGACGGTCGATAGCAGACGTCTTTCGGATACAAGTTGTGTCGAACAGCGACGTCCGGTCGCCCATCATCACTCTCGGCTCGACCAGCTTCTTCCATGTCCGTGTCAACAATCTCTACATCGTCGCGGTGACGAAGTGCGTAATATGCGTTACCGCGTGATACCAAGCTGACAGGATTATTAGATGTAACGCCAATGCGGCTCTCGTATTCGAGTTTTGCTACCGCTTCACCTCGATAGCCAAGTCCTACTTCGGGAAAGTGGACGAGGAGTCTGTCAAGAACAATTTTGTTCTGATATATGAGCTCATAGATGGTGAGTGTCGCAGTCTCCTGCACGGCCTGACGAGAGGTACGAATCACCACTGTTAGAGATCGTCGATTTCGGATACCCTCAGAACAGCGAGATTGACACGCTGAAGAGCTACATCACCACTGAGAGTGTAATGTCGACATCAATCGCACCTGTGAGTCTACAGTAATACATTCATGGCAGAATGAATCCTAGACACGGTCATTATGCAGGAAGAGTCCTCGAAGATCACGACACAGGCAACCGGTGCCATAAGCTGGCGGCGAGGCGACGTCAAGTACAAGAAGAACGAAGCCTTCGTCGACGTTGTCGAGACAGTGAACCTCAGTATGAGCGCAAAGGGTATAACCTATTTGGCCGACTACCCCCCACAGCTTCTCACACTTGCTTAGGCACAATCCTGCGCGCGGACGTGGACGGCCACATCCAGATGCGCGCCTACCTCTCCGGCACGCCCGAATGCAAGTTCGGCCTGAACGACAAACTCGTGATCGACAAGAACGACCGCACGGGCGCGAGCGACGCCGTCGAGCTTGACGACTGCCGGTTCCACCAGTGCGTGCGCCTGAACGAGTTCGACGCCAGCCGCACGATCAGCTTCGTCCCGCCTGATGGCGAGTTTGAGCTCATGAGGTGCACCGGTGAAGTCATGACGTGTTGCGGGGGCTAATAAAGTTGCAGGTACCGCGCGACGACGAACGTGAAGCTGCCGCTGCGGGTGGTGGCCACCGTCAACGAGATTGGGACTACGAAGGTTTCATACGATATTACGGTGAAAGCAAATTTTGGCAATAAACTATCGGCAACGAACGTGGTGGTGCGTATACCTACGCCGCTGAACACCACGAACGTCGATTGCAAAGTCGCGTCGGGGAAGGCGAAGTACGTCCCCGCGGAGAACGTAGTCATCTGGAAGTGAGTGCTTAAATACCTTATCCCATGGCGGAGACGTTAATGCACCCCGGCAGGATACCTCGAATACAAGGCGGACAGGAATGCACGTTCACCGCCATGGCTGAGCTGACTAGCACGACGACCCGACAAGTGTGGACCCGGCCACCGATTGACGTCGACTTCCAGGTGCTGATGTTCACGGCGTCAGGCCTGATCGTGCGGTTCTTGAAGGTGTTTGAGAAGAGCAATTACCATAGCATCAAGTGGGTGCGCTATTTGACGAAGGCGAGCGGGACGTACCAGATCCGGGTGAGTCGATCCTCTCTCGTGTGTCTTCTTGTACTCAGTCATCTCTCTTCCCCTACGTCCATCTAGTACTGAGGGGTCCAGGTGTATGATGTATATTACTCGACTTAGTTACAATCCACATAATAGTTTCCTTTAAGATTGTTTTTGCGAAGTTTCTCCATTGGTATCACGTGAGCGTCACGCATCACGGTAATTAACGCGACTGCCTCCTGAATTTGTGGCTGCAATTCACTTTGACCAGAACCATCATGACCCCCATCCCCTGCACCTTAATCGGCTACCGCATCTTGAACGAAGCCATCGAGCGCTACCGCGCCGAGCACAGTCTGCCCGAGATCAACGACCGTCCCCTGCTCCAGCAGCTGGAGTCGACTCTGGGGATACCCCTAGCTCTCGTGCGCGTCGAGCTGAACGACGACACCAGCTCTCAGGAACATTATCTCTGCTGTTTCGCGGACTACAACCGCCCGTATGACGTTCAGGCGCTTGCGGCACTCCCTGTACCTCAGGCGTTCGAGAGGCTCCCGCAGGTTATCCCTGTAGAGGGGGACGTGCGGAGGCTGTTTGCACCGCACGCCATGGTCGTCTCTTGGGACGAGGCGGGAAAGTCGAGAGTGAATGAGCGGGGGCTTCCCATAGGCGCTACTGCGCCCGAGTGAACGGGTGAGCGCTTACAGAGTCTTGCCGGACCTTTAGGAACTGAATAGGGGCAGGTATGGAGCCTCTCGAATCCCAGTGTAGCGGCTTTGATCTGCGAGCTGTCGTGTACAATGCCCGGGTTTGTCAGAGTTGTTGCCGTCTTATGCTATGTTTACTAAATGTACTTGTCGCCGCGCTAGTACATGCCTGAGACTGGAGGTGTGGATACTCCTAGCTCTCCTAGGAGGATGACAAGAATAGGTTTCAATGTCCAGACATTAGGTTTCATCTGACATGTGCTGCCTTACGGAGATGTCTGCAGACCGACCGCGCTAACAAGTGACGGCGAAAGTCATAAGGAAGACAGCCGAGTATAGTGGCCACATACCTCTCACGGGTGATTCGTCGTCCTATAAGGGCCACAATCAATCAGCGCCGAATAGACGCCTACGTATAAAGGGACGAGAGAGAAGGGGACAAGCGTTGCAGTGCGAACCCCACGACCAAGTGCATTCCGCCGGCGCGTATTGCAGTCCTGGCGACTTTCCCGCTCAACTGAACGGCAAGTTTACTTAGATTCATCTTCAATAGCATTTGCGACAGCCGTCGCACATTCGCACCAGTACATCAGCTCGGTTCTCCACGGTGTGTGATCACTCTCTGTCGGGACGAATAATCAGCTTAGAGTTATTCAGATGCCGTACAACGCGACCATCAAGGAGGAAGCCCAGTACGCCAGGAGCCTTGGGGACGGTGCTACCGAAGATAAATTCCATGCCACATACAGCGCGATTCTGACAACCTGGTTCCCTAGCGACAAGGGCTACATCATCGACCATCAGGTCATGGGCGAGGGAGGCAAGCCAGAGTATATCATCGTCCGTCACGCCGGGGGGAAGCGCAACCCCCTGCTCATCGTCGAGCTCAAACGGCCGAGCAAATGGAATGACGCCGGTAAGAAAGAGGTCCTGTCGGATCTCACGACCTACATCGAGGGCCGCTTCGACCTTACGCAGTATAATACCATCTATGGCCTTGGCGGCATTGGGCTGAACTGGATGGTGTGCAAGATGGAGAAGTCGGGGCAGCATGTGCCGCAGACCATTCTCGGGTGGCGGGCGGATATCAGCAGTGACCAGTCCTACACGGATTTCGCGGAGGTTGCGGATAAGATTTATCACATTCAGTAAACGGCTGGATATCCCTGAGAAGTATACATTTGACGAAGAAAAATATATGGAAATAATGAAGTAGTCTCGATAGTACTGGCCATGCTCACCGTCTAGGATAAGCGGGACGCTAGTTCTCTCCTCTTCTGAGTCTTTAACGAGCACGCAGCCTTCCCAATGAACGGAGCCGCATTCACAGATGGAGCAAATTCGTACCAAGATATTCACCTCTATCTGATTTGACTGGTACCGGGACTATTGTCTTCTTCATCCTCACTATCGTCTTCAACCCAACTGTCGTCACCTTCCCCAGCAAAGTCCCACACATCTATGACAGACCCATCGCCAGTAACGCTAGCAGCGACACACCACGGGCCCTTGAACACCACCTGCCGGACGCCGGTGATCCCAGGAAGCAAATCGCGCACCTCTCTGCCGTCCCGGATGTCCCACATCTTCAACGAACCCTCCGAGCCGCTGACGACCTTGAAATCATCATGCTGGAAGCACGTGATAGCTCCCGTGTGCGCCGAGAGCGTGTACTGTAGCTCGCCGGTGTCTGGGTTCCAGACGCGCAGAGTGTCATCGGCGGCGGCGGAGACGAGGCGGGACGGCGAGAGGCCTAGAAGACCGACCAGGGACGTGTGTCCCGTGAGGATGTGGCGGCATTCGCCGCTGTGGAGGTCCCAGATGCGGACTGTCCCGTCCATGGAGCCTGAATATGCCTTGTTGCGGGCGGCGTCAAGGGCCACGGTGTAAACTATAGGATAAGAGAATTAGTTGGGTGGACGCGAAATGGCAATAGCGCGAGTATCTACCTCTTTGCGTGTGGCCATGCAAAACCCAGCGACATTGCCCGGTGATTATGTCCCAAACGCGGACTGTGCAATCGAAACTACCGGATAACAGTGTGCGCCCTCTAGCCGCGAGCGCGCGGACGGCATGCTCGTGCCCTGCCAAACGATGTTTATGGTACGGATTATCTCCCACGTCCTCCTTGCAGTTGGTAAGATATGATCAGCGATAGAACGTGAAATATAACGTGACTGCTTGAACTGACATACGCCGCTGGTTCATCAGTCTTCCGGTTTGTGTACTCCTTGTCATTTGGTCTTGGGAGCAGCCAGACACGCATGGAATTATCTCGACTGCCGGACACGATCAGCGGTTCCTTCGGCCACTTCTCCTTCCCGGTGCCGCCCTTCGCATCCACAACATCCAACCACTCAGGTTTTACAATCGTCAGACACCTCACGGTGTTGGTGTGACCCTTGAATACGTGGGTGCACCTTCCCGTGCTCAGATCCCATACTCTTACGGTACTGTCGGAGGATCCGCTGACCAGGGTATCTCGCGTCGTGGCTAGGCACCAGACGCCACCCGTGTGGCCCTTCAGAGTGTGGATTAATTGGCCTGTAAGGAGTGAGTATATGTGGATGGAGTGCTCGTCAGACGCGGAGATGATCCGGTCATGCGACAAGAGAAGGCAAGTCACTACAGCCTTGCCATGGGCAGGGAACCTGAGGCGCCTTGGGTTGTCATTTTGAAACCATCGAGTCTGGACGCTGTCCTCCATATCCCTCTGCGGTGTGGTAGTCGTCGGTGGTCAAGGATGCAGACTGCTGCCCTCTTATAGAAGGCAGCTAATACTTACGTCGAGTCACCTGGAGGAACCGCGGCGTGTGAAGCAGAACTGCTGATCATGATCATATGCGTTCATTGCGCAGTCGTAAGTCTGTGAATTGCATAAGCGAGTCTGCTGGAGGTACTTACATCGTCGGAATATGTGTCTCCAGGCTGCGTAGTGAAATTACAACCGGCTATAATGCATAGTGTCGTTATATTGGAATATACCAGATGGGTCAGTCCACTGATGCATGTTTTGGAGAAATGGAGGTCTATTCGAAATGAGCATGCCCGACGATTTGACCTGAACTTCCGAATACCCACCTGCACCATTTCTGGTCTGAGAGTTGATGAAGTACACAAGACATGGACAGGAACGTACCAAATTCGTGCTCGCGTGCCGTTGGACTTGGTTTGGAGCGTCTCTGCGCTGGTTGTGATCACGTATTTTTCTGCAGTCTCGATAGTCTTTCTGAAATTTATTCCCATTTGTTTCCCTTCGTATACGAGCGGTACATATCGCTGCAAGCGCAGCGTGAGATTGCGGGGAACAGAAGCGGTCGTGCTTCTGTGCGAACCGCCCATAGAGCGCTGTGGTAGGGTTGCAGACGGCTAATTCGGGTCAGTTGCGCGTCCAGCTCCCAGCAGTCCACGTATCGTAGTTCTTGCTTTCTACCACCATAAACCTTTGCGGCCACGCGAAACGAAAACTCCATGTTTTGGAGGTAGTTCGCAGCACTCTTGTGTTGGGAGCGCGCTGAGCAGGATGCCATGTTTTTGGTAGATTCGGGCTGTACCACTCGCTCGACAGCCTCCTGGACAAGGAAGATGTCTCGCTCGAAGAAATACTAGACGAAGATGAACTGCTTCAGGAGTGCAAGGAACAGAACTCAAGGCTTATAGATTATTTCCAGCGGGTGGACGTCTTGCAGAGATTGCTCGGGTACGTGACGGGGCAGATAGAGTGCGAGGAGAAGGGCCGATTCAAGTGAGTATTGTCACCGGCTCTTGCGCGAACGCCTTCGTTGACGACTTACCCATGGGGAGGTATCCGTATGTTGCAACGGAAGTATTGTGCAGCGAGATATGGTCCATCGTAGAGACCTGTCTTAATAATTCTGACCAACTGCTCGTGCCCTTCTGGGAGACCGTCCTCGACCGGCCCCCGGAAGAGATGAAGACGCAAATGGTCATGGCCTCGCACTTTGCCAAAATCAACGCAGTCTTCCTGAACAAAAAGCCCGTCGAGGTGAATCCTCCTTTCCTCTCCCCGTTGCCCATGTAAACGCCCAGCCGCTGCGCGCTCACGCAGATGCTCGCGTTCATCCAATCGCAACCGCACATCGTCGCGCGCCTCCTGCGGCACATTGAGGCGCCGTCCTTCGTCGACTTGCTCGTCCGAATCATCCAGCTGGACGAGCACCCCGCGTGCGGCGGCGTTCTAGAAGTATGTGTCCATATCTGACTGCCATTTGCGTGCGGACGGACTCCCCTCATGCACAGACGCATAGTGGCTTTCGGAAGAGAACCTGATGGGTCGGTTGGTGGACCTCATGTCGCCATTGCATACTCCCGATATCCATACCGTGGTCTCGGAACTTATCAAGGGCATCATATCAATGGCTGCACCGTCCCCAGGCGCAGGCCTCACGGAAGGTCTACAGAACGGGCCCGCGTCGAACCTTTTCGCTCGCCAGCTCGCTCACGCGAGCAGCATCTCAAAACTCACTGACTACATCTTAAGTGACTTCGGGTCGAAGGGTGGGGAGGACAGCAAGTTAGCAAACGCCCTGCAATCAACGAGTAGTTCCAGTTTGAGCAAATCCGAGGACAGCGAAGTACCATCTATAGACGACGATGAAGTCCTACCGAACAAGGAATCCCACACCTCCTCCGTCGTCCAGTCAATTTCCATCATCATCGAGCTGATCCGCAAGAATAACTCGGACTACTTTGAGCCATACCTCTTCCACACGCTACGCAACCGCCTCATCACCTTGCAGCAGCAGCTCCCCGCGAACCCGGACGAATCGCGCGAAATGCTCGAGCGCGCGATGCGTGAGATGGTCGACCGCATGGGCGTCGTGCACCTCGGCTCCGTCCTCGAGATTACTTGCAACCGCCTCGATGAGTACCAGATGTATCTGGACAGTCCGCGATCCCTGGTGCGTCACGTTTTGACCGGAAACAACTATACTGTACGGATGCTTATCTACGCTGATCGGACTCGGCTTCACAGGAAGGCCCGATGCTGCTGACGGTCGGGACGATCGCGCCGCTCACGTTCGAGCGGTACCGTATCTGCGAGCTCTATGCGGAGCTCCTGCACTGCTCTAACATGTCCCTATTGAACCGGCCGCCGGAGTACAACCACATCTACGACGCGGAGGGCCGCTTGCAGGGCGGGCTCCCGGCACTCGAAGAGCTCGCACGCGTGATAGCGATGAGCAACGGTGACGACGGCGACGGCGATGCGATGGACGAGGAGAAGGAGGAGCTGGAGCCCGCGCAGGAGCTGCCCATCTCGAACGCGTCCCACGAGTCATCGTCGGTGCTGGATTCGGACGAGGAGATGGATGATGATTCGGATAATGATGCTATGGAGGAAATTGCTATGTCGGACGAGCCGCCGTTTGCGGTGTCGCCACCGCCGACCGCGCCTCTCAGTGCTTCTCCGTCTACCACAGCACCGGCCTCGACTGAGCCACAGCTGGTGTCTGCGCCGCCCAGGAAGAATTCGCTGACGCTCACAGCTGATTCGGACAGCACGAGTAGACCTCGGTCGAGTAGCTCGCGCAGGAGTCTAAAACGGTCGGCTACCCTTGACAGTCAACCGGCTCCCCCGCAGCCATTGCCCATTGGGGAGAGACTGAAGCAACAGTTCTTGGAGAAGAATGTACTGTCAAAGATGCTGGTATGCTTGTCCCCGTATCTTGGCGTGTGATAGTACTGAATGATGGCTGTCCACAAGGACTTGTTCTTTGGATTCCCGCTGAATAATTTCCTCCACAGTGTGGTGTATGATTTCTTGCACCAGATCCTGACAGGGCGGGTAGATGAAGGTATGAACCGGGAGTTGACCATCTCGCTCTTCCGGGACGTGAGGATCATGGACCGTATCCTCGAGGGCCAGCGGAGAAATGATGTTGAAGTGTAAGCGCATTCACATTCGAAATTGTCCAGTTCCGTGACTGTTTTCGTTTCAGCGCGAAGCCGAAAGGCGTTCGGCTTGGGTATATGGGCCACCTTACCCTCATCTCGGAAGACGTGATAGGTGCACTGGAACATTATCCACCAGACTTGCGCGCCGTCATCCGTAGCTTCGCGCCGCAGCCTGCATGGGACGAGTATGTATCGGGCCGCTACATCGAGACAAAGAAGAATGATACGTCCCTCTTGGGTGGCGGTAAGCCGGTCGTCGGTCCCGGAGCGCCAAGGGCTGGCCCTGGAGCTCGCTGGAAGGTGGATGAGGCGGAGGGTGCAACCACCCAGGTCGAAGCCACAGAGACGGCTGACGCTGGCGTTGGCGGGTCGGAATCGGATGTCAAGGAGGAGCCCTTGCGGAAGCCCTCGGGTTCAAGGCGGGAAGGCAGCGACGACTTCGGCACGGCCTTCATGGATGAGGATGAGGACGATCATGGAGCTGCTCCACCGCAGGTGCGTGCCAAAATCTGCCATGAGGGTTCTCGTTCTCTGTCCTCACCGTCCTCTAGTTTGCCCGCTATCTAGCCCAAGAGATGCAGTCTTCAAATCACTTCGGATCTGCCTCCTCATCGGACGGTAGCGACGAGGAAGAGGATGAAGGGGGTTGGCTGGCACAGTCGACCTTCAGCCTCGGTGCCCCTCCTAGCGGCCGGCATGACGAGAACAATCGAACACCATTAGATAGGAACGGATTTGAGGTATGCACAATTGCCCTATTGTATTGCCCCCAGGTCATGACCAGTGTCATGTCCCTAGGATGCATTTACTCCACAGGGAGGCTATGATGATCCTTTTACAGAAGAGGTACGCCATTGTCTTCCCACTGGTGATCTGCGTGCTTATGACCTGACCCAGGACGATGCCTTCGGGCCTTTCTCGGACACTGCTGCTGCCAGCGGCGCAGACCCTTTCACCTTCGCATCTTCCTTCAGTGAAGAGATAGAGCATGCTTCGTTTGAGGACTTCGGTGACTTCGGCGACTTCCAGGCTGCAACCGAGGGCGACGGGGAGCTGACGCCTACCGCGGGCAGCTGGTCGTTCACAAGTAATTCAAGTGCGAGCTCAGAGCCTGGTGTCCTTGAAGACGGGGCAGGTGGGGATTCATCCAAGGAGCGCGCTGAACGGAAAGCCTTTGAGGAACCTCGGACTGCCCTCACTAATGATCAACAGACGTTGAAATCTTCATGACTTTCGCTTTCCTACCTGTATCTATGTATGTAATATCCGTTACCTTGAAGCTCGGCGTGGCCGGTACCCTTTAGACTTCGTCACAATACCTCTTCGCAGAGCTTATCTTGCGTTGTGGGTGGACATAGCCCGGAGTAGTAGTGGAGGTGAACCTACTACACCGAAAGTCCTCTGATGATATTAGGCGAAAAATGTGTACAAAGCGAGATAGGCCCATCATAAACTTAGCTCTTCCTCGCTGCTCCCCTCGCCGATCCCTTTAGAAAGCCAGTACGATCTATTCCTCACCGAGTACTTTGCTCTTGGGCTTCTACCCTTAGGAGATACCGAGCGTTCCCGGGTGCCACCGTCGACTATATTGAGCTCGATGTGATCGTCGCGTATAATGCCCTCCTCCTCTTCATCGTCAGTAGTGAAGTAGGTATGCGCGTCCTGAGCGGTGCCTGTTCGCCGCCGCTTCCGAGGCGGTTGCCGTTTATCGATGGCGTACCGGCTCTCTTCCTCTTGCGCGGGGGGTCCGTTAGCGTGCGCTCTGTTCTCCTCTCGGTCTGAAACTGAGGGGCTCATGTCCATATCTGCTTCTCCCCATGCGGATGCGACACTCGCGGACTGCCGGAGGCGCTCTGAAGACAACTTGCGCTTGGGCGCGCGAGGTGAGGGCGACCTTCGGCTTCTGGGCGGGAGTGCCGCAGATGGTGTGATTCCGAGCATGCGATGCAAGATGCCCTTGACGAAGACTTCTTGTACCAGCTTTCTGTGATTAACAGTCTGCGGAACAGCGATTTCACCAGTCAATGGCTTCGCAAGGCTAGACGTACGCCGGAACTACCAACCTGCTGTGTTACGCCCAGAACACTGGACAAGATACTCATCTCCTCGGGGTCGGATCTGTCACGGAGCCGCACAGTACGCCCTTCCCTCCGTGCGCTGATCATGCCCGCACGGAGGTACGCTGCAGCGGTCATGATCCCATGAGCCCCAGCGAGAGTGGTCCGCACGCGGTTGATCCCGTAAGAGCCCTTGGAGATATCGTTTGCTAAATGACTCGCGGAAATCAGCTTAGGCCACGTCGACGGAACAACGAACACGGTCTTACATGGATCTGCGGGGTCCTCGATAGACAGCAAATGACTCCTGTTGTAGTCCAGCCAACCCCGCCTAGCCTTGCTAAAATACGTGCCCCCATCGCGCAACGAGATGCCTACTTCATGGTAATTAAAGTAGCACCCATACAGCTCGAAGAACTCCATCGCCAGCACGCCGAGATTCTGGCTCGGGTCGATCTCGCCCCGTCTAATCTTCGGGTGCATCTGCAAAAAGCTGATAACCATACACACCAAACTATAGCTCCCCAAGCCGCCGGTGAAAACCTCGTTCATGCTTCTCTGATGCAAAAACGTTTTGACGAGCATGACGAGGGGCTTCAGGGCGGGGAGCGCAGCGAGGAAGCCGTTGATCATGCGCACGACGGGCACGCCGCTCGCCTGGTTCACGCTGATGTCGACCGCGAAGCGCCCGTGGGTCGTTGTGAACTTGATGATGGGCACCTTCGCTTTCGCGATGATGGACACCTTGTCGGTGATCCCCGCGCGCTTCATCGTGTTCGCGAGCGCGTGCAGGACAGTAACCTTGTCGGAGTAGGCCATCGAGTCAGACTGCACAACTAGGTCGATGTCGCTAGGACGGAAATAGATTCAGAGCGTGGACAGAAGGGAGGAAAGCAGGGGCACCTTACCCTAGGGGGAGGTACAGCTTGGTCTCGTAGCTTCCGAATGGGAAGACTTTGGCGTCTGGGAATTGCTTCGTGATCGCTTTGGACACGATGGCGATGATCATGCCCCTGACTTCGTCTTCGACGGGAGTAGGCGAGATGTACCGGTGGAACGCTTCCACTTCTCGATGAAGCCTGTATGTAACCGTTAGATCGCATTGTAAGCACGCACGTTGGGCATCGGGGCCTATACGCACATCTCTGCCACATTGTTACAGCTCTCCCAGTCGACGTCGTGTACCCAGGGCGCGCGGCGGCTCGCAGCGTCGAGCCGCTCTTTCTTGCTCGCATACCCATCGTCTTGATCGTACTCGTCCGCCTTCCTCTTCCGCCCGGGGTGCTCTGCAGTCTTTCTCTTGCCCCGATCCCACTCCCGAACGTGCTCTTCCCTGTCCCTCCCTCTCTCCCTCTCCTTCTCCTTTTCCTTGCCCTTCCCGCTCGTCCTTGTACCCACCTCCCGGTCCATATCGAAGTCGAAGGGTATAAAGTCCTCGCCCATCTCGAACGTATTCTTCTTTTCTTCTGCCGAGCTAGCAGGCGGACGTACCTCAGTGGCAGAAGTGGAGGCCGGTGGCTTCCCGTCCTTGACCCTCTGCCGCCGCTCTGACCTGCTACTCCGAGACGTCGAAGGCACCCCCAGACCCTTCTCGTCCTCCAGTCCGTCATATCGACCACCATTAAGCGCTGGCGGCGGCGAATCTAACCTCGAGGCCAACGGCCGTCTGTCCCTCGGGGGCAGCCATTCCCCGTCTTCGCTCCTCTTCCGCGACTTCGACTTTGCCTTCTTCTTCCTTTTTCTCTTCTCCTCGTCTTCCTCGCGCTCCGCGCGGTCCCGTTCCCTCGAGGGCCTCTTCCCGTCTGGCGGAGACGCGTCCTCGTTCGCCGTGTTCTCCGACTTGCGCCGTTGCCTCCGGCGGATCTTCGTATTGGTTTCTACTGCTTCGGGGGCCATGTCGGGGTTAGTCATGAATTCGTGTGTTTGCAGACGGGCGAAGAAAGCAGAGCTGTGGCCTAGGTACGGTTCCAGATTACGCGTAAATCGCTTGAGTGGTACTCCCTTTGCTTTCTTCGATCGAGAGCGAGTTTTATATTTCTGGGGGGATGTAGCACCGCTGGTTTTGGTCCTGAGGAACGTTGAACCCTCTGTAATTATACTCTCGGTTTTATATGGGTCCTTCTGCTGCTTTGGAAACTTGGAGCTCAGAGGTTTGACGCGCCCTTCCTGTTGGAATTTGGGGCCTTTCGGTGTAAATTTCTGAAATTTGGGCGGACGTCTAGGTTCTTCGAAAGCAGGGGACCCTGGCGCCTCAGACTTGAGCGGAAGCCTCTTGATTCGGCTCGCCAAGTTGTCAGTCGATTTCAGAAAACCGATTTCCTCGCTGTACCAGCGTCGAAATAAGAGCGCCCCCTGAAAAGTGTAGCGAGGAAGGAGCGTCCAGCAGAAAGCGAGACGCGGCAGTTTGGCTGGAGGGCATGAGAGATAGTATTTAGGGGTTTATTAACCATTGCGACTCGGACAACGTAAGTAATCCGATATAAATATTTATGTAATTCGATTACCCCGCCGCCGTTGCTCGCGGTGCCCGACTCTCATCTCCGTCGAGTTCGATGGTGTCGGCGCAACGCCAGACGCCCGCACCCCGATTATTCGACGTGCTGAACACGACCGATGCCGCCAGCAACGGCACCTCAAAGCTGGGCAGCCTCCTCGGTTACCCGTCGCGTCTCCTTCATCGCGTGCGCAGCGGGCTCGACGAGCTGCTATACCAGGAGGATCAGGCAGCACTAGCGTACGCGGCCTCGCACGACGACAACGATGCGCTGAGGTCGAGGTACGGCGCAGTCGTCATGCCTGGACCATGGGGATTCCTCACGTCGGGGTATGTCGTCGGCTTGTTTGCAATGGTGAGTTCGCTCTGTTTGCGGTCGGTGCAGGTTACAGATGACCAGTAGGCCTTGATCCTGAACCGCATACAAAATATCGTTGTTCCCCCTCGACACCCGCTCACGTACCGCGCCCACCGTGCCAGACAGCCGTATCAGAACCGGGGATCGGTCTGGCGCGTGATGTACCACTCTGTGTTCCCTGTCGACCTGTCGTCGACGTTCTGCCGCCTTGTGCTACGAATTCCGTCTCTATACTTTCTGTCAAAGGCGCTGGCACTATGGACAATCATCTTGATACAGACCGCGGACTTGTTCCCGTCGTGGCAGTGGGGATGGTTACAAGCCATCGGTAACTGGGCTGCGACCAAGGAGATGGAGGACGTCTGCTGGTTCACGTTTGCGTCGATATGTGGTGGTCTATGTGTCGGTGCACTTACGAGAGGATTAGAGGGACAAGGCTCACCCAATAGTTCCCCCTTCAACCTGGTATGCTTCTTTGCATGCAACGTATCCCGTAGCTTACCCATGCTGCCAGTTTGGCTACGCTTTCCTCCTCCATATCTACTCTTCCCCGCTTACCCATACCAAGAAACCACTCGGCCTGCCCTCGCGACCGGACGCCCATGTTGTCATCACCATCATCCTCCCCCTCTTACAGGTGCCGTTCTCCGGTTACGACCATTGGTGCCTACTAAACGCCTTCCAGGTCGTGCTGATCCACGCGCTCGGCATCAAGCAGCGCTGGGCGCGCCAGCGGCTCGCACCGACGACGCTCTGCGCGCTGCTCACGCTCGCGCACTTCCACTGGGTGCTCTGGTTCTCCGAGAAGCCGTACCCGCTGCTCAACTACCTGCCCTGCGTGCTTGAGTCCACACTCGCGGCGATCACGCTGCTGACGGTCGCGCTGAACGCACTCACGCAGTTGCTGCTCGAAGGCGCGGTGACCCGCCCGCTGTTCGGCCACGCGGCAGCGCTGCTCCCGCGGTGGGACGAGGATTTCTCCGTCGCGCTCCTCCGGCTCGGAACGGCGAGCTTGGAGGCAACGAGCGTCGCGGGGCTGGGCAACGAGGTCGGCGGAGTGACCGCTGCGGATCCCGCGCTGTCGCTCGCCAAGGTCGCGCACACGGAGTACGGCGAGGTCGAGCTGAACCGGTTCGGCGTGGCGAGCATCTCGCATACGATCGAGGCTCGCGGGCGCCGGCGCAGACGGAAGGAGGGGTTCGCGAATGAGATACGGAACGTGAGGACGGGGACGGGCCAGGACGATGTGTGGTGGGATGCAGTGTGGTACAAGGAGTTGGCTCGCTTCGGGGTTGCGGTGTGGAAGATGTGCAGGGGCTTTGGCAGGTGGGTCTGGAACGTGGTGAGAATGAAGCCGACAGCGCTGTCGGACAGCCTGGTAGTACACCAAGCTTTGGAATCACCGACATTTAGGGAGAACGACGAGAGGGACGAGAGTGACGAGGAGGGGGTGGGAGAGGCCGAGGGGAACGTTTACGAGCGCTTCCTGCGCGAGGAGGCTGTCAGTGATGACGAGGAAGAGTACCGACCGACCGATTCTGCCCTGTCCGATGACGATGGCTCGGATTCAGACGAAGAAGATGAGCCGGCCGTGGAGACGGTCAAGCTTTATGCTGACCTCTCTGAGTCCTCAGTGAGCCGGACCGGCGCAGACTCGTCGGTCTTGCTAGCGCATATGACAAACGCGACCCCGTCCCCGCTTACGAGGAGACGATATCGCCGCCTCGCAGAGCCTGGGGGAGAGGCCTCCTCCAGATCAGAGAGCTATCCTGACCCCGGAAAGTTGGACGTCCTCGACGCCGTCGCGCGAGAACGACGGTTAGCAACGTCCTCCCAGAGGCGGGAACCTGACGACGACAGCAGGCGGAACTGCGTAGTGTGCACGGTCGAGCCCCGGCAGATTATCTGCTGGCCTTGTCGGTATGTCTCAGATATGCTTTGTTTTGTCTTGGTTAGCTCTTATGCTAATCCGGCTGCCCGTGCTGCTCAGATGTCTCGCATTATGCGATGATTGTCGAGAGAATATCGCGTCTCGATCTGCAGCATCCAAGCATACCTGCCCATGCTGTCGCCGGCCGTACGTGTCCTCTTCCTTTTGCGAGACGCTAGCTCACTTGCCTCCGTTCAGTGTGGAGGGCTATTCCAGAATTTTCGTGCCCTGATGGGCATTGCTATCGTGCAGCTGTGTAATTAATGCTATTGTCGTATGTGGATGTATTGTTATAATGTTTTGTGTTTTATAACTTGAACTACACGGAAGTCGTAAGCGGACTTGAAAGTGCACAGAACTCATCCACTTAGACACGCTCGGGCTCTATTCAAAACCTATCATATCATCTTCAAGGGTACATCTATTGCTCATATCCATGCCACATACATTTCTGAACTACCCACGAATCATATACTGCTACGTGCTACTTATTATCGAATCAATGAGGGCATGGACATGGTCGCATAGGGTGGGACGCTGGCAGACGAAACGCAGGGTTCGCACGGAACCTGGGCCAGTAAAGCTGACTGGCCAGCAATGCCAATAGTTGTGTCGTCAGCCAGCGGGCTGGCAGGCATAGTATGTCAAGCCCGGCCTTGGGAAGACCGACCCCTGACGTTGAGGCGCGTCTCGATGCCGAGCTCGTTCCAAAGCGGAGGCTGGCCAAGACAGAGATCTGTCCAGCAGAGACGGAAGTTCTCTTCCGTGCTGCAAGCCCAAACTTAGAATACGGTGACGCCCGACTGCGAAGCAGAGTACTGAGACTTCATGTCGTCGAGGTCGGCAGTCCCATCCTGGCTCTTGTAGTCGTATTGCGACATGCCGCCTATGTCCGAAGCACCAGCCACCGAGGAGAATGAACCGCGCCTGCGTAAGCGATCAGATTGTGAATATGCGATGCTGCCCCCGCGCTCAGAAGGCCCGATGGCGCTCCCAATGACACTCGCACTGTCCGCCATGCTAACGGCACCGCCGGCGTCTTGAGAAATGATCGAGCTTGCGTAGCTGCCATAGGTGCTGCGCTTCGCGCCATTACCAGCGCGAGGCATCCCCGGTCCGAAAGGCCCGGTAGCAGCGAACATCGGCAGACCCGAAGAGTAAGTCGCCTGAGACCGCAGAGACTGGACGTCCGAAGGGATATAACCGAGAGCGTCGTGGGTCCTGTAGAAACTAGCATCAAAGCGACTTGGAGTGCCAGAACGACGGCCTAGACCACGAATATCCTCAGTCAATGCATTATTATCACAAACACCAGGAGGACTCACCATCTCCCATGCCTTGACCAGGCATGTAATCACGAGCACTAGTCTCATGTCGGCGGTACTGGTCCATAGACTTGACAAGCGACTTCCTGGGCTTGCTAAACTGTATCATACTCGGCTGCAGGTTATTAAGAGGCCCTTCAACCAAGCAACCTTTCTCCTTGTAGTGGGTCAGGAGGTAATGCCAGAGAGGATGCTACGGGAACAGTTAGCAAAGTCATTAACCCGAACCAGCAATATCCAGCTTACCTTGCTTAGTACTTTTGGGTTGCCCAAGATAACAACACCGTATTTTGCACGAGTCAACGCGACATTCAACCTACGAGGATCATTCAAGAAACCAATGCCCTGATGTTCATTGCTACGGACGCAGCTGAGGATAATATAGTCCTTCTCTCTGCCCTGGAACGCGTCGACGCTGGCCACTTCAATGTCCTTGTACAAATCCTTCTTGAGCGACCCGCTGAACTGCATATAATTGACGATGTACGACCGCTGCCCTTCATACGGAGTGACGATACCGATCTGGCCCGGAACAACGCCGGACTTGAAGAACTTGGTGACGATTTTCTCCACATTCGATGCCTCCGTCCTGTTCAAGAAGGATGTACCACTGGATGAAATCTCCTCCTGACCCAAGTTCTGATAGAAGAACATGGGTGTATCGGGGACAGGCCACGGGAAATCAACGTTCTTCCTCAGGCGCTCCGGAGCGGTGACACCGTTCTGCAGGGTACCCTCGTAGAACATGTTCGAGGGGAACTCCGACAAGCACGGGTGCATGCGATACTGGACTTGAAGACGGATAGGACGGTTGCCGAGGACAACGAGACGCTCAAAGAGAGACTGGGTCAATCCGGCACGCGCCGCTTTCTTGTTCATGATGACGGGTCCTAGCTGCTGGTGATCGCCAACGAGAACAACTTGCTTACAGCCCAAGACCAAAGGAATCATACACTCTGTGAAGCCATGAGTGAGCAACCGATAAGGAGAAATGAACTACAGACACTCACCAGGTTCGGCAGCCTGCGTAGCCTCGTCAATCAGGACAGTCCTGAACTTGAGCTTGCTCAACCTCGGGTCACCAGCACCCACGCAAGTGCAGCAGATAACATCTGCAGCACTCAAAATCTCCTTCTCGCACTGCTTGATCAACGTCTTATACTTCCTTTCATCATTCGAGCTCAATTCACCCTGCTCGTTCTTGAGCTGGATAAGCTTCTGCAGCTCCACATGCGTAGTATTGTTCGCCACTTGCTGATGCAATGTCAAGAACGAGATGGACGAATCCAGTGCCTCCCGCGACTTCGCCGTCAAGCGTACCACCTTCAGACCGGTGGCATGGATCTTCTCCGTGAGCTGATCGACCGCGACATTGGACGGCGCGCACACCAGCACCTGCCCCGGGTTCATCTTGGCTAGGTGATAGACAATGGAAGCGGAAGTGACTGTTTTGCCTGTCCCGGGAGGTCCCTGGATGAGACTGATGGGCTTTTGGAGAACACTCTTGACAGCATACATCTGGGAGTGGTTGAGTTCCGGCAGGCCTGGGGCAGAGAAACGCTTGGGCATCTGGGTCCTGAGAACCTGGGGCTCTAACTCATGACCCAGCAATTTATGGTACTGTTCAGACGTATTGAGCATGGACTATGATCAAACGATAGACATAAAGGAAAAGAACTCACGATATACCCGCTGACGCTCTTTTCATCTACGGCGAAAGTCTTCATGGCAAGTTGCATTCGATCGAAACTGGTCGATTTCCAGACGAAGTCAGCTGCAAAGTTGTGCGTGCATTCGGTGGGTACGCCATCGGACTTGCGCAATTCAAGCGCAATCTCGTCAGAAACATCTGAGCAGGATGAGCGAGGAAATAGGGTCAGCGATGCAATAAGACTTACTGTTGGGTATCTTGATGACATGTCCGACGCCTTCCCACGGCTTGTGCAATTCCCCAGCATACCGTAACCTTAACTCGTCTCCAACAGCCAGCCTAACTTCGCCACTCTCCAACTTCGGCATGCAGAACCATGCGATGCGCTTTTGGTTGAGACCGACGTCCCATCTAACAACAATGTCGGTCTGCGTTTGCGACTCCTTCAGTCGCTTGTCGTAGTCCGCCTCGATCTTGACAAGAGGCCCGAAGATGTTCTGGTATTGATATGCATCCTCGTACTTGAGCATAACCGGCTGGGGCTCGTCGTCCACTCCAGGCTTCTCGAGGTCCTCGAGAGTGGCGTTCGCGTTCTCCCGCCACAAGTCCTCAAGGCGGTTTATCTGCTGGAACGAGATCTGGCGAGACCTGAGCTGCTCTTGTTCACTAGGTGGTTTGACAAGCCACGAGAGGAAGGATCTGTCGTCTATCAAAGGAGCCCAGAGTGACGCATTCCACGAGATATCCTTCGAGATTGCGGCGCAAGGTTGGCGGCAGAGAAGCACGACGACGGTGTCTGACTTGGCGGGAATGAAGCCGAGCATAAATACATTTTTGCTGCCACAGTTGTAGCATTCCGGGATTGTCTCGCCGAGCGGGCTTTCAGCGTGCAGAATAACTTCCTTGTGCTTGGCGCGCACAAGGTGGTTCACGATGTGCGAGGCCGAGGTATTACCACGGGAATTGCAGAACCACTTGGAACAGATGAGACATTTCACGACGGATGCCGGATTGTGGATACCACAGTAGCTGCTCAGATGTCAGATGAATTCTGAACGCAGCAATGCACTGCAACTCACCTGCAAGCGTGAGGCGGCAGATCCGCCTGATTCTCTTCCTTCAAATCGTCCAACACTGCGTCTAAATCATCTTCTATACCTGTATGCACCGGATGGTGCGCATTCCCATTTTGTACAGACTCTGAGAGGGACAAGCTCGAGAGATTCGAAGACAAGCTTGCCAAATCGCCAGAGGGTCTATCTTGCTGTGTATTAGCAGAGTACACCGACGAAGTATCGTCGACAACGCTGAGTCCGCCGTACGACGACGTCGATTCGTACTGGAAATTCTCGAAACCAGAGTCCATGGTGGTCGTGGTAAGAGTGCAAGGAACTTTGCAGCGGACTCAGACGCGTTCACGGAGTCCACTGATTCGGCACCGCGACAGTATTAGTCAGCAGGCATGGCACACATTTGTGGCAGCGGTCACATGACTCACTTTGCGGGGTCCTAGCGGTTTCGCCGTTTCCCGATTATTTGCCCTTGAGGTTCCCGGAGGCTCTGGAGACCCCAGAAACCCTGAGCACTCTTGCATAATGGCGTCCACTTCGGCGGCAGCGTCCACTGCGACCGCTTCAAATGCGCAACCGTCGACGAGCACAGGCGCCAGTGTCAACAGCCATGCACATACGACACCTATTATTGCGACAGGGGATTGGACGAAGAATCTTGTGCAGTTGGCAAAGACGGCGGAATTGAAGTGCGTGCATCGTATGCCTGTGAAGCCACAGCATCGAATTACTGACTGAGTGGCATATCCCCTCTGGGATGGCCCTGGAACAATAGGAAACATGCATTGACTCTGCAACTACATACAGCACATATACTGTCTGCGCACGCTTCACTTGAACAGAAGAACAAAGCGATCCAGGACCTGAAAGAGCAAAAGAACAAGTGAGTGGACGGCGAAACCCTCGTATGTCTATGCAGCCAATCATTTGCCATGATTAGACTGGAGAGCGAAAGAAATCGCCTTCTAAATGCCCTGAGAGAGGTACGCATTACCCCGTTCTAAGCGTGGCGCGTAGGATCTCACTCGTCATGCGCAATACAGGTCAACGAAGACCGAGACAAGGTATCTATCGAGTCGCAGTCCGCGCACCTTGTACTGAGTCACAACTAGGCGGACCTCCTAGAGGCCAGCCTTTCAAAAGAGTGAGCTCTCATCCGACCTGACAAACCTATGCCACCGATGTCTTACATCCGTTCCTCATCTTCAGATGCCAAGACCTGAACGCCAAAATCAAGGTCATCTCCGACGGGGACTACGCGATCGCTAAACGAGACGTCGACCGTCTCAGACAAGAACTGGGACAACCGCCGCTGCCCAGCCTGAAAGAAATACTCGAAGAGAAGGGGATCGCGTGCGTATCCGATCTACGTCCCCATTCTTCGTGCTTGACCTCAGTCGTGATATACAGATACCTGAAGGATCGCATGAAAGCAGGAGACAAGAGAGCGGCTGCGGACGGTGCCGAGGGACAGCCCGGCAAACGACCGCGCGGTCGACCCAGGGGGAGCAAGAACAAGAAGCCTGTGGCAGCTGCTAATACCCAACCGGCTCCCAGCGGTGCGCCGGGCCCTTCGACATGATGTACCAATGCCTCCGTCAGTATCCAACTGTTGTCTAGGACTGGTCTTCTGTATGTTGTCTGATCTTCATTTCCCATTTCATTATGTTTGCCGTATGACTATGTCCCGTTCTCCTGTCTACGTTAGTATACCTTTTCACACATTCCATGTATCCGGTACTTGGCCCCTGAAATGATATCGCAATTGCATTGACTGAGAGCAAATCCATGAACAATTATAATTACATCTATATCACGTCTTACTGTAAGCTACATCCAAACGGACCAGCAGAACGAACGACGCAGAATAGAGGGGGGACGTATGTACGTTTGGGCTCGCTAGAGGTCGTCACAAATGACAACTGATAAAAGCAGAAGCGAAGATAGTGGTTATGGTCTGTTGTGCAAAGGTGCAAGAATGATGAAGGTGAAGGCACGCGGGGAGGGACCGGGAATGCCAAAAGTCAATGCATGTGCCGTTACTTCTCGACTCTCTCTATCTTGGTATATCAAGTATCCAAAGTAATCGTCACTTTAGGCGGTGTCATAACATATCAACGAGCGCGGCGTCCCGGTAAAAGATCGTAACAATATCAATATCATTTCGTGCAGGCTTACTTATTGCCGCGGTCCGTAGGAGCCATTGCCATTCTGGCTCTTCAGATTTGAGTAGCTGGGCATCCTGCTGGGCGGCGCAGGAGAAGGCGTGCGCGAGGGGAAGGGCGAGCCGTACGGCGCGCTGAGGTACCGGCTCGTTTCCGTCGTCTCGCTGAAATAGTCGGACCCCTCGGATTTCTCGTTCGCGAGCCCAAGCGCCGAGGCGAAGGCGCGAGGGCTGCCGAAGGGCGAGGGTCGTTTGGGCGCTGGGAATTGGCCGAGGATGGGCGCATCGGACGAAATGGGCGTGCCAGGGTACGGTGTGCCCGCGGTCTTGCCGGACACCGAGGTCATCATGACATTCGGAATCGGAGGCACCTCCTTTCCTGCGGGTTGGTTGTACATCCACGTAGCGATGAGGACTGTCGAGGAGCCCAGGACGAAGGAGGGTGTTATCCGGAAGTGGAACAGGACGACGGAAGCCAAGAACGACAGTATAATCGAGAGACTTGTTGCGAAACCCTTCAAGATATTGTCGGAGTACTTGATGACTACCGCCGTAATCAGCCCACCGAACACCTGCGTTGCGACCGTCGCCCACGCCCACCCTCCAAAGTTGTTGAACAGGTCCAGGAAAAGACCGCGCGAATTAAGCGGCTGGGGAGCGTAGAGTATGGGGAGGAGAGCGGGAATAAGAGAGAATAATGATAGCTGCACGTTGCGGACCCAGAGATCCGCCTTTGAGTTTTTGAGCACCATCTCAAAGTACACGCCCGCAAGGCCCGAGGTGAAGCACGCCGCCGTGACGGCGCCGAAGCCCTTGAGCGGGCTCATATGGTGGAACGGCGCCAGCTCGCTCGCGCTCCCGACCGGGATCTCCTTCTGCGGCTTCCGCCCCGAGCTCGTCTGGATCTGGACAATCCCGACGCCCAGCGCGAGGAACGTCAGCGCAAGCCACTTCATCGGCGTGAGTCGCCGCCGGAGCAGCGCGACCGAGAACGCCGCGGTCGTGAGGATCTTCATCTGGTACGTCACTTGGAACGTCGCGACGGGGAGGTTGCTGATGGCGACGAACTGCAGCGAGTTCTGCACGACGTAGAGGATCGCGGGGATGGACAGTTTCCAGCAGTCGGGGCTGAAAATCTCGCGGTACAGTCGGTTCGCCGCGCTCAGGGGTTTCCGCGACCACGGCGCATCGGACGCGTTGCACACCCTGACAAACGCAATGACGAGCGATATTGAGCCTTTGAGCAGCTCGTTCAGCAGGACGGCGGCGGCGGGCGAGTAAGCTTGCGACGGCGGGGTAAACACCCGCGAATAGTGCATAACAATCGACAGCGCGGCATTCTGGACCGCTAATGTGACCAAGCTGCTCGAACGTGAATAGCGCGTTAGTATTCGAGAAACGCAAAACTCACGACACGTATTTGAGCGGTAGCCCCAGAATCGTCGGCGAACTCTCTGACGTCGCGCCTCCTCCCCCGCTGAACTCCTCCTTGCTGGACAAATCCACGAAATTACTGCTCGCTGCTGGTGGCAATAAGGGTGCTGGCCTAGGTCCAGGCGAGCCGCCAGGTGTAGAATACGGTGATAAATACGGTGCTGAGCTGCCATGTCGGACCATCGGAAACGGTCTATGATGGATGTCTGGCGACGTCGGCGTCGCGACATTCACCGACGACGCTCTCGGATGCAGGGTATTGCTCATGTCTGCAGCAGACGATCACGGAGGCAAATACGCAAGGAAGACTGGGCGCTGAACGGCGGAGATGAACCGAGTGTCACGGCTATGTGAAGTCAGCCGCCGTTGTGATGATGGCGAGGGCGGCAGTGCTTTTGGCGACTGCGTTGGCGGCGGCGACGGCGAGCACGTCGAGCGCAGTGTCCGGCGGTGAATAGCAGGTGGGTAAAGTATAGAGACGCTGGAGAAAGTGGGGATCCCCGCGTCGACGACGACGGACGTCAATCGAAGTCGGGTAAAAATACTCTACTTCTGGCACAGCGCTTATTTGTTGATTTTTTGATGGCATAAGTTCTTTACGAAAAGGGTCACTAGTACAGACAAGGTATAGCAGTATCTTCATTCTACGACACAGCAGGGACATGCCAGAATCTAGTAGAGTATGTGGACAGTATAAATACCGGCGTGGACAGCGGAAAATACGGGGAAAGATTGGGATGGGAAGTTCGACCGGGCTGTAAGACGCCATGAACCAAGGCGTCTTACCTTGTCGAATTGAGCAAGGGTTTGAACTTTCGAGAAGTCAGCCGAGAAGGCAAGCGACGTCTTCACAGGATGTTGGCATCCATCTAGAAAATGGATGCTATGAGCGACACGGTCCATTGCCCTTACCTTATGCTCGTGTTTGCTTTGTGATAGTGCAACAGCTTTGGTTGCACTCGACATCTCGTTGGACACATCTTTTAGGATGCTGGTGGCGCATCTACACTCGTAACCAGTCAGCTCTCCGTTTCCAAACCCATCCATAACCGACAAACACCGAAGAGACCTCAGACTCGCCTTTAACTCTCCATACGCACCCATCTGTCCTTCTGGTATTCCCGTAGGAACCAGAAGACATCGCACAATGACGCGAACTCCCTTTCGCAAGGGAGCGGGGTGCGTCCCTTTACCAGGGTTTTCTTCCTTGGAATACCCAGACAGAATAGACCGAAGCCAGAAAAACAACTCACTTGTTATATGGATACACGACACGCAGTACATGTGGGAAGTCTCCAGGTGATCCTGCTTCATGGCCCCTCGACCAGAGGGAGGAGCGTTCAGCAAAGACTGTTTTTGAGAAACCCCTCTAGAATATAGAGTCCATCTCCGACGTTTGTCTGGACAGTCCGTCCTTGGTAGAAGCCGCAGCGAGCAGCAGAGGACAGACAGTAATTTGGACGTCGTGATTTGAGAGGAAACGGTGGAAAATTGCACCTTTATACTTAGGCTTGCGGGAATTACCGAGGATAACTACATTTTTATTTATGAGCTGGACAGCCCATTTTACGTAGTTTTTGGATTTCTTGTAACTCTAACCCTAGTGTTCCAATGTAAAATTAATTCTCGACTTACTTCTGCACCTCCGGGACGTCTGACTGAAAGTCTTACATGGCGGCGGCAGCGGTTGCTGGGTCGTCAAAGACGTCGCCGTTTGGGACGCTGCTGCGACGCTCAAAATTTGCCTCATTCGACCCAGCCATCGCCCAGGTCTACACAACCTACGACGGAAATGCACACCGCGGCAACTGGGGCTTGAAGCGACCCCTCCCACTCAAGCGGCGCAATGCGTACATCACGGTTTCCGAGGTCGACTCGCGCGAGCAGCAGACGGTTTGGGACAGCGGCGAGAAGCAAGCGCGCTGGATCCAGGCGTGGCAGGAGCTCGGGGTAGAGAAGCTCGAGCCCCCGGAGTACAGTTACGGGCGGGAACGCAACTCGCTCACCTGGCAGAGCAAGATCGGGTCGGCGCAGCGTTACTGGGTGGTGGACTCCGAGTTTGCGGTGGGCCCGGATGGGGGCAAGCCCAGCAAGGAGAGCCGGCTGCTGCAGCAGACGCGGGCGCCGATCCTGCCCAACATCGACGCCATGTCAAACAAGCAGTTTGAGCTGTTCATTCGGAACCTGCGCAAGCTGCGGCCGGAGTTTAAGGAGTACCTCAAAAAGAAGGCGGGGGAAGGGAAACCTGTCTCAACCGACCTCCTCGACCAGGCGCAGAACGGTGTCATCTACTACAAGGAGTTCCTGACCGAGAGAATCAAGAACAAGTTGAACAAGGAGACCTCGGTGAGCCTGGCTCAAGAGCCGCACGTCTACGCCGGGGCCAGCTACAGCCACCACACCCGCCTCTCCACGTTCTTCCTCACGCCCACCCTCCCTGGTCGCATGATCCTCATGCAGCGCGACGAGTCGAACGTAGCCGCGCGCACGAAGGACAACATCTACTACGTCACCTCCTTTGCGGGAATGACCACGAAGGTGCGCTCGAGCAACGCGGACGGCAAGTCCGACGTCGTCGCCGGGAAGGACGGCGCGCCCACGAGCCTCGAGGCTGGCGTGACGAAGCTACGCCTGCGCGAGGCGCACCTTGTGCGCGCGCCGAACACTGTAGACAGCCACGCCAAGTCCAAGATGCGCGGGGCGCGGATTATCACGGAAGCGATCGCATTCAACAGGCCGTCGATGAGCCGCTCCAACCCTCACTACCCGGGCTCCATTGCATATAGCACGCAGGATCCGGGAACGGCTGACGCGTCCTCGTTAAATCGGATTGTTACGCCTGTTTTCAGAAGAAATAGGGAGTCGCGGTCCAACACAATGTCGAAGTATAAGGGCGGCGGGAAAGGAGGTTCGAATCTCTTACAGGGTTTGAGGCAGATAGTGTCACCAACGGGCCGCCCATCAGGCAGCCAACCGTAGACCTTACTATGACCGTTTTATTGTATCCTTGCGACCTAATGCATGCCTGTCATAGCGTGTATGGATATGAACTGAACATTCTTGTAATTGGGGCAATACTCTAACGATTGGGGTATGATTAGAGAATGATGCGAAAGCGGAAAATACTTACGATGTAGCTATGACAGAGGAATCTGGACGGAGCAAAACTGTATCAAGCAACGCTGACATTTCGTCCCAGTTTACCTGTACTTCAGTCTCTGATTTGATCTCAGACTCTAATAGAGCCCCACCCTCTAGACCTAGTTCTGACTCCACTTTCACTTCAACCTTTAGCTTTATATCAGGTTTGGAGTCCACGGAGACATCTAGCTCGTTCCCTTCGTCCAGAGCAGGGGAACTGCTACTGTCAGGCACCTGAGTACCCATGGGTATTGTACTGTCCACAGGGTCCGATTTTAGCAGAGAGATACTCATAACAGGAACCATGAATGCATGCGGAAGGCAAAGCTCCAGGTGCTGCAGCTTTACGGTCAAAAACACGTTACATCAAGACTACAAGACGACTCGTGACGAGACGCGTTTGGCGTGTGACAGGGCGCGCTAATTACACATAGCACATTGGTAAAACCCCCTCTCCTCGTATACATCTCTTGTCCGCTGGTTCTCTCTCTAGCACAGAAACACTGGTAGTTCGGTGGAAGCAATGTCCGTTTGGCTTCATTGCCTAGGTCTGATTATCATCTCTTGAAGATTAGGCAGGCCACATCACCACGACTGTGCGACGCCAGGCTGGTAAGAGGTCAATGATGCTGCTTATTAGCCCCAAACCCTGAAACACAAGACTCACTGCGCACAATGATCCCTCGCTGCAGATAGTATCAGTGATAAATACGAATAAATACGCAGACGAACGGATAACACCCACCGAGTCCTCATACTTCGCTAGTTCCTGTCGCGTGCTCTTATTTACGAGCCTTTTATGATGGTCTTCCAAGATATCGATGAGGCATCCAGGAATCGCCTCGTCATCGCGGTATTCTAGCTTGAGAGACACCCGATGGCCGTCTGGTGTACGCATCTCCTCTATACCCAACGTCCGAAGCATCTCGTGCAGTTCGACATGCTCGTTGGATCCTTCGCTGACTGGAAAGGGATCTTCAGCTAGATGACTCGTCAAAGTTGCAAGACCGACAAAGAATCTTCGTTCTCTGGCGGCCCTACAAATCAGGGATACTTTGTGAGCATCCATTCCACAGAGAGACGCGATGCCCTGAGGGGCAGACTTTAAGCGGTCCTGGAGGAGATACACCAGTTTGCCTGGCCCTCTGTTGCTTTCACTCGCTTCCCTCCAATCATGCATCACTCCACGCACCGCGTTGAGCATGCGATCCACGCCTAAACCTGCAAGAGGGTCACGCTCAGCGTGTACCACATCGTACCACAGCGCGACACGACGTCCTTCCGTGACCGGCTTTAATTTGCTGGAGACGTCAACACGCCACGTGATGACCTCGGTGTCCTCAGAGCACGGCACGGTATAGTGTTTTTGCCTAGTATCGTGCCATAACTGCCACGACCCCCTTCGGGCTGCGCTGGCGGGAAGAAGGACCACAATAGTGGCTGACGTGCAGTTCCGCCTGTCCCTGTCCGGCTTCTTTAGATGTCTACTTGCAGTACGCAGAATGATCGGCACTCACCCACTCAGCGACAGCTCGCTACCGTAAAGACTAGATTGTAAGGGTGAAGCAGAAGCAATGGGAAAAGACATACCTGGAGTCGGAAGTGTACAAACAAAGCTTCTGTAACCTGATCTCTAGCACCCTCCCGGTGAGTCTCATCTCATCGCGTGCCCACTGGAGAATCACTTGTTCGAGCGCGTTCCAGGCTCCGGCATCTTCAATCTCAACCTTGACGCAATTAGGATCTTGTGCCAAAATCCTACAGAAAGAATTCCCTACCTGCGCCGCATCGAACTCTCGAGGTTCGTCCACCCCATTATTTTCACGTACTGACCCATCTTGGCCAGTCACACGCCCGATACCAGCCACACGAATGACTGGGAAAGGCGCGTTCTTCATGCTCTGCAGGGACCATGGCGGATGCATGTCCTCCGTGAGCTCATGATGTCTACGTCCCGTGAGCGCATCGTCCATGCGGGCCTGTGAAGACCAGTGAGAGGGGCGAAAGTGGAGACATGGAGGAAGATGCGCACGCGGATCTGGTTGGTGTAGAAGCCTCTGTTCATAGCCATGGTGCGAGCAACTATAGGCAGTAGGATACGAGGGATGAGCTACTAGGACGTCCTCAGGTGAGCTTTATAACATTGCAGACACGCATCGAGATACTGATGCCGTTGAACCACAAAGAACATGGGAAGTGAAAGAGCAACAGCACAAAGGTCCATGACCCGGATCCGTCATAAAGCAGGCGAGTGGCGGTCAAGCCCGAATCTTGTCATTACGGCCTTCTTTCTGTCTCACAATGAAAATCATATTGAAAGCCGAATCACACCTGAACCGGGGCAGAAAGAGTTCACCAACGCGGCATGTGGAGCTGGTGAGTTCAAAGGGACTGCTTTCTTTCAGGAGCCGATTAGAAGCAACAAAATACGGAAAAGACTCACCATTTAGTCGCAGCATCCCGTCTCCCTTGCTCCTTGTTTGTTCTCACTGCTGCTCAGTATACAGCCCGTCATTTTACTGTCTATTCGGCGATGGGCTGACCGCAGTGACAGTCACCTATCCACGTGAGCAGTGACGCTGCGCAAGTCATCCCAACGCCTACATCCGCTCGCGATTCCGCTCTGCAACGTCCCGTGCAAGAGTTATGTTGGTGTTACAATGGAAGTCTCGCGTGTTTTTGTGATCAGAGTAAGACACCAGTGGGCTCCCGCCCTTCAAACCTCGTCTCTGCGTCGTAAACAAGCTGCCCCCGCAAGTACGTCTTCTCGACCCGCCCAGCCAGCGTCATCCCCTCGTACGGGGAGAGCTTATTCTTGAAGTTCAGGTTCTCCTTAGTCACCTATACATGCAGTCAGCACAAATAGAGCCAAGTGTGCGTATTTAAGCTTCGAACGCACCGTAAATTCTGCCTCGGGATCCCACACGACCAAATCCGCGTCGAATCCGACCTTGATCGCTCCCTTACGCTCCGCCAACCCCGCATGCGCCGCGGTCCTTTCCGCCATCCACTTGACCACATCCACCACACTTACGCCCCTCTTTCTCCCCTCTGTCCATAGTGCACTCAAGCCGAGCCCGAGCGTGCTCACCCCGCCCCACGCCTTCAGCAAGTTCCCATCGTCCGGGCGCTTCAGCTCGCCGACGCACGGGCTGTGGTCCGACACGACCATATCGATCGTCCCGTCCCTCAGCGCCGCCCACAGCGCCTCGCGGTTCCCGTCGTCGCGAATCGGAGGGCAGCACTTGAACTCGGCATGCCCGTGCGGCACGTCCGCGGCCCTCAGGCAGAGGTAATGGAAGCACGTCTCGACCGTGAGGTTCAGCCCCGCGGCCTTGGCGGCGCGCACGAGCGGGAGCGCGGAGGACGCGGACAGGTGCACGATGTGGCAGCGCAGCGCGGGGTGCTGGGCGTGCAGGGAGGTGATGAGCTGGATCGCATTAGTCTCGAGTGATTCTGGGCGAGTTGCTAGATAGGTGGAGTATGCGCGAGGATCCGCGGCCTCGGCGTGCGATGGCGGCTCGCCCAGTTCAGCATGGAACTGTAGTACGGTGGGCTTTCCCTACGCTCGATGATTATGACGTAGTTGGATATCTGAGGGCCGGTACCGACCTGCAATGTCTGCATCGCTTTAGCCACATCTTGCTCAACAACGCAGGGGAATTCCTGTGAAGTCGCTGTCAGCTTCCGCTCGCATAATCATCATCCAATTGCGTTGCTTACCTCGACACCACTCTCGATCAGGAAACACTTGAAGCCTTTGACGCCAGCATCAACAAGCGGGATCAGATCGGCCTGTGTAAACGGAGACACCGATACTGCTGCGTTGAGCACGCCGACTGTGCGGAAGAAGGCGCAGTGAGATGAGCAGATACCTGGTTCCCAGGGATGACGCCGCCCCAGAACGCAACGTCAATCCAGCACTGGCCGCGCGCAGCCGCCCTCTTGATCTCGAGGTTCTCGACCGTTGTGGTCGGGGGGATCGAGTTGAGGGGCATGTCGACGACTGTCGTGATGCCGCCGGACGCGGCAGCCCTGGTGCCGGTATAAAATCCCTCCCATTCTGTCCTACCCGGTTCGTTCAGGTGGACGTGGGCGCTGCGAGTGGTGTTAGCTCTGCTGTGGACTAGAAGCTGATAAGGGGCCACGATGCTTACTCACTCGACAAGTCCGGGGATTATGAACTTGCTGCCTGCGTCTATGTAATCTTCATCCCGGAGCCCATGGTAGGCTCCTCGTTCTGCCGTGTTTAGCTGGATATCGGTGATCTTGCCTGTTGTTTTATCAACTATGATAGTCGCAGGTACAGGCCTGTCATGTCCCGGCAGAACGACATTTTGCCCGGTAAGCACTCGAGTAGTACTAGACATTACCGATATTCTCTGCGGTTGGATTGCAAGTAGTAATCCGGCTCAGTACCCGCCGACTCGGAACGATGGTAGTGGTTAGATGATGATCTATCTATACTCGCTGAATTCATAAATGATACAAACTGGACCCCGAATACCCCAAATACCCACACTTGCTCGGATCCCCCGCGTACAACAAGCTATTTTTTTCGTAGACACCAACTAGAACCTTACGCAGTTGTATATAGAGTGCAAGGAAACTTGAAAGCTGCAATGGGTGCCGGGCTATGGCTTGGATCTCGAATTGCCACATTTTGCCACAACTCAAATGAGGGCAGCGCGAGATCTAGATCATCAAGAAGCACGCGTTCCTATCCACAGCACTTCAGGTTTACTGCAACGCCATTGGTCCATTTTCGGAGAACCGAGGTGAGTCTGCAGCAGACTGGGGCGCATCAGCCATGCACAGATACTCTCGATAAATCCCGTACGCCGAGAACTTCCTTTCACCTTCGAAAATGACAGGATCATTTCTACCTGTACTGCCTCGCGCTCAACCAGGGACTCTTACACATGGATTCTCTGGAAATTCAGACATATCTCATCTCCGGATATCATACCATCATCATCAAACGGGACAGCGACGCTATATATACGAGTTCCGTAGTCCCGTACCTTATGGGCGGGCGTATATAGCTCTCTCTCGACATCATCTAGAAACCCCACGCTCTCTCTCGCCATCTGTCTAGCTTGAGCATTCCCGCGACGCCTGCCAGCGACACCATGGCCCACCTCATTCACCCTAGCGGCGCCAGCAGCCTCGACATCACCAGCAACGGCACCGTAAAGCCTCGCCGCCCCGTCCTGTGCAAGACCTGCCAGGCCCTCATCACCGATATGGATTTCCTCCTCTCACGCGTTCGTATTGCTTCAATTACGTACTCCTGCTCTCGCTGATAAAGGCTAGCAGTCGTTCAACGGCTTTGCAGGCAAAGCAGCTCTCTTCGGCTTCACGTGCGCCTTCCTATCCCCTCCCTCTTCCTCCCTCACTCACCCTCCCAACAGATCTCACGTAACCCTCAGCGCCCCCACCACCCGCCTGATGTACACCGGCGCGCACACCATCCAGGAGCTCTCCTGCGCGCGCTGCTGCGCGTACCTCGGCTGGAAGATCCTCCGCGCCCACGAGTGGTCCGAGAAGTGGAAGGAGGGCCGCTTCCTGCTCGAGCTCGAGGCGCTCTCGGGGCACGAGATGTGGGACGAGGAGGCGGAGAGGCGGAAGCGCCATCGCAGGAGAAGGACGACGATCACTGCGAACGCGCAGGGAGGCAGTAGGCGGAGTATGGTCAGGCTGCCTGCCCCAGACTCGGACGAGGGGACCCCCAGCCCGTAACTGTTTCTGCCAGATCGCAGTCTCCCGCGGCATTGCGCAGCGCGCAGTTTTCATTTTCGACATTCCTTCATCATCACATCTTGCTTTCTTGACATCCATCATGCACAGATAGATTCCATAACCAACTCGGAAGCCACTCATTCAAAGGCAAGGCCCTATATTTATCGTGCTATTTATTGTATCCATAGAAGGAATCACAGTGTACTATGCTATGTACCACTAGATCATAGGGAAAATTCAAACCAACGAACACTGGTGTGTGACGACTACGACGTTACCTTGTCCGTGTTTGAAGGCTCCATTCCGGCGGCAAGGGTGAGTATCAATCGCCCACAGACGAAGAGCTGTATTTAATACTTGTGGCTGTGGCACGCGGTCCTGTCGCAACCGAAGGGACGCGCCCGCGAGCCTAGCTGGTATTGAGGTAGTACTTACGTCGGATATCTCATCCGTTCATTCCTATCCAGCGCCAGACCGTTGCACTCGTATAAATACATACATAGATCACAATGCGCCAATCGGCTTCCTCTTGATTACATCCGGAACACCCCAAAGCCCCTCCCATTCCCATCCCACGTGGTCGTTGTAACGGCATTTCTCGTTGCGCCGCAAATCTGGCGCGCAGCCAGTGCCAGCCCAAGCCCCACGACATCCCGCGTATCCGTCGGACGGATGATCCCATCGTCCCACAGCCGCGCGCTCGCGTACAGCGCCGTCGATTGCTTCTCGATCTCGGCTTTCAACGAGTTGTGCTGCGCGGGGTCCCTGCAGAGCATCTCATTGATATCAGCCTGCTAGAAAAGTGGAGAGTGAACCCACTTGGACACGGTTGTCATCACTTGCGAGAGCTGGCCAGAACCCATTACAGAGACCTTCGCATTCTGGACGAAAAAATCGTCGGGGTCAATGATTCAACAACAGCTGAGATCGACTCACAGGCCACATCCACAGGAATCTAGGCGAGTACTATATATGATTTATCAGTCCCAACATCAGAGCACGAGAAACATTCACTTACGGCACGCCCGCACATCCCTGATACACAGATATCATCATTAGAAACCGACCGATCCATCTACAGCACACATACCGTAATTCCCTGCGCCAAAACTCCCGCCAACGATGACAGTCAGCTTAGGCACATCCGCGCACGCAACCGCGCGGACCATCTTCGCCCCGTCCTTCGCGATACCGCCCTTCTCGGCCTTCGAGCCCACCATGTATCCTGGCGACCAAAACGCACATTTAAACCAATCCGTGCATCCACAGCGAGGAACGCACCGGTGACGTTTACGAGGAAGAGCAGCGGGACCTTGCGCTGAGAGCACAGCTCAATGAAGTGCGTCGCCTTGAGTGCTGACGGGGAGAACAAAATCCCGTTGTTCGCCACGATCCCGACTTGGTACCCGTGTATATGGGCGAATCCCTGTTCATACACGAAGGGAAACCTTCACGGTGGGTTACCCTCCACCTTCATATAACTCGCGTACTGACCGTGACCATCGTCGTACCGTATTCCTTCTTAAACTCCCGGAACCGGCTGCCGTCCACTATCCGCGCAATCACGTCGCGCATGTCGAACGGCTGGCGCACGTCCGTGCCGACGATACCATGCAGCTCAGACGGAGAATATATCGGATCTTCGGGTGGGGCATCCGGCTGGGCCAGATGCTTCATTTGTCCCAGCGCAGCGTCCAAGGTCTAAGTACTTACTGCAATCTCCGCCCCTCCGGACTTCCCGAGGTCACCTACGACGCCGCGGGCAATGGCGATAGCATGCTCGTCGTCCCGAGCGAGGTGGTCGGTCACGCCGCTCTCTGACGAGTGCATTAGTCCGCCGCCGAGCGTTTCTTCGTCGACAACCTCGCCTGTGGCGGCTTTGACGAGTGGAGGGCCTGCTAGGAAAATGTGGCCTTGATTACGGACAATGATGTTCTCGTCGGCCATGGCGGGCACGTAGGCCCCGCCTACATATTGGTCAAAACTTGAAGCTGCACACGCCGCGAACTACGCACCAGCCACGGAGATACCGTGTACTATGGCAATCTGTGGTATGCCTAAGGCGGACATTTGTGCCTGAAAATGTGAACGGGAAATGCGGAAAGGACCGTGCATGGACCTACCATGTTGTAGAAGATGCGACCGAAATGTTCTTTATCCGGGAACACCTGGGTTGCGGCTCAGTCAATGCCCCTAATATTCAGGATGTAAAGCTTACATTAGCCTGATGGGGTAGAGCCGCGCCCCCAGATTCCACTGAGCTCATACATCCGCTCCAAGGTTACTGCCGTATCCCGTATGTTCCGCTAAATCTGTGACACACCTACGTATACACAGGGCAAACCATTATCTCTCGCAATTTCCTGTGCCCGGATATGCTTCTTGACCTAGAGCACATTGATTTATCAGGGTATGCGAGGCGGCAGCGTGGGTCGTCCACTCACCGTCAGCGGATAATAGGAGCCGCCCTTCACAGTCGCGTCGTTAACTACGATGACACATTCCTTGCCAGATATCCGACCAATGCCTGTGATAATACCCGCGCCTGGCACAGATTCTGGGTACACTTCATGAGCCGCCAGAGGCGACAGCTCAAGAAAAGGGCTGTGGGGATCGAGGAGTAAACCCAGGCTAGTGAACATAAAATATTATATTCCAGCTCCCGTTCAGCACATCTTTAACGCACCGTTCACGCGGAAGTTTCTTCCCTTTGCTCCTCATTCTTTCCGCAGCCTTTGCACCCCCTCCGAGACGAGCTTCTGCCATCTTTGTCTCAAGATCCTTCACCAATTCGTCCATGGCCTGGGACCTAGCTATGAACTCCGGGGAAGAACGCGAGATGAGTGACGGTAAGACATCCGCATGATAGTATCGACGAGACGCAATCCGTAAAATATTGGTTCGCAAAGCTGGCCTGGATGCGGCTTGAAGTTGGTGAAACATAGCAAATGCGGGGTAAACAGGAGTGCGGGGTACAGTAGTCGGCGCCTATCGCTTCTAGCGCGTATTGCAGTCCTGTCCACGTGACTGCTCTCGGGCGCGCGCAGCCGCTTGCCACACTTCAGGTTGCTCCCCATCCTGCTCAATTCCGTAGTTTAATTCCAACGTCGGCTGGTTTGTTCTGAGCGGGTCAGTATGTCGACTACCGGCTCTAACTCTGAGGATTCGTTATTGTGTCAATGAAATGTAATAGCCTTAATGAGCGTTGCGCAGCATCAGTCATGTCTTCACACTTCACGAGATAGCGCATCCGTAAGATTCTATACCGTATAGAAATTCACAGCTTCCTCAAGATCAATGTGTGATATGATTGGAGTAATCAGGATATGTGGCAATAATGTAGCCGGCGTTCGAGAGTCCTGCAACCGTTGGTCCACCTTTCGCCTTTTAGCTGGTGGCAAGGTGGGCATAGTTAGACTCGAGATAGACGGGCCATGGACGGTATGGAGGCGTGCTCCAACCTCGGCACCAAAGATTCCGGCGTGCCTCGAGGTGGATACTGACGGATGCGCCTGAATAGTGGTCGTGGTCTTCGGACCGTAGGCTTCCAACCGCTCTATGAAAGTGTTACAGTCGTCGCCGAAAATCAGCACGGCCGGCTACAGTCTTCTTTTCCACTGGCAGTGGCTCCGCGTTAACCGCTATTGAGGCAAACGCTTGAGAAATCTTCAGGAAAGGGGCAAACTAAAAACAAATTAATATGCCTGGGTCCTTCCAATGCAAAGATTGTGGGTGAGGGGAAACGAGGAATACGTCCGCGACGCGTTTGTGGCATTGTCTTTATACGTGGGTGTCACGAGGCCCCCTGAAAATACCCATAGTGGTCTGATACCAGTTTTGGTAAAAATCACCCTCAACTGGGTGCCAGGTCTGATACAGTTTTGGTAAAGAACCTGCCGGTGGGATCAATCTTGGATACCAATTTTCGGGTAAAAACAGGCACCCAGAGCAAAGGTCGGATACTATTTGGGTAACAATTATGGCCACAACAGTGCCACAACTTGCCACAATAATCAGGTGGTGAGATTCTTGGATTCCATATACACCAGTGCACCTCGGAGAGGCTCATAAAGCCCATACATAACTGAATCTGGTATGACCGCAGGCACTGGAATTTTTTTGTGAATAAATAAATATCCTCAAGCCCTCAGGTTGGATACCAATGTTTCGGTAAAAATCACGTCTAAGGCGAGAGGTCGGATACTTTTCGGGTAAAACACATCCCAATATGGTAATTTTGGTTTCGGTAAAAATGGGGGGAAAATTGGTATCTGGTATCAGACCTCTATGGGTATTTTCAGGGGGCCTGTGTCACGTCACAGTACAATACGCGTCGACAACTTGAAACTCCCACGGCTGTGGCTGCTACTTACAAGCCTAAGCCACTCGGCCACTCGCGATACCTCGAATACCGCAACTTACTGGGGTCTTCTCCTGTGGCTCCTATTCTCCTCTTCATTTCAATACTTTGACAAGGCCTGCCTCTGCTGTCGTATGGCTCCCAAACGCAAGCACGAAGATCCGTATGGATATCTGGCGAAGCCGGTTGCAGGCTCTTCGAGCCACCCGATTCTTTTAGATACACCTCCCAGGGCGTCTTCCGCGAAGAAACCGAGGGCGACTAAAGACCCGAACGCGCCTGCATCCGCGAAGAAGCCGCGTAAGAAGAAGGATCCCGATGCACCCTCGCCGGAAAAGAGAGGGGCTATCTTCAAGAAGTCGTGCCCGAAGGCTATCCTCGAACGCGTCGATAGAGTGGCATCGCAAAGGTACCTTCTTGTCCAGTGATCTGTATTGTTACTAATGATGAGCTAGGTTCTTTATGATTGACCGCAAACGAAATGGCGAAGAACTGCGAGAGGAGTTCAGTGTCCTTGGGTCCACTGGCAATGTACGAGCTGGTCTCTCCGCGGATGAGAGGCGAATACTCAGACGTTGCCCCATAGGTGTATACCGTCGTTATTGACAAAAGGCCCAGTTGTAACTGTGAGTGTGCCTTGATTGCCAGTCGAGTGCGATGTTCACCTTCGTATGCAGGTCCTGACTTTGAGAAGGGCAATCATTGCAAGCACATAGTACGTACCATGCCGCCTGACTAAAACCGCTGTTCTGAATCAGGGTTCAGTTGTTCATATTCATGAAAGGTATCGTCGTTGTGTATAGGTTGTCGATATGGAGCTAAGGCTGGCCGCGCAGTGCTACAAGTTCCCTATGAATCGCCATATTGGTATCAAAGGTACGCGTTCACGTTATATTTGCGCTGAAGAGGCTAAATATACCCCGACCCCGTAGAGCGCTCCTCTCGACGGAACTCGCGGAAGTCTTCGCGCAAGCTCCTCTAGCCCCCAACTCCGTCGCTCATGCACACATCCGAGAGGCATATGCCCGCGCCACCGGCAAGGCAACCCCCTCTAGCGGCTCGCGAGCCACCGATAAGAAGCGCATGCCCGGCGAAGAAGACGACTGCCCGATCTGCTACGAGAATATGCACAAAGAAGATCCTAAGAAGCTGACGTTCTGCGAGGGCTGCGGGAACGGCCTGCATCTCGAGTGTTTCCAGCAATGTGCGTTAGTATGTGCACGGTAAGATGCATCCTTCCCTAACGCATCAATCTCTAGGGGCAAGGGGCAAAGCTAAGCCTACTTGTGTGTTCTGCCGCTCCGAGTGGGTTGTAGCTGGCGGTGTCAAAGTCGGCAGCAGTGGTGGGTATATAAACCTCGCGAGTGCTGCTGGCCTGAGTCCTCAGCGGGATACAAGCTCATGTATGTTTACGTCCGCCTACGTTCATCCCTTGACTGGTACCCATGTCTTGACCTAGACTATCATGGACCTCGACGAGGGCAGCGCTATTACGGCTACCAAGACTATGGCGACTTGTTCTAACATATTTTTCTGCCTCGAGCGCCTCTCTAGCTCCCAATAATTGCATACAATATACCGAATCTGCCCACCTAGGCTATCTACCCATAGTGCAATACTACATAACTATTCTCAAATTCTAGTGTCCTTTGAATTTCTTCGAGCTATAATTCCCACGGTAAGCTACTGCTACAACCGAGATGTCCCTCGTTCAGCAATGCTATGGTTGGTTCCACAAGCAAACGCAAGATGCTCTGCTCAGCGTGCTGGCCGCCGGCCCTATCCCTAAGCATGTCGCCTTTGTCATGGATGGAAACCGCCGCTACGCTCGTAGGAAACATGCGCCAGTCCAGCAAGGGCATTCAGAGGGTTTCGTGGCGCTGCGCCGGGTATGTCTTAGCAAACTGTCTACGGTAGAGCAAGCTAAATATGATTCTACAGATGCTAGAAATCTGCTTGAAGCTAGGCATCAAATGCGTCACGGCTTACGCTTTCGCGATTGACAACTTCAAGCGCTCTCCAGAGGAGGTGGATGCTCTGATGAACCTAGCCGAAGACAAGCTTCAGGAACTTTGCCAGCACGGGTGAGTTCCGCCGCAGTATTATGCTCCTTATCATAAATTGACAGGAGCGATCTAAGTTCACTCCTACACGAGTATGGCGTTCGTTTGAACGTGATAGGCAAGAAAGAATTACTCCCAGAACGGGTACAGGCAGCGGCTCGTAAGGCGGAGGAAATGACACGTTACAACGACCGGTATGTTCTTTCCCCAAGCTCCCGTATGTGCGTATATTGAAGGTGTCCTGACCCTTCCACTAAACCCTCCGCTGAGCGTAGTGCAATCCTGAACCTATGTATGCCGTACGCCTCTCGCGACGAGATAACTACCGCCGTAGAGCGCACGATCAACGACGCCCTTAATGAAGACCGTTCTCCAGAGTACGCCCGAGAAATTTTCTGTCACGCCATACACGGGCGATCGTCGCTCACCACCGATCTTCTTTCTTCCCAGGTCTATATCCGAAAAGGACATCGACGACCATCTCATGACCACAGCAGCCGGCAGTCCACCCTTGGACATCTTGATTCGTACGAGCGGTGTGAAACGCCTGAGCGACTTTCTGTTATGGCAGGCGCGTACCATCGACTCACACTTGCTCTGCGCGGCTGACGTGCAACCCGGACCATGACAGTGTTGCGAAGATACCCAAATTCAGTTTGCGACAACCTATTGGCCAGACTTTGGCTTGTTGGACTTCATCCCCATCATCCTTGACTTCCAGAGGAAAGTGTGGTCCCAGTCACGGTAGTGTTTCACAATGAGACATTGTTTTGACAACTCTATATTATCGCTGTCTTGTATCTGGCTCGAGTTTTGTTCCTAATATACACCATTAATGATACAATATCCCCAAAGTGAAGAAGATGAAGCGACCGCCGCAATGGAGGGGAAAAGGAAGCGCAAATGGATACATGGAAGCATACCATATCATATCGCACAATAAACGCAATATAATACAATCATAGGTGCAGGGAGCGAACGGAGACGAGGAGCGAAGATTAGGGGAGCGAGCGACAGTATAGCGTCCACGAGAGTAAACGAGCAACCATGGCGATCGACGAATAGCGGATACTTGAACAACCAGCCCACGACGAGGAATAGTCCCGAGTAAGGTGATACAAATCCAAGGGGAAAGCCAAAGCCAATAGAATCTACTCCACAACTTCGAACCGCGACCTCTTGGGATCCCGCCCGTCGGTCTCCTCGTCCAGGCCGCGCTTCTCCGAGCCGGAGCCGCTGCCAGACGCAAACGCCGGTATGCCAGGGAAAGACTCGCCGTTGACCATGCTCTGGAGGATCATGGCGTACTGCTCGTCCGTGAGGCCCATCCCCGCGAGCGGGTTGATCTTGCCGTCCTCGTCCGCCATCTGGCCCGGCTGAAACATGCTGTTCGCCTGCATCGCGAGCGCCTGGTCGAAGGACGGGTCCGACAGCGGCGGGATACCCACCGAGCGCGGGATGCGCGACATCTGCTGGATGACCTTGAGGTGCATGAGGTGCTTCTCCAGCATGTCGAGCAGGCCCTGCTTGCTGAAGGGCTTGGGAAGAATGTCGTTCATGCCGGAGGAGTAGTAGGTCATGATCTCGTTCGGCTTCGAGTTGCTCGTCATCGAGATGATGGGCGTCATATGGTCGAACTGTCGGATGAGCGACGTCGCCGAGACACCATCGAGCTTCGGCATGACAATGTCCTATAGCGTAGCACATGAACATCAACGTATGTACCTTTGACATACACAGGGAACAACGTACCATGAGCACCAAGTCATACTTCTCCAAGTTCATCTTGTTGACAGCGCCGACACCATCGACGGCAACATCAAAGTTGCAGCCAAACACCTGCAAGAACTTGCTGGACAGCTTCCTGCTGACGGCGTCGTCCTCGACGAGGAGTACCCTGGGCGGGACCGCCCACCCAGGAACATACGTCGACCGCCGCACCCTCAACTTCTGCACGCTACTCGGACGCGCGCCCACGTCGCCCGTACTCAAGCTCAAGCCCATACTCCCCGACGCCTCCGCCGCCGCCGCCGCCGCATTCGTCGGCTGCGGCATCGCATACGCCTCCTGCTGCTGCGGGCTCTGCTGCTGCTGCTGCTCGTCCGCGGGCGGCGCCGGCGCGCCCGCCATGAACATCGAGCCGAGCGGGCCGAGGCAGTTCGGGTCGAAGCTCCAGTTCCCGTTCGCGTCGTCGACGCCGCTCTTGGGCATGAGGTGCCCCAGCGTGAACACCTGCAGGCCCTGGTGGCTCGAGCCCGCCGCCTCCGCGACCGCGCTCTCCTCCGCCGCGGGCGCGGGCGGCGCCTCGGGCATGTACTGCCCGTCGGGCATCACCACCGCGTCCTCCGCCTCTGCCTCGGCGGCGGCGGCGGCGGCGGCGACCTCCTGCTGGGCCTGCTGCATCTGCCCGAGCGACGACGGGCCGGGCCCCGCGGAGCGCGAGAGCTCCTCGATGCGGCTGAGCATGTCCTGCCGGCTCATGGGCCGCTGCTGGAGGTCTGGGTCCTGCGGTGGCGGTGGCTGGCTGGGCGGGGCCTGGGCGCCGTTGGGCGCGAACGACATCCCCGCGACCTCGGCGCGTCGAGAGATCTCGTTCATCTGGACCAGCGAGGCCCGCGCGACGTCGTTCTCCGGGTACGCGCCCATCATCCTCTGCGCTTCCTGCGCGGGGAGGAACGGGTTCGTTTCGGCGAGGGACGTGCTGGCGGCAGCATTTCCGGTTCCGCCATTGTTGCTGGAGTCGTTATTCTGATTTGCAGCGTCTTTCAGTTTGGCTGGCAGAAATCGAATCAGAATTCGTTTGATTCAGAGCAAGCAAAAGCAAGAAAAGGGAGGGGGAGTGGTGCGGAATAGATAAGATATTAAGGGGGATAAAGATAACACGGGCCATAATAATACAACAAGTTCGCAGAAGCAAGATTTTGATGGCAACTAGAGCTAACAAAGCGAGGGCAGAGGGAGGGCGGAAGAGAGCAAGAGAGGAATTAACTCCCACCATTTTCGAGCTGCAAGAAGTATTGAATGAGATTCTGCATCAACCCGTCCTGCTGCGCCATGGTTCGCTGGAAATTGACCATCTCGCCGAGGACGTTCTGGTAGTTCCCCTCGAGGTTGCGAACGTGTGCTACCATCTCGTCTTGCTGGCGGACGAGGCGATCGATCTGCAGTTGCAGGCTTTCCATCGCGCGTCCGCACTCGGGTGCGCCGCAACCTGCGGAGTTCGGCGCGGGCGAGACGTTGTGGTCGGATAGCCGGCCGGTCGAGTTGGTCGATTTGCGTTGCGCGGGGACTTTGCGCTTGATGTTTTCGAGGGATTCGGGGCGGGAGGCGTGAAAGTCGGGATGGCGGAATGTCCAACTCTACGGGGAGTTACAGCTGATGCATTGCCGCCATGTCTCAGTTACGCACCTGTTCACCGAACTGATTGTCATCTGTGTTTTTGACCTAGAACAGGTCGTTAGACTGACTATATGCGCAATGTTCCGGGCAGACGCACCTTGTGAAAGTCATACTTGTTCAGTTGGCGCACGAAACTGGCAAAATTGGAGTGCTTGAATAGTCGGGGGAGTACGGACTTCGTGAATTCGTTCATGTCCTTGACGACGAAACAGTCGCCAGCGGGACCCCACGAGACGATATTCGAGAACGAGGCGTCCTCGAGCATCCTGAGCGAACGTCAGCATGAGCAGCCCTTGATCGCGCGCTATCACTCACTTGTACAACTTCTTGACAAAGTCGGACGTCGTCGGCATGCCGTCCTCGGTCGTCTCCTTGTGGTCGTGCTGGGGCTGGGGCGGGTGGTCGCGCGCCTCGCGCTTGACCGAGTCTTGTCGCTGCTCGCTGTGATGGTGCGAGGGCGCATAGACCTCGTCGCGCGAGCTGGACATGCGGTGGGACGACCAGGACGACGCGGACGGGAGCGGCGGCAGCGTTGCCGACGCGCTCGGGGACAGCTGGTAGCCGGAGGAGGTGGAGAAGCGGGGGTTGGCGGGGATGGTGGGGATGGGCGGGAGGGTGTTGGGCGGGAGGGTATTTGAGCGCGAAAAGGGCATCGGGAGGTGGAGCTGGGAGGGGGGCGGGAGTTGGACGGGTGGCTGGAAGAGCTGGGGCTGGCGGTGAGGAATATAATGGCCAGATTGATCCATGGCTGCAAGGGACGAGGAAAGCAGAGCTGCTCAAGCTGGCCAGGCCCTGATATTCGATTCTATGCAGTCCCCCGCCGTCCCCTCCGACGTCTGCCTTTCCCGTCGGCTCTCTCCGGCTGCCGTATTGGTATCGCTCTACAAATTCCCAAAACATGTGATCTTCCTGCAAATTGCATCCTTGGGCTTTGCTTGTTCCACTTCGATGTTAGCTACAAGCATTTAAAGACTATCAACGCCTGCCACTACATATATTCTGCCACCTAGCAGAGCTGAATCCATAACCAAGACAAGATCCTCTTTTGAAAGCCCGGCACAGCAATGCCACATTGCTTCTGGGGTCCTGGCACCGCGTGATGGCAACTGGACCGTCAGCCTTAGACACTATGTCTCAATAGACTGGTAATATTGGAGGGTCACTAAATTCTAGCATGACATCCACCATACTACCCACCTTGTCTTCAGCTTTCTGCTTTTTGTAACCTGCGTTAGCTATCTTTCCTTGAAATGCGACCAAGCCACGCTACAGAGACCCCAACGCCACAATCCGGCTAGCCTTCCATATGCGGCACAACAAGCCTGGGCCTCCGGGGACCACTTGCGAGATCCGTTCGGTACGATATCGCCTGATGGCCCCCAGGGCGGCCAATCTACCGAACAACCTCCCGTTCGGTCCCGCCGCCCGCCACGGCCTAGATCCCCTCCATCGCACCACTGCCTTCAGCCTCATCAACAGCCCTTGCTCATCGCGAAACCAGTCCTCCGCGCTGAGAGACCGACGAGCAGCGGGAAGAGCCTAAACTTCGCCTCGTGCACGCTGCAAAAATACCCCAATCAGCGTCTCACCGTATCGAGCAATGTCCCGCCCGGGACCCGGCTATCTCTACCGAGAGGAACCATCATGTCGTCGCCCGCAAAATAGGGATCCGCGCTGCTCTCTGGCCCTGGGACGCTCTGTGCCTCTGCAAGCGCACCTTCTGCGAGCTCCACAACGCCCGCGGGCTCCATAGCGTCGTATGTGCTTCCTCGATGAAGCAATGATGGGCGACCGGTCCAGGCTTGGTCGAGGCAGCGGAGGGACATGGGAAGGAGGCGGTGCACGGGTCTGGATCGGGCGTGCAGCGTGCATTTGTATTTCAGAACCGGGCCCCACAACCGCTGTCGTTGGCCCGAAATACAGATGGCTGCTCCTCCGGTTTGTTCCCTTTTGTTCCCTCTGGATGAGTACCGCAGCGCTTCGGTCCGAGAGCACCAAGGACAAGTAACGCAGAATTGTATAGTACTCGTGGTGGAAAGCCGGACATGCAGTTGCATTCAATCTGCATGCATTCAACGACTGACGAGGTCAGAAGACAGCCATCGATCACAGTCGCTGTTACGCACTTCGAATCTTATCGCGACCTTTCACCAAACACCGGACGCTTTCGCTTCCTTCCCCACAGCATGACTGGTGTGCAGGCACTCGAGGGAGGCACTGCTTCTGCTTCTCACCATTGCTGACTGAATAGACTCTATTCTCGTGACCTCGCCATGACGAGCGCAAGGCAAGTTCGCGCGCACATCATCAGAACATGACGTGCGCGCATTCGGTAGGTTCTGTGAAGGGGCAAGCTTGAAAGTAGGGAAGAAGAGAGTATTACTTAACAGTCATTAGAGGCACGGCCTGCCCGACGTCATGGACGGAGATGCCCCTTCCCCCACAGGAAGTATGAATCGGGGACGCACAAAGTGCTCGTCCACGCGCAAACCACGACTTCCGCCAAGGACGGAATGATACACACCTTGCAAATTATAGGATACTTGGGTGAGCCGTCCAACCCAGCCAGCTCCAAGATGCAACCCCGCAGTAACGCATCGTCAGCACACCCGAGTGACCTCGCAAGTCCATCCGGAAGCGGCGCTCTCTTCTTTGCACCGCCTGCCGGCTTTTGCGGCGCGGACAGACAACCTTAAGCTCGCAACAGAATCCAGCCAGATGGTATCCCCGCCTGCCCGGCTCCCTCCTTCGTCCTCGCAGGCACGGGGGCAGACTTGGTCCTCGTTATCCCCAGAGACGCGGATCATACTTCATCCTCGTATCGTTGGGACTGGAGGCACGGCTGCCCTGGGTCTCGAGGCTCCGAGGAGGCCTTCCGCATCACGGACGACAAGCCCGCAAGCCGAGTTGAGTTCCACTGGCAATGACCGGCACCGCAAACGCGACCGGTGAACAAAGCCCCGGTGCTCTCTCAAGCAGCGATATCAGATAACGGAAGGCATTGTGTGTGGCAGGATAGCCCTGTGTGAGCCTGTGTGCCGATGACGGTGGTAAGGCCCCAATTTTCAGCCGCGGACTCGATATGAGGCGAAGAGATGAGCACGAGCTATGAATAGATGCCAGCCGCAGTTTTTGAATCTAGACGTCCAGGAGGTGGAGAACAGATAAAAGACGGGGTGAGTGATTATGGCAATGTACGTGCAGGATGACATGCTTGAGTGGCTTGCGATAGAGGAGACAGTACGCCTTCGAGAGTCTTCAAGATTCAACAGAATCAGAGGAAGCATACGACAGAAAGGCGCGAGAAGACGGCAATTGTCATTAGCGAGCAGAACGTCAAGTATGCATTCTCATGTCGGCTGAAGTGATATCAGGCTGAGCGAGTCATGTTGGTCGTCGGTCGTCGGGGACCGCCTTGGTTGTCTACTATCCGGGGAGGAGGCTTTCCTGGCACAACCTGATGGCAGCCTTGATGACGACCCCGTACCTGTCAGTAGGTTGACTGAAGAAACAGCACTGATCAGGAAGGAATGGTACCTGAATATGTCGAATCCATATAATCTCCAAATCACCTGGAAAGGGCAGCGCATACATCCACACTCATCTGCATCAGTGAGCCGGCCTTCTGATACAACGTCAGGGATACGTCTTTCTGAAACTTGAAGAGTCCAAATTGCCCAGGCGAGTTGGTACGGCTTATGGAATATCTACCATGCCGTGACAACTGGATCGCCACCGAAAGATACAACTAGACGGGACAAAGATGGGATTCAAAGTGATCTTGAGTTGCGCTTTCCAACGAGCTCGTGATCGTCCAAACCATTGAGCACAACGGCATCGCCCGCTCGCCACGAGTGGATCACCTTGGGCTACAGGACGCTGTCAGTGGGGAGGCGCAATTCCGGGTCGCGCGGCGAGTTGTTTGCATCTATTTGGACTCTGCAAGAAAGTGGTCGCAAATCCCCCGCCTTCATAGAGCCATCCGCATGTCGAAATCACGCATATAAAATGTACCAGCAGGGATGTCATGATACAGAAGATGCAACGTTGGTTTTGAATTTCTGATTTTCCCAATATCAAGTTCATTCGACAGAGGTAACGAGACCGCAAGTACATTTAACAAAAATGTACAACCAACGTTGCATCCGCTCGTTGATATAGATCAACTTTTATGAATCAAGTGACGCGTGAATGTGAACGTAGCACGCTGTAGGTTTTCTGGCAGTAAAGAGCAATTAACGACGCGTCCGAACGCGTCGCGGACGTGACAAGCTGTGACACCATCGCAAAAAGTGTCACACCAAATATCCTGGTCACTGTCCGGGCTCTCCTGCCGCAGCAGAAGCAGGTCCCTTCCCCTATGTTAGAATTGTAAAATCAACATAGTACATGAGATATATATTCAGCCTTTTACAGCTGTGATCCAGTACTTGCTTTGTCCATTAATTACACAGATTTGTGCTTCCTGGAAATCAAGCTCATCTGTATCAAGGATAGGGAATGCACCCACTGGTGTGCACATAGATATGTTCCAAATGTTTCTAAAGACAATACATAACTTCCCTAAGCACTCCTTTGCCGACCTCGGTGAAATTGACCATCATTTCATCCCGATGGTGGTCAGCTCATGAATAAGAAGAGACAGACATGTTTATATCTACTACAGTCTATAATGGTAGAATACCCTTCTTTCTGGTTTACAATAGTGATATACATTGCTGATGCATGCATAAAGTGAGAATGGAGCAGAGGAATGCACAAGAATACGAGGGGATACTTGCGACCACCTTTCAGCACAATCTGCTGA